TTTTTACCCATATATATGCACCATGAATATAATAGTTTTACTATTTAATAATTTTTTATATATTAATATTCAAAGCATCAAAACAAGAAGAGTTATAATATATAATATATTTACTGTTACTTCTTAAAACATATAAGGGCATAAATATAATTAATAAAAAATAAAAAAAGTCTTAAAGTACTAGGTCAATTTTTTTTTAATATTTTATTGAATAATAATTTAGATTTAAAATAAAGTAGATAGAATCTAACAATGCTCTATAAATACAAAGATCATGAAATAAATAAATCATTTATATAAAAGGGTTATTATAAAATTTAGTGTTTATTAATAGTTTATTTAATTTATATAAAATGTCTCTATGTAATGTTATTCTAAGATGATAATTAAATACTGCGTGCCAACTATTTTGCAGGCACTTAAATTTGTGGAAAAACGGTAATTTATATTAATCGGAATCAATTAAATCTTAATAGAAAGCCTAACTGAATATTAAAATATATTGATTAATTCTGAAATTTAAAGTTAAATCTGTATATATTATTTCCTAAAAATTCTATTCAAATAAATTTAAATGACTATTTTGATATTAATAGAAATTAACACATTATCTCAAAGAAAGTGTTTTTAATCTAAATTTGAAAATAAATAGCTAGAAATCACCAGAATGGGAATTATGTTTTGAATTAAAGCTGTTTTTATACCAAAATTATAATTGGAGAAATAATTATTAATTTAATAAAATGATTTAAACTGGTTTGAATATTGTACTTGAGGGTTCGGTCAAGGAAACATTAGAACAACTTAATAAATTCAAAGAAAGACCTTACAACGGGATTTTAATCACAGGAAAACCAGGAACAGGAAAGACATTTTTATGCAAATATTTTGCTCAAATAAATGATTGTTGTCATTTGTTTTTCAACTGCGTTAATGAGTTCTCAAATTTGGAAGCATCATAGATGATTGAGTTGATAAAGCAAGAAAGAAAAAAACTGGTGTTTTTTGACGAATTAGAATATTTTAGTTTTGTGTAACAGGAGAAATATTATAAATTGATGGAAATTATTAAGATATGTTAGGAATAGGAACATAAATTAATATTTATCACTCAGTCCCCAGAGAAGCTTGACCTGTATCCTAAAAAATTACCTTATGATCGAGCTACTGTGTTATTATTACCAGAAAATAAGTTTAGAGAATAATTAATAGCCAATAACTTGCCATCGTTTAAATTCTTAAGTGGGCTTACTGATAGCTATTCAGTGAGTGATCTTATTGTTCTAATTAAAGATATCTAGATGGAACCACTAAAAACGATAATCAATTGTGACAGTTTTGAATTGATAGATGAAAAGTATCATCCCACTTAGGATGTAAAGGATTCAAGTGTGCTATTGAGTTACGATCAGAAACTAAAGTTTTTGTAGGAAGGTAAAATCCAAATAAAGGAATTAGAAGAGAAGGATGTGAGAAGAATATTGAATGAGAAAAAAAGAATGTGAGAAATTATAATTAAATTTTTAAATTTATTTAATTTATCAAATTATCAATACTTTCACTACACAAAATGCATCATAAATTTGTCGAATTTATAATTAACCGAGATTAATATAACATCCAAAAAATCATCAGAATAAAACTTAATCAAAGCAAAATTGTTCTTAATTTAATTTAATGCAAATATTTTTATCAATTTGTATTATTCTAAACTTTTAATGAAGATTCAAAATATCAATGTACCATATGATTGAGTTTATAACCACTATTTTCAAACAAAAGAGAGGCTGTATATTATATCGTTAAGTTTAATATAAGCAATCAAATAATAAATAAATATTTTATTATTACATTTGATGCCAAGACTATATATCTTTCTTATTGCATGCTAATGAATCTCGAAGCAGCCTGATAGGATAATTTTTCTTTGACATTGTTTTCCTCTTGGAATTATATTTTAGCAAATATCAATTTCATTTTACATATAAATACATTTTAATTTAGAATTGAAATTTAATACGGATGGTTAAATATATATGGTATCGGTTTAATATTCCAAAAATGTTTCTGAATAACAAAGATCCTTATAATTTGGATATTATTTGTTTAATATTTAGTTACTGATGCATACAAAATTTTGTTTGTGTCTCAATAAAATCTGATAAAAGTCACTGTTGTTATCTATCAGTAGTCTTTATATAAATCACTATTAATATCTGTATTAATCAAATTGTAATATATATTAACTTCCTATACAAACAGAAACGTTTATTAACACTATTAAATATGTGTTAAAAATAAAATTAAGTAACAAAAAGTAGAAAATAAAGAATACCTAATTTAGCCACTCATATTTACAATTTAAAAAATAATTGGAAAAATTGTAGAATTTTGTTATAAGATAAAAGAATAAGATCTTAATTTATCTGAAATTTTAAAAGAAAATCATTTTCTTTATTTTTGACACTACTTTATTAATTTCTCTTTAGAATAATTCATAATAATAACATTTTATTATTTTAAATCTTCTTCTATTTCATTAAATTTAATGATTTCAAAAATAAAAAAATAAATAAAATTAAATTTGTTAAAGATAAATGTTTTTTCAGATAAGAACAATAGAAAATTAATCAATAAGATAGTTTGAATTTAAAGAATGTTAATTAACTTCTAAAATGAGAGCTAAAAACTAGTAAAATGTACAATATGGTATTAAATAATAGATGAGCAATTAACAAATTAGAAGTCTTTAATTTTCGCAATTGCTTCTTTCTTCTTAATAAAGACAATTTCCAAAATCAAGTGGTAATTCTGAAGATTAGATATTTATCGTAAAAAAGGGTTCAACACTAACATTGTCTTATTAGATTGATAAAATTTTTTGACACCTTTGTTTATTGAAAAACCTATGTTGTAGTTCGATAAAGGAGTGCTAAAACTAAATTGCAAACTTTATATCGTATTTAATAAATGTATACAAAATAATTCACTACATTAAGCATAATTTGGTTTGATTTTATCAATAAATATTTAAATATCCTTATCCACTTTCTTCTAAACAAACTTTAAATAATTTGCATCTTAAAGTTTATTTAAAATATTTTATAATTCTTAAATCGTTCACCAGAAGGTTGAGATATATATTCCTAAGGAACATGATGATTAAAGTACTTCACAATATGATAAATTACAAATTATGGAAAATCTCAGTAGAAGAAAGGTTAAAATGATAATATTAATTTAATTAAATGGCATCAAAAAAAATTTTGATTTTGAATACTTTCCTGTTCATCTTAATGGATTTGGCTACGATTTCAATCTTGCTTTTTGAATCAGTTTAAGAAGAGATAGGTTAATTATTAACGATTTCATTGATAATTGGATATGGGTCATTCGTTATAATGCAACAACTGCTTGTATATACTGAGTGGAAATTGAATATAAAAAGTAAATTAAGTTTGGTTTCATTTTTTGGGAAGATCGTAATTGTTTGGATTGGTGGAGTCAAATTAATCACTAATTAATACCTATTGATCTTATTTTAAATTTACATGACTTCAGAAAGTTACAGAGAAAACTCATTATAATACTTGTTCGTTTTTATGATGGTTCTAAATTTATTCGAATTCAAAAAGTTCATTAATTTTGGATATGATTAACTAATAAACTCAATGCAAATTATTATATTGATTGTTCAACATTTTTATTAAGTAAAAAAGTCAGATGATAAATATCATTAATCATATGTACAAGTCTCAACTGGAGGTGGATAAATGTAATAAACATTTGCAATGATGCAGGAATCCAGAAGAAGCATGCCAATGATAAATTCAATAAAGTTGGTGGAAGATGAACCGTGGTTAGACCAGTAAGAATATTATTCTAATTAGCAAATGGTTATAATATGAGAAGTATCTTGTACTAGGAAGAGATTTAAAGTTGAAGTTCTACAGTTTCGATCTAAATATTTTGGGAAAATTTTAAGAGATGACAGAAAACTAGAACGAAATCGTAGATTAGCTGTTAGATTAAGGAGTGAAGTTTATATCAAAATTAGAAAACAGTTAACAATCTCTTTCCTGTCAAAAAGGAGTGATAACCTTGAGGTAAGTGCTAGAGAATTAGTTGTAAACATAGATTAATTATGAACATTATTATTAAACATTCCAGATGTAGGGTCAGACTTTAGATGTATCAAAGTACTTGTTGAATGTATTTGGTTTGATTGGTAGACAATAAATGTATTATGTCATGCATTTTTAACTTGTGCCAAAATTAGCGATCGAGATTAATACTAACATTTTCGATATGTGTAAATCCCTTTCTCATGAACTAGGAACAAGTCTCAATTGCATTCAAAGCCTATCAGAAATAGCCTTATAAAAGTCATCGGTTACTCAAGATATAAAAGATAACATCATTTAACCCATTCTTACAAACAGCCAATAATTAAATCTAATTATATCCAATATTAGAGATTATAGTTCAATCGAAACTGATCAATTTTAATTGAGTCTTTCTACATTCAACATCTTTGAGGAAATCAAAGCAATTGCTGATTTCTTTTAGATTACTTGTCAACAAAAAGGAATCCAATTAGTTTTGCCAACTGAATCTTGTATTATTTTATAATTTATTAGTTCCAATTTTTAATGACCGAGATCGATTTCGCTAAGTTATTTTTTAACTACTGTCGAATGCTGTTCGTTTCACAATCACTGGCACTATCTAATTATTGATCAAAAAGCAGGATTTTTTCTATGAAATTGTTGTGTCGGATACAGGAATAGGAATGGTTAGCAATTCTACATTTACATTAGGTTGGTTAAGAAGAGAATAATCTAAGAAGAATCTTAGAATAACGCTTAATGTTGAGAGTATCAGAAAACAGTATCGGTTCAAGTCTAGGCCTATTTATTAGCAATTTGCTTGTCAAAAAAATGAATGCTGATGATGATTGTAAAATTCAATTCACTTCCAATAAAGCAGGTTCTAGTTTTTACTTCTTTATCAAAAATATGTCTGAATTCAAAAATAACATTGACAAACTACAATCAGTCAAATTTCATAGAACAATAGTTAGATTCCAAAGCATTAATTCTTATTATGAAAATATTAATGACATACAAATCAAGTTTGGCTAACATACATTTAAGTCAATAACAAATGGATAATCAAATCTAGATGATGGCAATGTTACTGTTTATTCAAAAGAATTCGAAGAAAATAAATAAACTATTCAACCCCTTCAATCCCTCATTCCTTAACTTTAAGATACAATTCAAGCGTATTCTCTTAAAAGTACATGCTGCTCAAGAGTCCTAATTGTTGATGATGAATACTTTAATATTATGGCTCTATAAATGCTAATGCAATAATACTCTTCCATTTGTGATAAAGCTTATAATGGTATGGAAGCTATTGAACAAATAAATGAAAAGCTAGCCAACCCTTGTCCAAAATGTTAAAATTGCTGTTATTAACTAATCTTTCTTGACATTAACATGCCGATTATGGGTGGAATTGAAGCTGTCAAAATTATTAAAAAAATGATGCAAAATAGAATTATTAAAAAAGTTTATGTTATTGCCAACACTGGCTTTAGTGATTTGGAAACCAAGGAAAAAGCCTATGATGCTGGAATAGATTATTTCATGACCAAACCTTTAAATATGATGACTTTTAGGAGTATAGCATCCAAAATATTCCCAAGAGGATGAATTAAATTGATATTACTTAAAACTATATATAAATTATTTTCGAATTACCACATGAAATTTTGAATATCTCTTTCTACATATTAAAGAATTTCGACTTTGTCACAAATTATAATTCTTTACTTTAATTATAAAGCGAAACATATTCCAAAAACGATATAAAATTATAAGCCAAGATTGATTCCTTTTTTCACCATTAAAAAATATATTTTATGAAGAGAAAAATGAGTTCATATCTTATTAGTTTAATATATTTTAACAAATATTAATCAAATACTTTTGCTTGATAATAATGAACCTTCAAATTATAATTATTAATATCAATATTAAAATATGCGATTTGTTTAATGCATATAATTCTGCAATAGACAAAATTATGAGATTTATCCTAAAAATCTTATTAAATTTTTGGCATTTCTATGACATAAACAAGCATTTCATTAAAAATTATTATATCAATTATGGTGTTTCATAGCAATGAAAATGCTATTAGATCGAAGGTTTTTAGAATCATTTAAGTACACATACTTAATAAATTATAATATAATATAATTAATTGGACTTGTTTTGATAAATAAAAGGAATTTAAATATATATAGAAAATAATGTTCAAAATAGACGCTCAAGTTAATTTTTATAGTTCTTATTCATTTAATGGTTTTTTAGAAGAGTCATTCAAATTTTATTATTCTCGCTTTTTGCTATTGATTATTTAAAAACTGTTACTTAAAAGCTCTGATTGCTGCCAAGATAATGACACCAATTATTATGGCAACTAGACCATAAAGGTGAGTATTAGAACTTGAATCAATCGAGAAGTTCTCTACAAACAATTAACCTTTGATTGATCCGCTTACTGCTTATGTGGGACTGCCTTCAGGTAAAGATTTTGAGTATTTTTAAAGTAAACTTATTTATTCAGATGAAATTGGGAGTGGATCTGGCAGTAAATAAACAATTTGATCGCAATTCTCATATTCAAGATAATAGGCCATATTTTCCAATTATTTTGCTAAATCCATCAATCGCATTTAAAAATTGTTTTGGATTTAAAAGACTGGGTTTTCTTTTAATTCATTATCTAATTCTACTGAAATTGCAAACACTGCTTTTGAAGGAGTAGATGTAGCATTTATTTCTTTCATATTTAGTTGAATTTCACATTTTATTTACTAATTATTAGATAACTAATGAATAGCTGGACAATATATTTCAAAATTGGATGGTCCAAATGTTAAACCTCCAGGTACTTATTTAATTTAGATTTTGGACTTATCTTTGACTTCATAATCATCTCCAAATCCGATTACATATTCGCCTTCTAATTTAACTGAGATTCTCTTGACTGCCTAATTGAAAATATAGGATATTATTAATACATAAACCCATTCTTCTTAATTTGGATAAGTTAAGTATGAATTTTGAATGCAATCTGCGAAGACTTGCTAAAGAGCTAACAAGAATGTTAAGAGCATTATTTAATGAAAAATCAAGGAGATTTATATAAAATTATTGAATAAAAATAATGAGTGAGAATATTACTCGATATTAACATTAAGCCAATAATAATAAATTTAGAGTTGTAATAAAGTAGATGATATTTAGATAATGATTTCAGATAACAAGGCATAAATTTGTACATGAATAATTAATTGGTATATTTGATTTTTAAGAAATTAATCAGAATTTCTTTTTGTGAATTCCCATTTAAATATTTTGAATATGTTGCTCGTTATTTAATTAATTTTGGTATTCAGCTTGGGGAGTGGAAATTAATTAACAAAATAAAGGAAATTAAATGGAGACATAAATTAATTAAGATGGAGAGAGAGTCAGACAAATGGATTTGGATTGTAGATGGTGTATTTGACTGTTAATTATTTGTAATTAAATAAATAATATATATAAATTAGTAATTAAAAAGATAGATAAAAATGAAAGAAATAAGTGTATTATGTAAAATGTTTGTATGTTGAGGATTATTGAGGAAATAAAAATATTAAAGGACTTAAAAATTCCATAAAAATCTTGAATTTAATAAAATAAAAAAATGAGTGCAAATGATCTATCCAAGCCTGAAAGTCTGGATAACTTAAGCTAACCATCTTCATAGGAAGGACAATAGAGGAAATAATATAAGGTTCATCGTTTGGGAAACAGGAAATAATTATCCAATTAAAATTATTACATTAAGGAACAGGCATCAAGCAGAGAGGAGAGAAAATTGAAATCGTATTTGTAGAGGATTGAAGAGTAACAAAAATTAGAAGAGGTAAGTCACCTTTAACTTTAGTTTTTATTAAGGCAGCCTTATTGAAACGTAAGCGTTCCAAGGTATTTAAAGCTTATTATTCAAGCCAAACCAGGAGACTAAGAGTAGTGAAACTTAGGAAGCTCCAAGGCAAATTGATGAAGTCATGTATTATACCATAAATATAATCTGAAGTATGCCAATATAAGCCACAGTGTTGTTGAATCCTTTGTTGGTGCCATAGTAGTCTCAATTAGATGTGACAGCATAAACAAAGCTTCGTCTAAATCCCAAGCTCAAGATGAAAGTATCTTAATTTAAAATATTTTTCAAAGGAGAAACATCATATATTCCTTTATCTCTCTGATTGGTACGAGAAATGTGTTGACAATGTGCAAAAACTCAATTCTGGAGCCACTTAGTCATATTCGCCACAAAAAGTGGGCAAATGTGATGTGACTAATATACAATCAATTAATTAAGATGTGTATTAGGACACTCTCATTTTAATAAAAAATTTTAAACATTAATATTAATAATAGAATGGAAATGATTCAAAAGAGTTATTAAGCAAATACTCTGATAAGAAATTTTTAGAGACGTCATATTCGCCACAAAAAGTGGGCAAATGTGATGTGACTAATATACAATCAATTAATTAAGATGTGTATTAGGACACTCTCATTTTAATAAAAAATTTTAAACATTAATATTAATAATAGAATGGAAATGATTCAAAAGAGTTATTAAGCAAATACTCTGATAAGAAATTTTTAGAGACAATTTTGAGAGATAATAAATAATAAATAAATAAAAAAATTGGATTTGAAAAGGTTCAAATATCAAATGGGAAATTTAATTCAAAGAAGCATTGATATAAATTACAACTCATTTTATAAATTTAATAACAGTCATCTAAACTTCTACTTCTCATCCTTTAAGGAGAACAATATAGAAGCTTACACTTATTTTAATTAATTTCATAAGTCAATTTATTATGAAAATCAATAATAACTGCTTATTAAAGATATTTTAGAGTATATTAGGAATTATAATACTGTTTTACATATGTTCCTATGATCTTATTCATGAAAGTTCTTGGGAAAAAAACTATGTCCAAATAAATATATTTTTATTCAGTAACAACAACCACATGAAGATATGATTCTCCACTGAAAAACAAGAAAGTTAGAAAATTTAAACCCTTTAGATATCAAGCAACTTAAATTGAATATTTAACTATGATTGAAATAAAAATGAGTAGATCTCTTTATGAAGCTTCATCATCTTATTCTCTATTTCAGTGAACAAACTCTTTTGTGTAAATTAGTGCCACATAAACCATTCTATAGCCAAGCTTTGTAATCAATATTGTCCTTTGAATTAAATCCCATATTTGTAGGAGATGTGTTTTATCTATCCATGAAAAAATTATTTTAAGAAGTTATTCGCTTCAAGCCAATCAATTTAGATTGTTAAGGAATGGCTGCTGTATTAATCTAAATAGGTTAAACAAAAGACGACTACCTATAAATTTAAATAAATGACTTTACTAAGATTTAATTCGTTTTTATAAAGAATTAGATTACTCTATATTATTTTTCTATTTCTAATTAATCAATTGAGATCCTCTTGATTACTGTTTCGATAGACAATTGGATCCTGGGCTGTTCTTTTTGAGATTATACTTTTAGGTCAATTACATTTAGATTTATGTTATCATCATAAAATGTTACTTGAGTACTTTACTTTGTTCAATTTTCATTTACTTTTATTGAATTACATCAAAATAAAATGTCTTAAAAATTTTAATATCTTTTTATAAACCTGATTTTCCTAGAAGCTTTTCCCTTGTTTCCAATTCCCCTTTGAGCAATTCATTTTGATCATAATGAAATTGTAACTAATTTGGTTTGAATGGAGGCTCAATGTTCTTTTATAAAATTTAAATCCAATCACATCCTTTAAACCAGGGATGGAGCATCAATTCTTATAAACCATTCTGAGCACCCAATCTACTTTAAGGTTTCTTACATAAAAGTCCTTTAAGTAGATCTTTGATATCATCAGTTAAATTGATTTTGTCTGGGAATGTCAACTCTTCACTTAAAATTGATTCATAAATTTCTTCAGTGTCCCTAGAATAATAAGGAGGTAATCCTGTAACTAATTCATATAAAAGGGCACCTAAACAATAATGATCCACTTAAACATTGTGACCAACTTTCAATAACATTTCAGGAGCCATATATTCAGGAGAACCACAAAAACTATATGCATAATCATCTTCATTCATGTTTGGCTTTGATAATCCAAAATCTGCAATTCTAATGTGGCCATCCATATCTATCAATATATTCTCTGGTTTTATATCTCTATAGACAACAGATATTGAATGTAAATAATAAATGGCCAAACAAATTTCAGTAAAATAAAATCTGGCTTGATCCTCAGTCATCCTCTTCACCTATTTCAATTACCAAAATAACTCTCCACCACTGCAAAACTCTAAGACAAAAACAATGAAGTTTTTAGACTCAAAGGCATATTCTAATTTATTTATAAAGGGATGATCCAACACAGTCATTATGTCTCTCTCATTTTACACAATTCCTATATGATTAGTTGATCATCTACCTTATTTTTTACGTTAGATAATAAATTCTTTATCTATCAATTTCATCGCATAAAATCTGCCATCTGATTTCTTTTTCACTAGATAAACTCTTGAAAATCCTCCAACACCAATACATTTGATAAAAATGAAATCCTTCAATGTTATCTAAGATCCTTGAATGCATCCATAAAATGGTTATAAATTTAATGTTTATCCACTGAATATATCCAAGGGTTTATTTAATTACTAAATGTAAAAATCAATGGGTAAATTTTTATCAACAGTATGGAATGATACAATTTCCATATCTAGACATTCATTGCCCGTCTCACATTGTAATTTATTTTTATTAGACGAAGATCCAGTCGTTGAATATACTACTATATTTTTTTTCATTTCTGTTTTCAAATACTCCATCATATAACCTGTACTTTTTTACGGATCCATTGTAAACTTATATTATTAATTCAAAGAATGAACCACTACAACAATTTAATTTGCTACACTTACAAAACTCTAGTTTTTTATAGTCTATATAAATGATTTCTGAAGTTAATTAGAATTGGTTCTTCGAGTATCAGTAGTGGCAATTGTCTTTAGAATATTGGATGAGTCTGATATGTTATTCTGTTAATTAGATTTCTACGTAGACAATTATTTATGACTGGTCATTAGTTTTAATAATTCCTTTTTGTATTATTTCCCCTGTAAGAGTTATCCTTAACATTTCTATAATTGTTTCTAATCTATCCCTTGAAACCCAGAACTTTAATTAGTTTTATGAGTTGGACTCTGACTAAGCAGTCCACTTGGATTGAAGGATTGACTCAATTTGATGTTACTTTTACTCGTACAACTACAAATTACAATGGCCAATACATTCTTAATTTATTTTATTGTACGATCTCTTATAACTATTGTTAAGGACGAGTTAAATGCTGCATTTGGATGTTATTAATAATTATTCGAATTTTAAATAACACTATATACTAAAATATAAACACATCAAACTTAATTAATTTATCAACCTTGTTTCATCTCAATTATTTATGATAATCTACCAAAATCCAGTAATCATGTTAAATCTAATGAAAAGTTTAAAAAAAGAATTTCTGATCTTTCTTAAATTATAGCACACGACTACTCTGTTTTACTTTCATTTTCATCAGTTTGCACTTCAAAAATGTCGACTTCAACAACGTCGAAGATTTTGGCTCATTCTTAAGACTTGATCGAAAGAAGTTTATTCTGCAAAAAATTATGTGCCATCCTCTTTCACCAACTATGTATTTTATCGAATTCTGCTCAAAAGAGTAAAAATACTTATTGAAGAAACAGATGACAGTATTATTATTAAATAATGAATATTTGGTTTTAACAACAAAATTTCTATCATTTTTCTTTATGTAAACATAATTTGTGGTTTTACTTTTTTTTATAAAAAATTTTAGAAATTTTTTAGCCTCTCATAAAAAAAAGAATTCTTCATTACATATTTTCATTTGATGGAAGTGCAATGCAAGTAAAAAAAATTATATATAATTTCATTTATTTTATTTATTTTTTTTTGAAAGCTATTAATATAGTTTAAATTGGTCTTTTTCATAGCATTACTAACTATTTATTAAAATATATAAATCTATCTTTTCTCAATATTAATTTCAATACTACCTTTTATATTTAGACCCTATGAATACAAGTGAATAAACGAAAATTTCTCCAGATTTTGAACTGGAATCTCATTGTAACTAATTTTGAAGTATTAAATAATTTTTTTCATAATCTGTAAGCCATTCTCTTGATAATTTCTTATAGGTATGATACTGGATACAAATAATAGTTACTTAATTTAAATCTATGCTCTTTGAGGATATATGAATCACCATAGACCAACATGATAACATTTATTTAAGTTATAAGAAATTTCAAACCAAAAAATTATAAATAGCATCATTTAATAAACAAAATATATAGTCTCAAAAAAGAACTATCATAAAAAAAGCAATTGTTTCAGGAAAAATATATAGTATTCGCAAGTCAACAGAAACCTCTTGAAATTCTATGTGAAAAATCGTTCTAGGATTTATTCAGAGAGAAAACACATTTTGAATAGATCAAACGCTCCTTCCATGGACCAAGGCGATTAATTATATAATGAGTATCAATAGAAGAATCTGAATAGAGCACCACAACAAAAAAAAAATAGAAACCAATACTTCGTTTGCTTTTCTAATTCGAATTAATATATAGATTAATTATTCCACTTATTGAATTGCAACAATCAACAATTGAATACTAAAATATGGAGTATCTTGCAAATGATTCCCAGTAATTAGGAAGTATATTAATTGATTGAATAATCGCAGAATGATTGGAGTAAGTTGCTAGTTGTTGGTAACAAATATCGATTACAATATCATTTACAAATATTAAGGGAATAATTGTCATGTGATTGTGTAGAAGATGAAGATAATTACAGAATATTGAGATATAATTTCATATTTGAAATGCACAACAATTATTCACTCTACCCAGTGTATAAGAGGAGTAATACAAGGAAGAGAGCTTTTGATTTATTGTTAGAGTTAAGCAAAGTCTAAATGCATCTCTATTAAATACTAGATCTAATTCAAATCAATCAGCAAACCAGAACAAGTTCTCAAGAATTAAATTCGGAATTTGGCATCAAAAGAGAACATGGATTTGTATGTCTCTATATAGAAATGGTGTGCTGTTACAAGGTCTTGGAGAATTCTAAATTTTATTATTGAGGCGAATTTGATTTAAGGATTGAGATGCTTTGATTTTTTAGGATGCAATCAATTGGTTTGCCTTATGATATTAAGATTGTTTGAGTGCTTGAAAAATCTAATTGGAATCCAAAAGTCCTTGGATTACATGTAATAAATATTATAAATATTATTAATATAATATATTAAAAAATTCAAGGCTTGAATATGGATTAAGTCAATGCCAAAGCACTATAGGATAGGGAAAAGGCAAGGATGACTCCAAATATTCCCACTAGTATTTTGTACTATTCATCATTGAGGACTTTTCTTTAATTAATCATTTAATAAATATTAATAAAATATTGATGAATAGATATACTTATTGTATTATATTTCAAATAATTTCTACAAATGCTTTTGGATGTTAAAAGACTGTAGCTGTTGGTTTGACGACTTCAGCATTTCTTGGGAGGACTGGTTATCTTTTGGTTGAAATATGTTTTTTTTATTTATTGGGTTCTGTTTTCTTTTTATCATTCTCTTAAACTCTCTTAACAAATTCTTCTCTGCATTTTGATGGCCTCAAATGATCAGCTCTGACATGGAATCTCTTCTCTACATATCTACCTCTAACTCTTCTTTGTAATGAGACACCGATTCCTCTTGGATTGACATTGAATACTCTAGCAGTACGTCCATGATAATATTAGAAGGGGACACCCTTGTGTTATGCACCATCAACCAAAATATCAACAAAATCACCTAGGATTCATGATGGAATTGTACCTCTTCTGAAGGTTTAGAGTGTTTTGCGAATGCTAATGTTTCCATGTCCTCTGAATGGTTTAGCAAACTTGCTTCTTGTACCCTTTTTCAAACCATAACTATGTGTCATTTATTGAAGATATTAATTTTTTTTTAAATTATTTTTACTCACATACTTAGAAGGCCCTTGAGGAAATTCAAATTGATTAATGTATGTTTGTAATATATATATCATTGAGCTGCGACTGGAGCTTAAACTTTGGTGGCATCCTTTTTTTAAGTTGTTTATTAAACAGGTCGTTTTCTTTCAATGACACGAATTTTTCTGTCTTCAGAAGATCTGACTCTCACAATACGAGCATGGATAGCACATGATACGCAATACTATTCTGATTAATATAAACACTACTTAGAGTTTGTCAAACAATTTTGGAATTGACTATTATTATTTGGTGTCATAAGCTGATGCTTCCAAGATATCCTTCTTTGATGATGCATCAACAATGTCTCTCACTGTAAATCTCTTGATGGCCTTATCTTTGCCAACTAATCTACAACAATTTGAGCATGTAACTGGTTTGACATGTCCTCTGTTTTTCTTGGAACGACCATTATTTCTTCTCTTTGATGGCATAAGAATTTTTATTTTTTAATAATTTATTTAAAATGATTTAATTTTTTTCATATTAACATCCCCAATACATATCTATTTAATTAATTATAGTACATACTCATTCTCATCATCACCCAATCAAAGGATATCTATATATATCATATCATATTCAATGTAATTCAATTCAACACAAATTAACTTAAATAACAATCAATACAAAGCATAACACTTTAATATTTTATTTATTAAAAATGACTGATGATCTCTAAACTATCATTATACTATTATTAAATAATTTCATAACTGTCCTTATTAATATCCTTAAAGTATTTTTAAATATAGAAATTATCCTACATTTTTGCAATAAAATTCAATTCAACATCTTCCTCGGAGCAGCTAGGCTCGGCTGGGTTGTAGGGTGCCCTAAGTCTAAAAATTTGGCAATTGATATTTTATTATTCCTAACTTATTTCATAGCTCAATCAACAAAATTAGCAAAATCATTGATATTCAAACATTAAATAAGTGTAATTGAACAAATTTAGAATGTTTGATAATTAAATGAATCTTCTTGAATTTTTACATCTAATATGAATTAACAGAAATAAATCTATTTTTATATGCTTCGGTATTTTTCAGATTTTTAAGCAAAACAATATTAAAAGCTTTAGGCAATTTGTTAATATATTCATCCTGGATTATACTCCCTTAAATTGACATTCATTTCCAATTAAAAAAATCTATATACATTATTCGCTTTTTTAAATTAATTGAATATTTATCATCATCTAAGTAATTTCAACTGGAATTATTATTATTTTCAGTCCAATCATATATAATCAAATTCAATTCAATATATTGTTGTGTAGGTTATCAAATTAGATAAATTGATTTCTATTAATCAGTAAAGTATACTTCTAACTTCTAATTATAAAAATTAATATCGCTAATAGTGATTACTCAGAGATCTTCTAATTGTTTAATGAGTCCTGCAAGATTCGAAAAAATATCCTTGTGCAACAAGAAATAATATAATTTGAGGATGAAATATTTAAATTATAATATAAAATGGCCGATACATTTTTATTGACTGAGGCTTAGATAACTCAAAAGAAACCTGTATAACTAAGTCCTCCAAAGATAGAAACTGAAGCAGAGAAGAAAGAGAGGCATTGGTTATAGATATTGAATAAAATTCTATTCAATCCTCCAAATGATGACTATTATCAAAAATGGCCAATCAAACCAGGTTGATTTGAAATCATTAAACTTTAATAGGAATATTTTTCTACAAAGCCTTGGCTATGGGAAAATTGCCAACCGAATAAATAAGAGTTAACATACCTGAAAGTGTAATGTGTTTTGAATAAACATATATTTTGATGTACACAGATCCAGCAACAGGGCAATTGATGAGAAAAACCGATATTGGATATTAGGATTTCGAGAATAAAGTATAAGTCAGTTAAATTAGGTGCATCATTATCATGAAGAATATTTGAAACGTCATGTCTAAGATGATAGATTTGATATGAGAACCAATGTATTTGTGAATTAGGATAACCCATATATAATAAGTAGAGGTCAAACAGGATAGGATTGGAATATGTCTAAAGCTGTATATACATTTCGGTAATAAAAAGAGAGAAAAGTTTAATTAGATAACAACAAACTAGAATAGCGATTTGTAATATCAAGAGTAATGAAAGCAACTATTGTTCGACTTGTGTTCTATACAAAGAATTCAAAATCCTCCCATGCTAATTATGGTTATCGAATTATGAATGTAATGGAATTATACGATCCAAATCCAAAAAAATCAATAACAAACAAAACTACTATTAATACAGAACAATAAAACTCCTTCACTATCCAATAAATTAAGGGAGTGGGATTATATGAATACGAGAAGGTTTGCGAATAGATAGTAACCTATTTGGAGAAGAATTACCCTGTAAGAATAAAGACGGGTGTTTTTGACTTTCTCTAAGATCCAGAGGGAAGGATCTGGTTATTCAATTGTAAATAATTAATAATGGAAAATGCTATTTCAATGAGTGAAATTTAAGGAGTAGGTTAAGGAAAGAAGACACTCGATTAATTGACTTGTTCAGTGTATTGTAAATTGTGTGGTATCATATTTAAGAAGGATGATGCTAGCAAAACACTTACTTATAAGTTATTATGGGAATTAGTTTAACATTTAAAAAAAAGAAATAAATAGTTAACAAATATTAAAGTATCTCATTTATCTACCAGACCTTGTAGAGTATGTGATGTTTGTTACATGCTTATTGTTGGAGAGCATGAATTAGTTGAAATTGAATAGAAATTTGCCATTGCTTAAAACATTCCATTGGGAGATGCTATCATCAGAGTTCCTATGGATAGTAAACCAAAGCATAGACCAGCTCTCTTGAATGAATAATTATATCAATGGAGGTTACTGTTTTATTTGGAGATGGTTGATTTGTAAGGTAAGAAATTGATAGATTTGAATGGTAATTCTGTTGGAGACCTTAAGAATATAGTGCTATAATATCGTTTACATCAATCAAAATCATCATTTAAAACACATATCATTAAAGATGATAATTACTAAACTTTGAAATCAAATAAACAACAAACCTCACAATCTTAATAAAAATAACTTAGATTCAGTGGAATTGAAAGGTCTGATTCTATTGATGCTCCAGATGGATAAGGGGAAGATTAATTTGCTTAAATTAATGATGAAAATTTAAAATTGAATGTCATCAGAGTCCATTACTATTTTAGTGAAACTACAGACATAGAGAAGTTTTTGTCAGAAACAGAAATTAAAATGAGATTATGTTAAGGTTCTGAGTGGATTAATTATGTGGCAGAAGGATCTACTAAGACTATACACCACTTTAAAAACTCATAGATGGGAGGTCAGAGACATAGAGCTTAAGTTTTGTTGTTTTTTGCTAATGGTCATTATTGCATATTGAATCTACAAGTTGGATTGGTAATTATTGTCTATATCCTTAGTTTTGTGACGGGTAGTATAATACTGGCAAATTGAATCTGTATAAATACAATAATGTGTACTTTCCAGATGACAATTATTACAATTGTAATCCCTTCCCACCTGAATGGATGGAGATATTTGATCCTCAATATGTGAATATGCATAATACTTTTGAAGAGTAAGTAAAAGAAATAGAGGCTTACTCTCCCAAGTGTACAAAACATGAATTGAATCAAATGATAGATTTCAACAAATATAAGGAAACTACAAAGTATAAGACAGTAAAACCTAAAATTGATGCCAAAAAAAGAGATATTCAATCAGCAGCTCCTCAATATGGTTCGAATACTCAATAGGTATTACCCAAATTGCCGTAGTCGGCCAAGAAATACTCGAATACAATGAGATAATTCGATGAACAACAATTATTGGAGCATTACACTTTGGAGGAGTAGGACATAGGGGAGTTGTTATTCGAAGAGAAGAAATAGAACAAGAAGATTAGCAAGGAAGATAGAGAGTTCTATGAATAACACAACTTATATGATGAAGAAGCAGAGGATAGTTAAGAAGATCAGGAATTAAATTTGAGATTGAATAAGCAAATTCAAAAGTCAATGAAACAGTTGGATAATTAATCGCAACAATCTAATTCTGTGAGACCAATAAGATCAGCATAATAGTTACCACCGAAAGGACACAGATGATAATATATTATTATTATTAATATAAAAATGGTTTATTAGTGGACAAACTTTGTCTGGGAAAACAATGCATGGTGGTTAAGAAGAATCAGACCTGTACTTTTGTTAAAATATCATCAAGTTTATTGTCTTGGGAGGATTTGCATTTACAGCATTCTATGGGGGCAGATATTATTTCTTTGGAAAGTGGGCTTATTATAAACAAAGATAATTTTCAGAGGCTGAACTTGTAGCATAAGCAGAAGTCAATAAGAGGTGTAATTATCACACTAATGCTATATAGAAATTGGGGATATGGAGTTTGGTACAAACCAACATTGGAGAGAAGCAGAAAGAAGTTATTGCAAGACGCATTGAAAGGTAATAGAAAGAGATACATTTTGTGTAGATAAATATAGATATGCGATGACATGGGAAGAGTTGTTTTATGAGGATCCAAGACCAGTTGAAGAAATTCTTGAAGAAGAAAACTCCTGGGAAGAATACGAGATATGACAAGATTTATATTCCCTATATTGTTATAGATATATAATTATTTCATATGAAGAGAGTCCATATGAAATTCATATCACTCATTCTTGTTTTAGAGATGTGGTGATAGCTTAAGCCAATTTCACTAACTCACTTACATAACTAGATAATTGAATATTATTGCATACGTCGAAGTCAATGATGATCTACTAACTACTGATGACTCAATCTTATTTCGCAATGCCACTATTTCATTTAATTATACTGCATCAGACAAAAGTCTTCCTTGTTTTCTCTATGATCCTTTTAATGGCAATTATAGAGTATCACTTGGTCTTTAAAATATCTTCTTTTGTGAAGATTGAGATTTCGAATTTTGAGATTGCTTTTCAATTGAATTGCTCATTAAATTCTAGCCTAAATTGTTTGAAATTCTTAAGATATTGGCTAAATATTGATTACATTTATTTCATTCCATATGCTCTATGTGGAGAGTACAGATTCTTCTGAGGAGTAAAATCATCGTTAGAATTATAATTTAAAATTGTCAAACGAGATTAAGACAAATCTCGAATTCTTGCTTGTAAATTGTCAAAAGATGGTACTCCTTAACGATTGTCCTTTCTTTGAATAGAGATGGTTCTTACTTCACAGAATTGAAGACTGATTAATTCAAATCATTATTCAAACTCAAATTCAATCTGTCTTTCACATGAGAACGATATGATTTCAAATCGAAATTGGCATCTAAGGGACGTCGTTAATTAGAATCATTGAATGTTCTCATAGCTTATTTCAAATATTTAAATTATAAACCTATTTTTGTTTAATTCTAGGTTATTATAAAAATAATATTGTAATCAGAATTTTTTCAATTGTCTGACCGAGATTGAGTTTCTGAAATCATACAACGAACTCAGTTATGGTAAGATAGATTTTGGAGAACACTAAGTGGAATTGGGTTTAGAACGGTTTGCAATATATTAACTAATAGGTCTATTCGCTTATTTCACATAGTAGACTCTTTCCAACTTTTTTAATTCCTTAGGCGAAGAAAGGAAATGAGCAAACGATTTACGATTCTGATTTATCTTTGGTTTAAATTGATAAAATTCTTCATCCGAATCATGTTCAGCCAACACTTCGACATGATGTTGTTATAGTTTCAATTACCTTAGATTCAAACAATAACAAATACTTAATTCCCTCAGCAAGCAAATTGGCCACAGCAGAGGGCTTATGGATATGCACATTCTAATTGATGGCTTTTTTCATTTTATTCCTTTGTCGATCTCTTATCTTTTATACGATCTTGTATCTAATCATGAATAACACACAATGAGCATATTTCCTGAACTTTTTGTATAGTCTCCTCCTTCGATTAAAGCTAATTTGTTTAATATTAATTCAATTTACTTGCTTTCAAAGGGAAATAACTGAAAAGTCTTTTTCATAAATGAATTGTTCTTACCACAATCAATACAATCGCAGCTGGAATCTCTTATAGCTGTTGAAAAGTATTTTTTCAATTTTCTTGATTATCGTTCGCTTAGTTATGGAATTTCCTCCACTAATGGTATTCTATGCTTTGTAAATAAGGACATTTTATCGAAGAATCTCGATGGTCTGCTGCTTTGCTGTTGGGAAATAATCTTTCGATGCTATGGTTTGATATGTGTCTACAGTAATGATTTATTCATTTTATTAATAAATATAAATTGATTTAACTGGAATACATTAACAACATAAATTTCATATTAATTATCGAATTCGTCCTCTATAATCTTCAAAATACTACTATTTTCATTATGAATTTCTACACTTGAAATGCATTTAAATATGATCAAGTTGTAAATACTCGTGAATTTACAATTTATTAATTGTTATTTTTATTTAAATTAATAGAATATCTCTTTAAAGTTATTCTTAACCTGAAAATAATTAAAGAAGAATTAAACTTCAAATATTCCAGTTAAGATTGAGTGTTGAGATTATCTTTTAAATATATTTTATTATAAATATAAAAAAATTTAGAATTACTTATATAAAATATAATTAACCTGCTAAAATAGAGTTTAGATCAGTAAGGTCATATTAAATTCAGTTATTGATAACAAATTGGATAAACATATGTTTAGTTGTATTATATTTTACATCAAATTTATCATAGCAATTGAGAATATTATATTAGTTAAATCAATTATGAAATATCATATTAAAACATCCCTTAGAATAAAGTAAGTATTAAATATATTGGTTGTTAAGATAAAGTGAAAAATTATAAATATAATATTGAGTAATTAATTTGCAAATTTTCTGATAGAATGTTCTTTTGAGATTAAAATTCTATTCATACGTGGAATAAATAAAATAAAAAATAATTAATGAAGGTTAGCATATTAGTGTTCATCTTACTTTCTTGCACATTTGCAAAATAGTTGTATGATGTAAAAAAATCATATGTCACTCCTGTGAATGAAATCAATTTTGAGAAATAAATTAACAAAATCAGACAAACAACAAAATATGTTACTATCGTGCATTTCTATAAATACTCAGGTATGTTTGCGAATTTGATTGGTAGATGGAGAAAGTAGATCATTTGCACCAAAATATGATGAATTTACAAATGAATATAAAGGTATTTTCAGAATAGCCTCATGTGATTGTGACGAAGCTGAAAAGATTTGTTAGAAAGAGAGTGTCTCAAAATTCCCCACATTTAGAGTATATCCTCCATATCCAGTTCCAGCAATTGATTATGAGGGTCCTCTTGAAATAGATGGAATCTTGAAATTGGCTACAAAATATATCCACAACAATGTTATCGAAATTACTGAAGCTAACATTAACACATTTATCAATGAAAACCCTACAGTTCCTAAAGTGCTATTATTTAGTGAAAAGAAAGGATTCCCATTAGTTTTCAAAGGATTGAGTGTCGAATTTGAGGTATGTGCATTTGTTTAATATTCATAGAAAAAATTATCATTTGGTATAGTGAGATCATCTGAAAAGGCCTTATTGGATAGATACAATATCAAAGCATTCCCTAAGTTGTTACTTGTAAAGACTAATGAAAAAAAACCATTCCCATATACAGGAGAATATAAATTCAAGCCAATGTTTGATTTCTTGAATGTTCACAGCGAAGTCTTCGTACCAGGAGGTGGATCTTCTTCTGATAGTGCTGCAACAAAAGAATGGATGATGCAAGTTGTTCCTTAATTACATCAAAGATCTGCAAATGATATCTGCTTAAAGGTTGATAGTGCTATTTGTGTAATCTTATTGAACAATGGAGATAAACCGTAAATTATTTAAATTAATATCCTTTAGAGACAATGGATTGGTAGATGAATTGAAGAAATTGAACTAATAATACGAGAGACATATCAATAGAGGAACAGTTTTCAAATTTATGTGGTTAGACGCAAAGACAGAATCAAAAGTAATTATATTTTGTATAATTATCTTAGTGGGGTTAAACATTAGAATTCTCAGGTGAACCAAAAATAGTGTTATTGAATCCAACTAAAAGAAAGCGATTTGCTGTTCATGATGGTGAAATGACATTTGAAGGAATATGTATATAGATTAATTAACTATTATTTTAGAAAGAACTCTAGAGAAGTTGATCAGTGGAGATCTCAAATTCAAAAATTTAGGAGAGTCATTACCCGATTTTGTGAAAATTGATTTGTGAATATTGTTAATTAGCTTATCATTAATATTTATTTATAATGTCATAAATATATATATACAAATAATTAACACATTTTAAGATGTATATAGTGTTTAATATACTTTAAATAATAACAACAATATTATATATTTTATGAAACTATTGATATTATTAATACTATTATCAAGTGTCTTATGTAGAGAATATAGACCAATGGCTGGAGGGAGATTTAAGCCAGACCAAAATGATGAAGGACTGGGATAGGCAATAACATATGCGAAATAGCATTTTGAAAGTTTAAATGGGTTAGATAATAATAGCATCTTGTGATGGGACTTCTGGATATGAATGGGATACAACAACGGATGTGGAATAGTAGATTGTGAATGGAAGCAATTACTATATTTCAGCTTAGTTGAGAAATGGGGATAAAATAAAAAAAGTTTAAATTGTAGTTTATATGCCTGCATCTCCACCAGACATAAGAATAACATCATGTTCAGTGTTATGAAATATGTAGATAAGATGAATCAAATAATATAGTCTGTTTTGATTTTTTTATTTTATTGATCCTGTCCAAAGACTCTAGAGACCAATTTAATGAGATCTTTTTTTGTAATACTTTTTTCTAGAATTCTGAATAGAGACTCTGCAGTGATGTTGTTGGTGAGCCAATCAAACATTGTCTCTTATTAATGATCGTTTTTTTATCTAGATTAGTAAATCTCTATATGTGTTACTTTAGTTTACATAATTCTTACCATAAATAGGCATTCTCTTTTTATAATTTATCACTTTGCTGAATGAGATATTTGAACAAAGACTCTAACTCTTGATTTCTCAAAGTCAAAATAGATAATTGTTGATTAATTTATTCAATGCTAGGCAGTACGATAATTTAATCATTAACTTTTCTTTTAATTTAGGGAAGCAGTTCTCTTATTTGTCTTTAATATATTTTACTTCTAATTTCTTCTGAATAATTTGTGTTTAAATGAATACTTTTCTGTCTTATGAAAATCATAAATATTCAACTTAAGTTCTTATATATAATTGAACTACCTGACGAACAAACGAAGAGTAATTGGAATGCTTAAAGTAATTAGGCAATATGTAATTCTGAAATATATTGATATCTTTCACATCAAATCTATCTCCATTGTCATTCCAACTAACAATATCATCATAATCTTGGTGCTTAAATTGATATCAGTCAGATACCTCTAAAATAGAATATACTTTATATAAAAACCCAGGACCTTCTTTATTCATTAATTATGTTATTAATTATACTATTAGCATTAAATGCATTTGCGTATCTGCATAAACAGGAATAACACTGGATGGACTTGTATAACAAAATGAACTCAATTAAAGAATTTCTGTCTCAATTGGAATACTATACGGCTTTGGAGAAGCTAGAATTCAAATCACAGGAGAATCTTGAATTCGAAGAGGAAAGTCTAACAATTTACAAAGAACACTATTAGGAAGTAAACATAACAACTCATAATCTAGATTATAAATTCCTTTAAGTAACAATTGACATTTAATAAAAACGAAAAGGAAGATATAAAATTATTTTTGAGGGAAACATTTCCAGAAGTTGTAGAAAGGATAAAACGTATTATTGTAGATAAAGTAAATTAATACTTAATTTAAGGAAAAATTAATCGAAGGCGACATTAAAGAACTAGCTAAACTCAAACATTAATAGCCAGAAGACATAAGTCAAAGATTTGAAGAGTTCAATCATTTACATAAGAAAATTTAGGAAGGTACTTAAGATTAATCAATCAAGATTAGTTTTGGAATAGAATGATGAATAAATCATTTATAAAACAGTAGAATTATTGGAATCAAAGATTATGATAGGCTCTTTCAAATAGATACAAAGTTAGGAAGTCGATTTCTTTATGAAGAGTGTTGATAAACTTTTCAGGGAAAAGCAGAATCCTCATAAGAAATAAGATGCAATCCAATTACTCAGTCTAATGAGCAGTGTAATATCAGAATATCTTATTAAAATCGTGAATGATTAAATTGAATCATCCTTTGAATTTCTGGATAAGGAACTCTTCTTTACCGAATCCAAAAAGACTCATTTCAATGCAAAGGAATAATACATCAATCTCTTAAATAGATTAGATTGTAATGTTTATCTTATTTTAAGAATTTCATTAAACAGTTTGGAAATAACTGATGGAATTACCATATGATAGCGATTAATTAGAAATAGCTGAAAAATAGTTTGAATAAGCAACATAAATAGGGACTCGTGCCATATCATATCATACATAATTTATTGATATGGTAAAAGCAATGTTAGAACGGTTTTTGTAAAGATGAATTAAGTTTATATAATTAAACTATTCATCATCATCTCTCAAGTTATTAGAAACTAATTTAGTTATATATTTATTTCCATCTTAAAGTAAATAAATATATCTGATTTTATGCCCTTTCCACTATCAATAATTCTAAGATAAATTTGTCATCTAAAAAATTCTTAGAATACTGTTTTCTTATTCATATATTTTTGTCTTATAACTTTTACTCCTCTTTAACTTTTCTTGATGCTCTAATTATAATTTATTGTATTCAAATATTGTTTTCAATCATTCAAAGTATATTAGATCTATTTATAACTAAATATTATTCTTGCTGAATAACGGTAACTCAGACATTCCTTATCCAGATAAAACGAAAATTTACTAAAAAGGCGTACTTTATAATCAAATTCATTTTAGATCCTGGAGTTGTTCTACAATTAACAGAGTTATCCCAAGTAGAGAAAGATACAATGTAACTTCAAAAGACAAAATATCGCATTTTCATTATAAATGTATCTTAACACCTCATTCTGAATTAGTTGTTTCTATTCATCATAACATTTATTTAAAGCTTAATCAACTAAAAAAAATGTTCAAAGGTTTAATCTATATTGTTAATTCATATATATTTCAAAATTAAATACATATACAATATTATAATCAAAATAGAATTGATTTCCGTTCAGAAGTGAGTTTCTATTGGTTAACTTTGATAATTTAAGAATTTAGTTATTATACCTTCTAGAACTATTTAATCCTCTTAACGAATTTCTCTGAATCACTTTATAGAATTTGATTTTAGATGGCTTTACTAGTTCTATACATATTATCGATATTGATTTCTAACATTGAATTAAGAGATGAATCATTAGACATGCTGATATTGCGAGAAGTTAAATCATTATTGAAGTTCTAAATAAAATGTTTTGGTCTGTCAACATTTCTTGTAGTCTAACACATCCTCTCAGAAGTATCTAATTTTTTTCCTTTCTCTTTATTTCTCATGAACATGTAAGCATATAACTTTACATCTTTGCTTAAGGGATCATTCAAAACATATTTGTCTTTTTAGAATCCTTAATATTGATTATTTTTCAATAACAACTTTCTTTTAGCTTTATTCAAGATATCCTATTCTTTTTATTGTTTCTCATTAACAAACTTCTTCAATTAATCATTAATTGCATCTCGAACCTTCTATTTAATAAATTATTTGTTATCACAACTGGTAGTATTTTCATTTTACTTTTCAACCTTTTTAACTCTTAAATATCCATGGGTTGTATATTTTACGTTATCAAATTCACGCTATCCATTAGCTCTCTCAGTCAATAGATTTCTCTATTTTATCTTATTTTTATTTTCTTCACTCACCTCATAGAGTTGTCTAAAAAGTTACACATCTCTGAGATTGTTGTCTTCATTTGGTTCGGTTTATGAGTTCCTTTAAATTAATTTCTTTATTTTCTCAAATCTTTAAAATACTCGCACTTTTTTCTCGATTTCTTCATCTGTGAGTCCTTGTTAATGCAACGATTTGTATTTGTTTCCCACTTGCAATTAATTAGCAAACATGTTGGCTCTCTTAATGAGTTTGATCCTGCTTTTTAACTTGGCTTCCTTTTTACTTATGTGATTGCATTCATTAACTAAATTGAGAGCAGAACGTTCCCCACATAAATATTCCCTAAAACCTTGTCTAAGCTTTTCATTGAACTAAAATGGGTTTGGTTAATGCAACGGAGATTGTGTGCATATTGGATCATTTATCAATTAATATTTTGATGCAGCTAATCTCTTTGCCTGATTTCTAGATTTAAGAGCATTGTTAAAATTTCCAAACATTTGATCCCAAATTAATAAGTTCTATCGATTGCCTTCAGCTGTAGATTAAGGAGTGCTTGCTAGAGTTGTCCTAGATTTAGAAGTAATCTTTAGCATTTAATTGATTCTATAAAATAAATTACACAAAACTCATTCAATCCTATTGAGATTGATGGTTTATATGTACTTATTAAGTTATACACAAACATTAATTCAAAAATTCATTTTAAAAAAATGAAACTATCACTAAATTCAATACTTGTATTTTGTAAAGTATATATATAAGGAGTAAGAGTGAAGTTCTTGTAAATATTGAGTAATTAATTTTTATTATTAAATATGAATTATTAAGACCCTACTATTTTGGCATTAAAATAATAGAATGTTGAACAGCAGAGATAAATAGAATAATTGATGGGGAGAGTCAATATGCTCATTAAATAATAATAACTATTGAGACCTCCAAATAAAAAATTAGAAATTGTGTATAAAAAGAAAAAACTTCATGACGAAATAGTAGATGAAGTAATTAAAACATTTACTTCTATTATAGCTAAAATCGGCTAAGGAATCTCTTTATGATCCACTGACTGAGAAAAGGAAAAAGGATGATAACTTTATCAAGAGGTTCCAACTCAATAAGGCGATTAAAACAGCCAAAGCACAAGTCGAAAAGGAACGTGAAGAACAGGCTAATTATATGAAGAAGATTAGTAGCATTCATTAGAAATCGATCGAAGAACAGAAACTATAGATGTATTAGGAAAAAAGAACAAACAGGAATAAAGTCTAATTAAATGAATTTTAATCTAAATACAATTATTAATTATATTGGGATGAGAGAGTAAAGAAATTTGAATAAGAGTAAAAAAGTGTTAAGCATCAGCTATCTAAATCTATGATGGATTAAGAAAATTTAATGAATTATTTGGAACAATAAGAAACACTATTATTGGGAAGATTGCAATAGAGTAAGTCTTCTCAATAGTTCTTATAATAAAAATTAGAAGATGCCTAAAGATTAAAGGCGAAAGATTTTGAATAAAAATATGGGAAGCCCAAAGAATCCAAGTTTTAATAAGTACTAGATATCAAGGCTAAATGATGAACATTTTTTTATATTTAATAAATTAATTACCTATTATGACTTAATTTATAATATTGTTGCAAAATAAGTTATATAATTATTTATAAGATTCATTTTAATCATATTTCAACTAGTTTTTTTTTTATAATAATATACTATATTTAATGAATCAATTATTCTTTGTGAATATACTATTTCAAAACGATTAAAAATTTTATTAATACTAAATAATTTCTTAAATAAAATAGATTGGTTACTTTTTAAGATCAAGAATTAAGATGATTAGCAATTATTTATACATCTTATCTATGTTGTTTTTATTATTATTTTATATTTAATATTCATTTTCTAACTTGTGATTTGAAAGCTAACAAATCATTTTCCAATTAAACTTTATCCAATTTCAATTATTCTCTTTCTTTTGTTCTTTAATCCAAATCTTTCTTTAATTTATCACAGTCTGTTTGTAATTATTTATTCTGTTTTTCTGAACTTGTCCATTTGTCATTCATTAATCCAATTTGCGATACTTTAGCTTCTAATTGTCCCTGTGTTTATTTGACTTTTGTTAACTCATTGACATTCTAGTCAAATTATTACTTCAATTAATTGAATTGATCCTCCTTAGTTTTCAATGTACTTTATAAAACAGCAATTTAATCCTTTAATCTTTATAATTCTTAATCTTTCTTATCTCTATCCTTTGTCAGATTTGCTAAATCCTTTTGAGCTTGAGCTAATAGAATATCATATATATAGATTACCTAATTGTTATTCAAGTACTTTTAATTTGTCTGCCAATACTTTTTTATCTTATAATTATTGTTCCAAACCTGCAATTGTTTGTTTTAATTTATCACTTTCATTTCCTTTCTGTTCAAATGTTTGTTTGATTCTTGTAAATTCTTATTCAGTTGTTTATGTTTGTTTTTTGAAATCATTAAATTACTTTTCAATCAATCTAATTCTATTCAATTCAACTTCACTTGTACTAAGTTTTTGTGATAATACATCATTTTCAGTCACCTTATCCTTATACAATTATTGTAAACGATCGACTTCTTTAGAAAGTTCTTAAGCCTTTCTATCTGCCTCAGGTAATCTGTCTTTGAATCCTTGTAACATATTAATTTCTTATTGAGCCTTATTCAACTATCTAGTTAATTCATCCAATTATCTCAGATAGTCTTTGATTTAATCTTCTTAATTCCTACATTTCTCATTCACTGATTACAATTGAACAAGTTATTGATTCAAAATTATTATTTAAGAATTCAATTACTAGACTTCTAGTACTCTTTCTATAAGTTTCTTATTTAAATCATCATAGTCCTTTAATTTTTCATCTAATTTTTATTAGAAATCTTTAACTTGGGTTTCAAGAGTTGAAATTTCTGCTTTCAACTTTAAGATCTAAGCCTTGAGATCTTCTATTTCTTTATTTCTTTTTTCAAGAATCAGCTTCAATCTATCAATTTCTTATGCCAAAAAGACTGTTTTGGATTCAAGGTCACCTATTTTCTTTTCCAACAATTCATTGTCCTTTAAGACCTAATCATAATTCTATCGGTAGTCTTTTAATTCTTCATTAAGTGTAGCATTCTCATTTTCTAATTGATGAATTTTCCTGTCTGCTTCTTCTAAATCCTTTTCTGCCATATCAAGACTGTGATCTCTATCTTGGATTAATTATTATAATCTCTCTATTTCTTTACGTTGATCTTCAATTTAATCTCTTAATTATTAGATCAAGAATTCCAATTCTCTTATTTTTGATTCTGCATTAGAGAGATCATTAGCTAATCTATTTAATTCCTAATCCTTCTAGGCAATTATATCTTCTGCTCTTTATAAATCTGATTCTAATCTTCTGATGATACTTTCCTGTTCTTTGATGAAATTGTCCTATCCTGAACTATTGTTCTTCAAATTAGAGTTCTCATTTTCTAATTGTCCATATCTATTCCTCCAAGTATCTAGATCTGATTGATATTGTCTCAATTGAGAATTGAGATCATTAATTTAAGATTCATAGTTTCTGATGGCTGTATTGTATTTGCCTTCCAAATCTCCATACTTCAATCTCCAATCATCGATTTCCCTTTACATCTAATCAATGATCTATCTTAATCTATTGATCTCATCGTCCAAATTTCTAACAACTCCATTCAACCTATCTATTTCACTCTAAGCCTATCTATACTAATTTTCTAGATTAGTGTATTTAGAAGTCCATTCATCAATGGTATTTCTCAACTCAGATTGTAATCTGTTAATATCATTCTCTCTATCTCTCAATAATCCATTGAGTCTTTCTGACTCACCTCCTGAAGAAGATTTGTAATTTGAGAATTGCATCTCCAGAGCACTGTACTTGTTTCTCCAATCGTCTAAGTCTCTCTTATATCTTTCAATTTCTGAGTCTCTATCTCTAAGTTGATTTTTCAAATTATCCAACTCTGATTAATACTAGGCTATTTTAGAATCATAATCTCTCCCCTTGGCTTCCCATTCTCTAAGTTTATTTTGATAATCAGATATCTGAGTTTCGTAATTCTTAATTTTGAGTTGATACTCTGAAATCTAAGTTTCCAATTCCTTAATTCTCTTATTCAATCTGTCTATATCTGATGAGGAATTTCCTTTAAGATTCTTTATCTCGTTAATATAATTCTCAATCTCCAATTTCAACCTCTTAATATCACTCTCAAAGTTGGATTTCTCTGTATTCCAAGTCGACTTCAGATTATTTATTTCTGTTGTGTACTTACTCTCTTAATCCTTCAACTATCGTTCCAAATCCTTGATTCTCTACTCTGCCTATTATAACTTATTGGCCAATGTGTTGTCTACCTATCCCAACTTTGATTTGTATTGGTTGATCTCATCCTCTAAAGCCTTGATTTTCACGTTTTGCTAATCAATAGTTGTCCTATAAGATTACTCATCTTTCTTACTTAAACTGTTAGACCTCAAGATTATACTTCTCCTGAAGTGTAGTGTACTCACTCTGCAATTTCGAGTAGTTACCTTACAACTCATTGATAAAGGCTCTTTGATCTGAGTTTTCCCTCTGCAGTCTGTCCACTTCTAAAGCAAGTAAGAAGCACACAACTTCAGGCTTCTCTCCAAGCCATTTTCGTTCCTTTGATGGTGGAGGCACATTCACAACCTCCTATTAAGGCTTCACTCTTTATGATATAAATGAAAGAAAAGTACAGTACGGATTTACGCTGTGTGCTGCTTCTTTGGGGTGCTTCAGTTGTGTTGGTACTTGAATATTGTGAAGAAGTTGTGGTAGCTCCTCCTATTCCAGAAGAACGCACCGTAGATGATATGCTGCTTGAATATCTTGATGAATAAGACATTAATAAAATTTATTAAGCGCTGTTTATTAAATTTAATGTAAAACTAGTCCCTGATTAAAGGAACACCAGTATCAAATCAAGCTGAGAGGCAAATTTAGAAAAAAGAAAAATAAATCCTAATTGGATATTATTGGATTATCAAATTAGAACAAGAATCTCTTGTTCATTCAAATTCTGTCTAATGATATCTTGAAATCTCACATTAAGCAATCTTAGACTAAAATCAATGTTGAAAAGAGTGATGATAATAATAAAATAATAGATTGAAATACTTTCATAAAAAAGGATTATAAATTGTACTAAAAATGAAGTGCTGAGTGTATATGAAATTAAAAAGATGAAATTTGATAATTAGATTATCTTTAACTAAGAATCCTTAAGAATTATCATCATAATAAGTTTGCCTTAAGTTTGTAAATCAATTTGGAACTAATTAAATAGAATAAATACCTATATTTTGTAAACCACTTCCAATTCATCCGCTCTAGTAAATTCTAATAAATGTAGAAACTCAAAATGTAAGATTTTTCTATTCTGGATTATCTTAGAAAATAATTATATTTATCTGAATTAATAGATATTTCAAAAATGTATTATGTATTCATTTAAGAAGTGAGTTTAAAATTATTTGGAATGCAAATGTAATACAGTATAAGTAAGTAGTAGAATGAGAAAAAAAATAAGAAGAGTTTAGATAGAGTTTATTCACCATTGATAATGAAACTTTAGAATCTTTTTCGGAATACTTATTTAATCATCTCATAATTGAATTGATGGAGGAATTAAAACTTGATAATGTTATTTATTTATCTCACTATTGTATTTCAAGGGCTATTTTATCAAATGGATATTTGATTGGGTGCTATTTGTATATTTTCTACAATGCCTATATCACAATTGTTCCTAAATCCTTATCATTTCCTTCTCTTTTCTTTTTTCTTAATGTTTACAATAGACCCCACAAACATCTTGGCTCATTGGGATTTTTGGATAACACAAAACAATAATAGTTCTTAGCCTATGAGTAATTTTGATTGCTATAGTTGATCTTTTAATGTGCATTAATATTATTACTTCTGCTAATTTAATCCCTAAATGTAAATCCTGAGTATTAAGCAATAAAACTTCTTCAAGACAAAATTAAGCCTTGGAGTAGTTCAAGTGTTCTAAATATATGTCAGACAATTCTAGCCATGCTTCAGCATCGTTGGGGAAGGAAGTGAGAAAAGTATTCAACAAGGCTATTGCCTATTCTACATTATTTTATCTCTTTAACATATATCATTTTCAATTACCCTTAACAATGCTATTTTTCTCTTTCTTGAATTTTGATCCATCAAATTTTCAGACAGCATCTTCTCATATACCACTTAAGCATTCTCATCCTCTCCATTGGCTTCCAACAAGTATCCTTTTAATCTCTAAACCTTTTCAGCTGTAGGGAAATTTTTAAGCAAAACTTAGAGTACTTGCTATTGTCTTTACACATATTTACATCACTTATGTTTATCAATTACATATCAATTGACAAATAAAACAATTCTTGAAGGAGCACTAAATATTCTGAACTTGAGGGTTTGAATTGTCTAATCAACTTATAAATCACAATTGAGAGACCGTCCACTATGCGAATGTTACCATTTTTCATTTTATGAAACAACTGCTTTAAATTCTTCATGCTTTCCAACTATTCAATCACTAATTGATGTTCCTCCATTAATATATAAATATTTTAAAATATTTGTGTTAAATAAATACAACTTTGACTTTTTTTGTTACCATATGTAAATCAATATTCAACTTAAAATCATACAAACACAGAATTTAGAAGAGAGATTATAACATTTAACATAAAAATGAATATATTCGAAGGTAAATATGATCTTAAAGATTGCAAAAATTATTTCCTCATTTAGAGAATAACTTTCTTATCATTCAATATTTCAATTAGTTATTCATTTTAGTATATATAAATATCTAATATCATTACAATAATTGATGTGTGGAAACTAATAGTCTGTTTTTAAAGCTTCGATATATTCTATTTCCTAATTCCTAATGTAGACCCAAATTTAATAGACCTATGGCATTAGGAATGCAATGCTGAATTTCCTTTAAATTATATTTAACAGTTGTGTTTTTACAATTTTTCATACTTTCAAAATATAACCAAAATCTTTTTCTCTTTTCCTAATAAAATATTGATACGTAGATTTAAGTAGGCCTCATTGTAAATACCATTCTCTTTAACAACGTGTATTAATAAGACTAATAATATCAATAAATATGTATACATACTTTGAAAGAGGAATATTACTCATAATTGGCATTCACTTTAATTACTTAAGGACATTTCTCATCTCCTTACACATCTTAAACGATAAATTTAGAGGGATTCAATTTAAGTTATTTTTTCAATTTGTTTAACATGTATACTGAACACTTTTAGATATCAGATTCTATGAATTCATATTGATCCACACTACAATCATTCAATTTTAAATTCTGAAGGTTCCTCCTTTCATCGTTATAATAACTATAAAGTACCTTCCTCAACATTAGTTTAAAATTCACTATTTTAGGTTGTTCAAAGAGAGTAATTCTTTAATACAATTAAAAATTCTAACTCTCATTTAATCTGATGGGTATGTATGGTTTCAACATATTAAAGGGTTTTCTAATGTTCTCAACAAATACTTCAAATAGGGCATTAACTTCATTACCCAAATAAACAACTTAAGTATATAAATTCTCTCGTAAAACCCCTTTAAATGTATCAAGATTGAGTATAAATCGATTTTATTGATTCTTAGTAATTTTTACTCTGTCAATAAGGGATTCCCATATTTTAATTTCGAAAGTTGAAATCATATCAAGATTGTTCTTTCTTACAAGGATCTAATTAAAGAATAAATCCTTATCACTTGAATACAGATTTTCAATACTATCTTAATTTGATACTCTAGGACTATTTCTATAAAAAATACTCTTGTCAGTCTTCTATTAAAATTATGATGTAGGCAATGGCAATCTCATACTTGTTTGACCGATAGAGTTTTGCACCGAAAACTATTTGGAGAATTATTTTTTAACAAAGAGAGGAGGTTGGGTTGAGGATCTGGCATTTTATCTACTTTGATCACTAAAGGAATCAAGCATTTTAGGAGTATCATCCAAAGGTTTATCTAAGAATTCATCCTCGTTATTAATGGAAACCTTGCTCTCAGTCAGTTTTTATAGTTCAGATTGTGGAATAGCTCTAGCCTGACTTCGCATTTCGCTATAGAAGTCTTCAAACTCATCTGGGTGATTGATGGCCATTTGATAAATTTTGTTCATTTCAGAGAATTTCCATCTATTGATATAGAATTGGTCAATAGTTTCCTTGGTCACTAAACAGGAAGGGAATATGGATTCTAAGAAGACTGGATTCATGTTTTGAAAATCATTTGATGAGATATAGCAACTGAAATTCCTACAAGTTTGTGGTATATACAATCCAATTTGAAATTTGTTGAGAGATAAATAAGATATGGTGATGATGACATACATGTTATTTACAATTTTGGTTGTTTTATATATAAATTTCTATCCTCTAAAGATGGGAGTTAACATAGTAGTATTTTTTAAGACTTTGTTAGCTTCTTCTGGCATTTATAAATTATCTATTTAGACATCCATGATTTAAACTTAAGACTTTTTTCTAAGCATAGGATCACTAATTAAAATAGATAATTTGGGATGAGAAGATCTAGCATGTTGTTGTTCTTCTAGAATGTTGCTTCCATATGTTACTTCCGTGAATGTATTGTGAAGATCATATTTGGATTGACTTGCAATATAAGATAATGGTATTTTGATTCCATGATAAGTGTTGGTTCTATAACATACTAAATAAGCTGTCAATATTTTAATGATTTCACGTAACACCTTGTCTTAAAAACAATTATGTGATGTCACTTTGTTACAAATACTTTTGATGTCAGCAAAGTCCAAAACCAACTTAAATACCTTGGTTCTGCTCTCCTAAGGAGTAATTTGAAAGTAGAAGTAGGTGTGATCATTAGTTAATTGATCACAGTAAAATTCGTTAAACTAATATACTTCACATTCCACAAACACCTTACCTATATTGCTTACTCTACTTTGAGCATTAAAGGTTTTGCGATGAAAGTAGGTTTTCATGAAATACCTTAAACGACTTGAAGATATCAGAGTCAATTTCAACTGTTACTTGAAATAATAAAAAAGGATTGTTTATTTTAATAATCTATGATTTTCATTATTTATGAATTGCAAAGGATCAATTATGTACATCAATAAAAACTAATCTAAACCACTAAACTTATCCCTATTCCGATCCTCCAAACTAACAAACTATCTATTGAATTACAAAGCTCTCCCTATTAATTTCCTTTGCAATTTGGCTTGTGATTTAATTTAATACCCTATCAATTATGGTTTGATGAATATATGAAGCATCTTCTCAATATCTTAAATTGATTGAATCGTACGAAAATAATATAAATGTTGATTAGGATTGTATAGTGTGATCTTCACCAAAAGTTTCTAATTTCTTATCAATTCATGCATGTTCTTTTTGAGAACAAGTAAATCTTACTTTGCTTATTAATCACTCAAATACAAGAGTTTGGTGTCTAGAATTTTGACTTCTCGAAAGCACGTCTCAACTTTAAAATTTAGATTCTCCTCAAAATAATAGAATTTATTGTTGTTTATATGGAACTTAGATCTATAAGTAAGAAAGGATTTGCTATCAATTGCTTCTTCATTGGATTGATTGACCCCAGTTTCAATAGTCAATTGAATGCCCTCTTCAGTTTCAGTCCTATTCAAATCCGGCATTAATATTAGGGAAGTTCTTTTTTCAGAATAATTAAGACATTTGATTTCTGTTGGAGGCATAACTTGATTGGTTCGTAAGTATTAATGGATTTCATTGTGTATGAATTCATCATAATGATTAACTCTTTTGATATACCTATCTAAAATAATTTCAGTATGTCTGTAATTATATTATTTAAGTTCCTGAGCTAAGGTCAATCTCTATGAACTACTTTTTTTCTCTTTCAATAATTCCAAGATTTACAACTTCTTTTGACGATTAGGCAATCTGATACCAGGATCTATTTAAATCAATTATTTAATTATATTCCCGTCTTGATTATCAATTACCAAATATGTTGAACCATCTTCATAAAGGATATAACCAGTTTTAATAGAATTATCTTACCTTAATGTTACATTGAGCATTATAAATTAATCGGGATATTCTGGGAGGAATTATTCGGGTTCTGGTTGAATGATTTGACCTCTAGGGGGAAAGTAGGTAGATTTATAGTTAAACTAATTTTTAAATGAAATGATTGGGCCTTCCTGTGGTTGGTATTCTGCGAAGTCAGCCAGATTGGCAAATTAGAATTCAGGTAGATAATCATTAAGAAATTATATATCTGATTGTGATCTATCTCTGCTATACTCATCGAGACTTTATTTTGAGATGGGAGGTTCGAAATTAAATTCTTCTTTTTTTATTTCATCTGGTTTTTGTTTCTTTGAAAACTCCAAAAAGTGGCTAACATGTGTTTTCCTTTGTACAGCATTGCGAATCAAAGCTTATGAGGAGATAATAGAATCAAATCTAGGACTAGCCATTGTGTTTCTATTATGAATTACAGAATATTATTTCTTAGGGTTCCTCTGAGGGATCTCTTAGATAAAATCTTTCTCTGAAATATTTTCAATGGATTTAAAATTATTAGAAAATTGTTTTTATTCAGTTGGGGATTAAGATGTGACACCTCCTTTTGAAAGGTCAGATTTATTATCATCTGAGTCTTAAATTATAATGCTTTGCTCTCGAGATTATTTAATCTCATCTGAGAAGAGTTGTTGTTTTCTGTTTCTGGATGATGATGAAATAGTTGGCAATTCTTCTGTTTTATGTTCTATGATTTTGATGGGTTCTATTTTGAATTGTCTTTATATCATTCTTCTTTTGTTCTCCTTTTCAATCTACTTGTTTTTATAATAGGATCTAATGTCAATAATATCGTGTTGTAATTGATGTTATATTACATCCTTCATTGATATTATTTTGAAACCAACAACTGATCTGATCAAATAGTAATGATTTTTTAAGGCATATAACAGTTTACTCACTATTTCATGGGCATATTCAGCACCAGAAAATATGATGGCATGATATTTGTTGGACTGATGCAGTGTTTATTATTTACAATAAATACTTAATAAACCATTAAAGTTTTGTAGTCTATCTTTGGAAAACCACCTTTAGTATTCATCCAAATAACTAGCAAAGTTGTTTATTTTGAAATTGAGTGTGTATTATTATTTATCATTTGACAATCTAAAATAAACAATTAATTGTAATGCTTTAATTGATTAAACATCTGCAAATATATTCATAATGTATTGTAACTAATTTTCTAATTGAAGTTTACTACAGATATATACATATTTCACTAGCAGATATGTCATGTTGTATTTCTTCTTCTTCCTCCGTATCCGGATTTTGAGAGTTGGCATCACTAAAGGCTCTGACCCAAATATTGGAGAGTTTCCAAATCTTAATTTCAGAATCAAAGAACAACTTAGATAAGAAGTACAATTCCGATTCTGGTTAATTGTAGAACTCTTTAATAATTGAGACCAACTAGGATAATCAATTTATATAACATTACCGTCTTCGCTTTATTTGAACTGGATTAGTCGGAATCAGTATTTTTGATTTCCTTAACAATGGAATCAAATCCAAAGTTTCTTCTCCTAACTGAATTCTTCATTTCTTTAATTGAAACTTTCATTTGATTCCTCCCTGTCTATTAGCTATCAATCTTCTCACTAATTTATGTTGCATTAATGGGTCTAGGAAGATTGATAGGTGTTAATTCAATAGTTTATATCGATTATACCTTCTTTATCCCTTTAGAATATCTCCTATAACAAGACTAAATGATGGTGGCTGCCAAATTCAACTAATCCATTGTGTACTTATTGAGTAAGTCTGCAAAATGATTGTCATTCTTTTCAGAAACTTCAGTTAGCACATTCTAAATTACAGGCATCTACTAGATTTGCTATTGCTATTATTAGGCCAAAATGGATTCAGTAGTGGGAACATGCAAATCATCCATTTGCTATTATTAGTTTAAATCTTAAATGGTTTGCAACTTATGTATTTTTTATTCACTTTATTGAGAGTCAGATTTAATGTGGATTAGTTGACTACTCTATTTATTTAAAACACGAGGGATCAATCTATTTGATAAAAATTTCTTTTTGCTAATATTTTTAATTTGTTAAGCAGATTCAGTTTCTTTGTTATCATTCTTCTTCTTTCTTTGTACCACATATTCTGATTTGATCTACGGTCTAGACAACAATAAATCATCAACTGTATCCTTCTTCAATTCTGTTGTTTATAATTGTTATCTATGAAAAATCGATATGAGATACTTTAACTAATCCATATGGTTCTCCAATTAATAGAGACTACTTCTTTGAGATTAGGTAGCATTGGACAATCTAGGAGAGAACAATCTATCTTAAGGTAGAAGAGATTGATTGTAAGTGGAGACAGCTCTAGATGAAGACTTCTTATTTTTGATTTGGTATTATTTCTATTTATTGTTGGAGTCATCAAATTTCTATTGAAATGATATGGTTCTCAATTTATCCTCGTATTCTATTCTGACTTTCTTCACATATTCTGGCATCTAGTACTTGGTTGTATGTTAAGTTAATTGTCCTACTATTTGCTGATACGATTTAACTTATTGAATGATATGATGCTAAATGAAATATCTGATATAAGAATACATTAAAATTTTTGTTTGGTTTCAGTGTAACCACTTTTTTGAGCAGTTCTTATCCAACGTCCTTTTGTAAATCTTCCTTGAATTATTGAAAATCCACCTTCTCTTTTCCCATAATCATTTCAAATTCCATTTTCTAACTCAATTTCTCATATTTATCCCTTGCTTTGATCGTAGCAGGTGCATCCATCCCATAGATTAACTCTGATATTTACCAGGATTTATAGAGATTACGAAGTGCTTCCTTCTCAAATCCAACCTTGAATTACGATTTACCAATATAATAAAAAGCCTTTGCCAACATCAAAAACCATTTTTTGAATTCTTAATGAAATTCGTCCTTGGTTAGATTTCGTAAAGAGTCAAAAGTGATACCTAAACGCTATAAGATTTCGACGTATTTATTGCATTAGTCCAACATATCATCCTTTCTATGCATCATTCTACAGACTTCGCATCCATGAAACAGTAACTAGACATACAATTTTAAAACATTTTAATCATCCTCGCTAATATTTACTCTTTTCGTATAAGCAAACTTTTCCATAAAAGGCACTACTTCCTTGATATTCATCCAGGCTTTTTGATATTGATTTTGTTACTCATACAATTGGACAATCTGCAATATTGCATTGCCTCTTGCAAGAACAAAATTGGCTGTATAAAATATTCCACTAGTGATTGAAATCGGTGTTGTAATCTAAATGTCATTATATTATTATCTACTTCCTTTGCTCGATTGAAGAACATTTCTGCTTAAGGATTGTTACCAGATTTTAATAGAGATCTTCCATCTCTTATCAACGTATTTGCAAAATCAACTGCTGCATTAACGACAACAGGGGATTCCCATCCATTCTAGGAAAGTGTCTGTAAGTATTATCTCTCAAGCCTTTACAAATTCAAGAGCTGTCCAGATTACATATTAAATTATTATTAAAGAAGCTTATAAATTTTAGTTACTAATGTTTTAATGTTTATTTCTAGGTTATTTTCTATAAATATTAATATTATACAATTAATTTATAGAATATTCTGAAGGGTGAATATATAATCCGTGAATTCTATTTTTATATTTACCAAGATTAAATATCTATTGAGTGATAAATTATACTTGAATCTCATTGAAATATATGATTATAAATGTCCTATTATGTTATTAGATGTATACTTGGATGAGATAAATGTAGTAATAAAAAGGACGATTTAATAAGATATATTTGACTATTTTATTTAAAGTCCAAAATCATAGTTAATATATATAGTCAACGTTATAAGCATCATAACATTTTTCAATCATAAGATTATATTGATTATCGCAAATCAATTAACGACAAACCTTAGTGTTATCCAATAGAATATGAAATCTTGTACTGCTCTTGACCAAAAAATATCATTACTGAATCAAATTAATTTTTATGAGAAATGTTTACTTTACTTAATTTATACACATAATATTATTTTCGATATATATAACTCATATTTTAAGACAGGATTCAAGAAATGGTCTATTTGTTACTGAATGAAAATACTTTTAGGAATTCTTAAAAACAAATAAAATGATCATACGATAATAGCTAAGTGTAACTGTTACCTATATTGAATAGTTATAAGTAATGATTCAATTTGGTATTGCAATTTGAATGTATTTATATTTTCAAATATTTTATAAAAATACTATCTAATAAAGTCACTTCTTTAACACATCTATAGAATTTATTGGAGGGATAGAATACAGACGAATAAGTTCAATATCCTTGACATAAATTTATAGCTGCAATTAAATCACTTCTAATTATTGTAATTTAATACTCCAGACATACTGCAATATAATCCTGTTTTTTTCAAATATTTTGGACTAAATAATATTAATTTTTTATATTAGCTCATTAATTATTTTCCTAAAATATAGAATTTAAAATGATCCAAGAGATTTCATGTTTTGATAACATACAACTCTTTTCTTGAATAAGTTATCTAATTTTTATACTAGGAACAATAATAATCTCTTTTACTAGAACAATCTGCTTTATATTTCTATATCTTTTGATTATACTTACTTATCTCCTTAATTTGATAATATATAAACTTGAGTATTAAACAGATTAGAGATCAACCAGCCTTGTAAATAAGGTCAAGTTTGAAGGATACATTTTAAGTTTAAGTATATTTTAATTATTCTTAATGATTTAAATTAAATTAAGTTAACTTAACAAATAATTAGAAAAATGATTATTACCTTATAAGTTATTGTAAATGCCATCCTTATAATGAAGATAAGCATAAAAGTTAATCATTAATCATTTTAATTTTTTTCAAGATAATTAAGATATTTTAGGATTTGAGGAATCCTTAAATTGAATGATCTAGTATTGTAATTTAGGAGATGATATTATGGTATTAGATTGCTTAATGTTAATGTTGTTGGATTTTGTATTTATCTCTGGAATTTGATGATAATAATAATAATTTAATATGAACCCATAATTCAAGGAATCAAATTGTGATAGCTTGTTAATGAAGTTAGTTTGTGTAATTGTAAGCAGATCCTATCCTCGGATTATTTAGAAATAGTGAATAATTCGGAAAAAGGTCCTTGCGAGATTGAGCTCATCTTCCAACTTACCCCCTTGAAGGAATACAATAATTTAAGGGAATTTAGTGAGATGACATTAATTTTCATATTATTTTTATCAATTCATAGATTTACCCTTCATATTAAATTATGCATAGGGTGTTATTGCTTGGGGAAGTGTACTTCTAGAGAACAGGACATTTGATTTTGAGAAATATCTGTCTAAATACTAAGATGACCATGTCTTCTATGTAGATGACTCCGACGCATAAGAACTTGTCATCAAATCGTTTTTTGATGATTTCTGACAAATTTTCAGAAATGCCCAAACCTGGACAATAATTGTTTTATACATTGAATCTCCTAACCCGAAACTTGAGCTGCTAATCCCTGCATGATTCTCAAAACCATATAGCATTTATCTTTCATGGTGACAGCTCCAATAAAAAAATTTTGGCATTGCCTTAATTACATGAAAGCATACTATAATTATTTGTGAATTTCTAAATACATCATATTTCTATTGCCCACAATTTCGATTACTCTTAGATTGATGTTTTTTTCATGATGTTTTCTGAGTACAAGACATTTTTGATTTAGCAAAGTAATTTACAAGATCTCACTATTTTTAATTTTGCCAACATCCCTAATGTCCTCAAGTTCATCCACAATCAATTCATCTGTGTATTAGGTTTACAGAGGTTGAGTATTTAATTCTTCATATTCTTTTTCTCTGAAGAGACATCCTCCCATTTATATTTTAATAAAGTTATGTTTAATTTGTTAATTAAATTTATGGCTTCAAATTACGCACTTCTGACTGAATCTATGGATTATTTTGTGTATTCGTTTGACATTAATTAATTATATGAAAATTCTGGACGACATCAAGCAGCAAGTTGAGAAGGAAATGCTGAAATTCGATCCACGATTGGCTGAGAAGAAGTATTTGAAAATTACTCAATCAATAAAGGATTTGTTTTTGAAGGCTGTTGTGAAAGAGAAGTAAACTATTAAAGCAGTAACAATTCTTATGATCTCTAGGCTGCGCATTCCATTGGAATCAATTACTCTTCCGCCAAAGCTATCTGGGCTGAATTCAGAAGTAAGAATCAGAAGAAGAAGAAGAAAAACAAGGAAGATTCAGATTAGAAGAATGGAAACCAATTAGTTAAGCGTTGTTCCTATAAAATTTTGAACGGATGCAATAAAATAAAAAAATTCTTCATGGAAATCAAATCATCTGTCTCATAGAACTTAAGCTCAACTCATTTAATCAATTTGGAATCACATATATGAATTTAAATTATTTTATCTTTTTTTATGCTACATTTAATAGTACATTATATTATTTATCAATTATACAACACCAAATCAATTTAATTGAAATAATTAATCATGTTAGAGATCTCACTTTACGTATCACAATAATAGATGTATTTTTCATTAAAATTTATACTAATTGTTTGGAATTAAACTTGTATTAAAATGAAATAATACATGAATAATATGTCTTCTTTACATCAAGATAAAAGGAAGGACGAAAGAGATAATGATGATAGTTATTATTGTTGCTTCTACAAAAAAAGAATATAGGTTCAATAATTGTCAAAGAATTCAAATTCAATGAACTACTCCATCCTAAATAAAAATATTATTAATTTGGAGTCTTTACAGGAAGTCTAATTTCTACTAGAAACTTATCCAGAAAGACAAGCACTTTTGAATAGTCTAAGGTACAAAGTCATTAATTTGGACAAATATCCCTTAATACTTGTATACAAAAAAGAATAATCACAACCAGACATTCAGTTTGGAGAAGATGAAGTAACACTCATATTGTCATATCCAGAATATGAAGTAGAATATACGCCACTCATTATTCATTCAAAAATAATGGAAAATATTGATTATAAAAAGGAAATCGACTAAAGCGAAATATATTTCAGCGGTATTTTTCAACATCTCAATACCAACATCTGTGATAATGTAATTGTGATTCCATTCAGTCCATCCTTGAATATCATCGATCCAGTTTTCAATGAACTCAAACTAGAATGTCGATAAGCACTATTCAACCTACTAATTCCATTTCTTCCTATTTTAGATAAAGTCACCATCATTCTTCCCAATGTTGTACCATTGAATAGTATAATGTCAATTGTTGAACCTCTGATAAGTTTGAGAATTAAAATGATGTCACATCCAAATTATACAACACTCATAGTCAATTGTGTTTAAGAGAACAGTCGCTTTGAAGATTTCAAACAATACAGAATTACTTTTGATCTTAAATATTATCACAAACAAGTTAACCAATTTGTGAGATAGAAATTAAGTACAGATCACAATATAGATAATTTGCCTGTTCAATTCTTGGCTCAACTACTGTGGACCAACTAACCTTTGCTAAGCTAACAGTTCTTAGAACAAACTCAATCTTTTTCGTTAAGAAAATCAGACCCCATCTAATAAACTTCCCCTGTTACTCCAATTTATAATTATGAGAGCAATTACAAATTTGAATTAGAAGGGTCATCTCTCAAAAAAGATAAAGATTCATATTGAATTTAATTAACTTTATATGTCTTTAATAACTGATCCATTCTCTAGAACCCAAATCTCAAATCCTAATGAATGATTCAAATTTATGTTGAATTCTGAACACACAACTTCAAAAAGCTTAGAAACTATCTACACTGCAATACATAATGAAATATAAAAAATAATTTGCCAAATTGAATTAAGGACATTATTTAGAGTTTATGATCAGCACATGTAAGTAATTAAAAAACAATATAGGAGATGAAGATCTTGAAAATAATTAACACATCATCTAATGACATTTGATCTCATTGTTCATTTGTAAAGTTATATATAGAACTAATATATCCCTAAAATATCATACAATTCTAACTAGACTAAAGTAATCTAATATATTGGAGAATCAATATATCTCCCATAACCATCTTGATTGTAAAAGTAATATTAATAGAAGGTTCCCTAGATGAAAGTAATATCGAAATAAAGACTGATAATTTCAAATAGAGGGTCATGAAATAAATAGTAAACTACTGAAACCTATTATGTTTATAACAATAAAAATAAAATTTAAAAAGCAGATTAAAAATGGATGTAATTTCTGAGACATAATTGATTCAACAACGTAGAAAATTTACTATGGATAATAGAGTTATTTTTTAGAGAGTTTCTTTGCAATAAATACCGTATACCAAATTAAAAATGAAATTAAATTATGAATAATATTAATGAATTAACTACTTATAGAAGCAGAAGCCATTACTCTCCATCATAATTATCATCCAGTTCTGGGTTTCTGAATTAACAATATGATGAATTTGTAAATAAGATTTATGGCAAAACAAGACAAATAAAAATACATCATCTTATTCCTAAACAGACCAATAAAGCGTTTGAAATAACTACTCCATAGTATGAAGATGCAATATACAAAAAAATGGATGATTACATAAAAAATGAAAAGATTAGTCAGAGAGAAACAAGGATTCAAGAAAGAATTATTGAGAAAGAAGTCATTTAACAATATAAGGCAAAATAACATACTTTTAAATTATTGATCCCTGATTAAAGTTATATCAAGATACTGCAGTCCTGTTAAAATTATATGCCCAAATTTAAGTTTTCCAGATTCAACAGTCCTAACAACCAAGCGAATAACGAAAAGTTGTTACACAAAGTTAGTGAATTACTACAATAGAGAAAATCAAGACATGACATTTATAAAAAACAGTTAGAATATGAAAGAAAGAGAAGTAAGAAGATTCTAAGATAAAATTTCAGTACAGAAAAAACTCAAAGAGTTCCAAGTCCGTTGAGATTAAAAAATATTGAATAAATTATTCAGAAGTGCAAAGAATAAAGTGATGGATGTAGTTCAGAAATAAAGGAGATTAATAAAAATAAATAATAATTAAATAAAAATTATTAATTAATAAAAGACTAATATAATGATATATTCAATTAATGATGAATCTTTTTAATCTTAAATCCTACTCTAAATCCACTGTCACTTAAACATTATTATTTTAAGGGAATTCTTTGAACTAAGGACTTATGATATTAGGAGTTTGCACATAAATATCTAAAATTTATTAAGTCATTGATATCAGAATGCAAATAAAACTTAGAAATTACTCCTTTTGAAATTGAACTTACATTTTCCATGGTTAATATTTATCAATTAAAGTATTAATGAGTACAAAAATCTTTTATAGTTCTAAATAACCTTCAATGAATAAATTTTTATCTAATAATGCCTTAGTATTTTTGTGCAATTCCAGGAATGTTTATTTAGATTATAATAATTGATCATCCAATAAATGTTATTATAATAGCAGTAGATTTGGTGATATTATCTTTGGTCTGAATAGTCTAAATAAGATGTTATTAAATTGGTCAATGTACGTATTCCAACACTTCTCTAGTTTTTGTTCTTCGAATGAGACATCCATATTTTAAGGCCCTTAAGTAAGGAAGTATAATCTAATTTGATTTTAGTTGTATGTCTTTAGTAATTAGAATGGATCAATAACATTTCCAAGTGACTTAGACATTTTCATCTGAATTATTATGGTAAATTTACATTATTTCTTATCCAATGGTTATGGACAATCAATTCAGTTGTAGATTGGTTATTGATTCCTTTTAAGAAGCTCGGCCAATATAAGGCATGAAATCTGACTATATCTTTGCCTATCACATGCATATAGTGATGTTACTCTTCTTGTAAGTAGCCTAACAAAGCATCTAACCATACATAAATCAATTAGTTAGCATCATTGGGAACCTCAATTCCCCAATAATATCTCTGTTTCGGTCTGCTGATACAAATACTATTAATAATCAATTGCTTTAGTTCATTTTGATATCGTGATGGTGCTTTAGTAATGCATGTTTCAAGATAATCTTTGTCAAATTTGAAAAAATAATTCTCTTCTTCCAAATATTGATCGGTTTTATGATTTACAAAAGATTCTTCAACTTAACAATAATATCCTTTATAAGTATCCTTTAGAATGAAGCCATTATTTTAGAGCAGATTCCAATTCTTCTAAACTTTCATGATATGTTGAGGATCAGTGGTTCTAACGAAATGATCGTATTTAATAAATGAATTAGCTAATTGTTGGAATTGATTGGAAATGGAATCACAATATTATTGGATTGGTTGATTCTTGGCACTTCTGTAGACTTTCAATCCATGCTCATCAGTTCCTGTCAGCAATTTTACTGATTTATACTTAGCGATGGCATCTGCATAAATCATTGAATAGAGATGACCTATGTGCGGTTAGGCATTCACATAAAACAAAGGTGTAGTTATTATTTATTTTATCATAAAAAAATTAAATAAATTTTATATAATTATAACATACATAATCCTAACCACCCTATTTATATACTTGTTATGTTGATTAGAATCTACGATTGATGCAACCATAAATGTAATCCAAACATTATCCATGATAATAAGATCATTATTTTGGTAAACACAGTTGTTTTATCTTCTTTTAACACCACAATCAAAACAATCATTAAAAACGATATTTCAAATAAGGTATCTATGAATATGTTATTAAATGATGCTAGAATTATTCCAAATAAGTAAGGTATGACACTTGATTGTCTCTCCTAAGGTTGAGGATTCAATTAGCAGTCTTGACTCTACAGTTCCAAAGGTTTATGATAGTAATCTGGAACTCCAATTGTATATGTATTATTTGATTACTCTTATCTGCTATGATGAGGCTATCCATCATTTAATTCATTTGCAATCTCATTATTGTACGGTATCTTGATCTATCGTAAATCCTGCAATTGCAATGAATAATCCTCCAATTCGTCTTCAAATTTCTTGATATATGATACTACAAGACTACGAGCTTAGTTTAATTGTAGATTCAATAATTTCTGATCTAAAACTTTGATTTCATAAGTAATTTCCATTTCCAACAACTCCCCGTTCTCTTTCTATGCCAGTAGTTCAGTCACATGCTTATTGAATTGTAAGGAGTATGTCGGTATCACTATTGTAGTGTTCATCTGATTTTGAGTGTTAGTATTCAAAGACAGTAGAATACTGTCACCAACATCCAAAATATCTATTGTTTGATTTAGCTAGAACTGTAAATTATAACTAGGCTTAAAATCACTTTCAAATTCGTAGTAATCTTCAATCTTCATGTAAAATGCATATTATCCAACCATAAACTTGTTATGCACTTGCAAATTCAACACTGAGGCTGAATGTAACATCAATCTCATAGGAGTTCTATTATTGTTGTTGCTAATCAATTGATTATTTTTCAATCTCTCATCTATAGCCGTAAGATTATCCTGTTCCTCTATTAGTTACTACTTTGAGTTGGCGATTTTTTGACTCAGCAACTAGATTGCATCCTTGTAAACCTTCTCAAATTACTAAATTGTGCATTACTTATGCTTTAACAATAATTTAGATACTTACATCTTGCATACATTTATTATACAATTAACTTATCAATTGACGATCGATGGCTATATTTGAATGACTCTAAAGTAATTCAATAAGTTCTTGCTGTTAAAATGAATGCATTAATTACAATATATTTTATTTATATAATAATTGAAATTGTTTATTCCAATCTATATCAATTTATATTCCTGTTTGCTCCACCTTAGCTGACTTGTATTGAATATGTAGAATTTCAAATATTATCAAGCATACACCCTCGACATAGACTAACTCTCTATTCGAGATCCCTCATTAGTTATGAACTACTACTCTATCACAGTTAATGCCACAGCTTCAATTTGAGATGTCATTTCAATATTTAGAATAATTTATTTATTTTACTAACCCATAATAAATGAATTAAATTGTTTAGCAAAATAACTATAAATAAAATGTATTCATTGTATATATATGAGATTGCCACAGTTTTATTTCCTCATTATGAACTCAAACTGTCCATCTCGTAAATACAAAAAAGATCTTACTAAATAGGTTACAAATTTCGATAATAAAATGAGACATTTGTGCCGCAAGTAAGAAATATTCTTTTTTTTATTATAATTCCCATTTATATAATTTAAAATGTTAGTGACAATCAAAAAGGTTGGCTTGAATTTAGTAAAATTTAATAATAAAAAATATGTCAATCTATCAAATGGTAATAATTTTAATTAAATTTAAACATCATAGTCCTTCCTGTTATTATTATGAAGAATAAGCTAGCATCCTATCAACATTTGAAATTATTATTTATTATGATTATTGTGTTTATGGCAATTCCACTCCTTTATTTATACTTCCTTCTAATCGAGGAGGGTAGAAATTATTAGATATCGTATTAAAATCAAGCTTAAGTATTTCGATAGTGTCTTCAGAAAATTCTGCATCTATGTTTCTGATAAAATTGGATTAGTGTTTCAAAAAGCAACATAAGAATTGCTCAACTTTTGTTATGATATTCTAATTTATTTTAAATACATACACATCTACAAGGAGATCCAGATGTTATAACAGCATCTAATAGCCCTAGAGAAGTTGAAACTATTGGGCCGACTGGATCAATAAATAAGATAAAGATGAAATTCATTATTATTGGAATTAATTTGTTGGGGATTTAAAGGTCAAAAAAGAATAAGTTGGTTTCACGATGTGGTTATAAATAACACCTCACTTATAGAATTAGAATTACTTAAGTGTGCTCATGTAAAAAAACATATTCCATAATCCATGTGATGGATGGACGTAGTAGAAAATGTAAGTGTTAATTTCTATGTAATAGAATAGTGTTATAATTGACTAAATAGTGAGAGACTATTTATTACATCAATGAAAAATGTCTTCAGAGTTATTTCTATAAAAAAGAGAGCAGTTCCTTATGCTTTCTCCCTTTCAGCAAGTAAATTCTAAGTAAATGCAAAACTCAATAAAAAGCTTTCAATTGAAGCTTTTTCATATTATTAATTTTACAATTAAAAAGGAATGATGGAAATAACCTCCATATTTGAGTCTTAGTTATAACTTCGTAAGGTAAGAAGGAAAGCAAATTTGAAAGAATTCCAGAAGTAAAAGCATCCGAGATAAGTATTATGATAGATAGCACATACAAGGTTAAGGATCCTATTGCCATTATTATATAATTTAAAATATTTTTATATAAAAATAGCTATTTTCATTCAATTGTTGACGGGCCATCCTAATCACAATACTCACTACGGTTTAATTGATAAATTGATACCTATTATCAACGATAATATTCTCAAAGTTAAAATTGTCCCCGCCTCCAATCTTTATTCCTTTTCCTTAAAATGATCGTTCTCTTTCTGACATTTCCTTTTCTTCAGTAGGATTAAGATCTAAATTTTATTGCATCAAATGGAAATCTTCTCTCGTCACTAAGCGTTTCAGAAAATTGCTGTTCTCTATTTTTTTAATAAATGACTAAGATATTAGTAATGCGTATGATTTACTTGACTGGGTCTGAACATCATAGAATTGAAGAACTTTGCTTCAATGTAGCCAAAAATCAGAGCAGCTATGGGGTCGTAGCTTTAGTTCATTGCAAACCCGATCAATCCATAAATAATGGGAACATATTTACCAGGAAGTTAACAGGGAAAGAACCAAATCCTAACTAATCCTTCAGGATTTGCATAGCACCTATAATAGCATTGTTATTCTTACTGTAGGCTTAGGTAAACCAAATAGATATTCCATAAACCTCTGGATGGAATGGTGTAGACTTATATTATCAATGATAGAATTAAAAATACAACCTTGAATAAGGATATATAAATTACTTGAATCATGAAGTTTTTAAAGAAGAAATCCAAAAGAAATACAACAGTCCCCAATTTTTTTTCCGTATTTACAACTGAGGTAGAAAATATATATATCATAAACATAACTCCAAACAAGGCTAAGAATTTTGATGATAGTTACATTCTATAAATTGGGTAAAGAACAGTCTCCATAATTAAAAACCTTTAAAGATTTTCAATGGCAAATCTTAGAACCAATAAGTAAATATCCCAGAAAATAAAGCGTCGACGAGAGTGGCAGATATTAATAAAAGCAATATGATTTTGATGCCCAAGGGAATTTGATTGATGAAACCTGCACATGACGTGTCTGCTTATGAGTATGTTCTAAAATTCATGAATAGTGTTAATAAATTGATATAAAAATATATGAAATAATTAATCAGTTCTCCCTAATTAATTAATTTTTATTTCCATGCAATCTATTCAAAGCAACAGCAATTAAATACAGCCCACAATGGGAAGAGACAGATATGGTTAATCTCTATCAGTGGCCTTGCCAATTTCACCAGTTAAGAAACTTGATGTGACCAATGTGACATTACGAAAATATGATCGTTATACAGGGAATCCGGAAACCATAGCTTGGGAGAAACATTTGTTATGCGAAATCGGAGTAAGTGATTGTTCCATTCTTTAAGGATGAAGATTTGAACTTTATAAAAGATTTTTACTTAGAAGAGAAATCATACAAAGATGAAGAGTTTTACTTCAGGTACATCGATTCAATCAGAAGCAAATATCTGGCTGGAGCAAAGGAAGCTTACACATTGGCAAAAGACATATGCAAATAGTTGGTGGCCGAAGATCTGATAAAGACTTAGAGATTAAGGAAGAACCATAAATAAGTGACCCAAAGGATCAGACAAACATTAGGAACATTTAAGCAGACTAAAAATGAAGATATCTTGAGATGGGTACGAATGACCTATTAAAGTAGAAAACTGGATTGAAGAAATTATTTCACGAGATGAGAGATGCAATCTAACACATTCTGGATGCAGGAGGGGAAAAGGAATTCTTTAGATTGGAAGAATTAATAAAATAGAAATAACACATAACAGAAGATTTTCTTAAGGGACTTCCAATTAGAAATGTTTAGGAAATCAACAAATATTTGCAATCAATAAGACTGTTCATCTCTAAAAAAACAGATGAGTTCTAATAACACAAGTTAGAACACGGAGATGATTTCCACTTTGATGAGAAAACTATTAGGGAATTGTCGAGATCCTCATTGGAGGACACAGCTTCCTGTTACTCTGATCGGTTGACTGAGATTAGAGCACATTCTAAGAGGGAGAAATAGAAGGAGGCTGAGAAGTAGATAGAAAAGTTTTATGATCTGAATTAATTGAAAAATAAATGGAAAACTACTAATGTAGATTAATTGAAGGGAACGATTAGGAGAGTTTTAGTGAAGGAGACGTTATCTGAAGCTGAACACATTCGTGCAAGGGCGTATAGGTTGGAATAAGAGAAAAAGGGGATTTAGATTTTAAAAGTGTAGAAACCGAGGAAGGTTTAATAGACGGCTTAACAAAGGATTCAGGAAAGGAAGGAAAAGAAAGATAAGAGATCAGTGGCTGAATAATAAAGGAAACATACTTTAACTAGGGAGGAAATGAAGACGGAACAATTGAAACAAGAGTTTTTTACAAAATACAATCCTAAATCTAGCATTGGAGAATAATTTTGTGTTGCTGTTGGTTATAATAATTTATTTTGAATCATAATAAAACAACTATTAAAAATGCCATAATTTTTATAAACTACATAAAATCTTGTCTTAAAATTTCGTGATGTTGCCATAGATCAACTAGACATCTTCGGCCAACCTCCCAATTTCAGAGTGCTAAACAGATAAAAATATAACTCTATGATTGGATTGATAACGACCATACTTATTGGAGGTGTCACGTTTATTTACTTGGCGAATGAATTAATCACAATGTTAGGCAAAGCTGAGCCGTCTGTGGTGTCCTCGGAAATCCAAGTGTTTGATACTTAAGTAAAGTAGAGTCATTTAAATTAGACATTTCCTTTGTTAAACGATAACTTTACCTTAGCCATTTCAGCCACCAATAGTGCAGGAAATCAGCTCAATGGCCAGGGAAAGTATTATAATATTTCAATTTTCCATTGCATAAGGAGCAGAACCAAAAATGAGACAACAGGATTGATTGCGGTCAGTGTGGAGTAATCATTTCATCAATATCTTATAAGATGTTCTCTTCTCCCAACAGAAACCTGTAATATGTCCCATTTTGTCACTGAATAATAGAATGATTATTTTAGTCGAATGAGATTAGGTGCCATGCAATGTATTAATCGAGAGTATCTTAAAATAAATCCACCAGTATTTCTAATTTCTAAATTTACTAGCCATTGCAAGGACAATTGAATGCTATGGTCTATCAATATTTGAAAATACAACTGACGGTTTGCCATAACTCAACCGAATATTAGAAATGCGCATCCCCAGAAGAAATCAAATCCATCTTAATGTCAGGACATTATGTAGTTTATACGAGTGATTACCTAACGCAACTCAATAATCCCAGCGAACCCTACAAACAAATTATCAATAGTGAGTTTTCAGGCTACTCTGTATCCACATCTAAAATGATTAAACAATATTACAGAATCATCTAGACTACCAGCGATGACGGCTGGTTGTTATAGAACATACATGTTAAAGAAAATCTCAAACAGCAGGAATGGAGAGAAACCACAGAGTTGTACAATGGTGAATATATTGTGGAACACTACATTGCTCTGGATTATCGTCAAACCAATTATAATAGAAACTACGTTAAAATCCAAACTGTGTTAAGTAGACTAGGAGGCATTTGGCAGATCTTTATAATCATTGTGGCCTCCATCATAAAACCTATTATTAACACACTCATGAATTTGGACATAGCTAACAGGGTTTTTCGGTTTTAATTAATGGAAGATGAGAAGGATCTCAAAACTAAGAACAATAGTCAAATGACTGAAACCAAAACGAATGAAGAAAAAATCACAATTTATAATTGGAAATGCCAAAATCATAAACTATCAAGTGATATCACTTCAAAAATGTTAATTCTCTTTGGCTGTCGGAATTAAAAAAAATTATTATTCAATCATGCCAAAGACCAAATTATGCAGAGCTTAGACATCATTAACATGATTAAAAAATTGTAGGAAATTGATCTCATTAAATAGATCATCTTTACTAAGGAACAGCAACTCCTGTTCAATATCATACCTAATCCTCTTATTCAGTTGAATAATGAGTAGGAAAATAATAATTTAAAAATTAATAATATTGATTTTATTAAGCACATCAATCAAATATCCCAACACAATAATAAATACTACACCTACTTGGAATCGTATCACAAAATGATCAACACCAAAGATAAGAATCCTTTTGATGATAGAATTATTCAATTGTTGGATAAACAAACTCTAACTTTCTTTGACAAATAAATCGGGTAATTGAATGTTTCGCAAATTTCCAAATCCCCAGCCTATCTAGAAAGCAAAGACGAGGATATCAACGAACCAATACCATTATTACCGAAATGATATTGTGATTGATTACTTAGTTTATTTAATTAAAACAAGTTGTTTAATCAAAACAGAGTTTATTTAGCACTTTATATAATATAATCAGTAAGAAATTTTATAGATATTTTCAATAATAATATGTATAGTTATAGATTCAAGTTAGACACTTCTAGAGGTGCTAGATGAAGGTTTAAGTCAATGAGAAGATTTCTGGAGATAGATTGATAGAATGGATTAGCTAATTCAATTCATTTACCTTCTCATTAGGTTTGCAAAACATAGATTCTTATTCGATTCTCGTATCACAGCCCCTAAGATAAAAATCTTATTATTACATTTAGTAGAGGTCTTTGTATTTGTCCCTCAAGTGCTTGTAATACCTGTTTTTTACCATACTGTATGATTTGTTTGGAAAATAAAGAGCTATTTTCACAAATTTCGGTCCCACTTCCTGGACCAATCTCAGGATTCGCTTATCTTCCTCTTGAGTAAATTGGGACAGCGAGTGATTTTTGTGCTGTGAATCCTTTAACTTGTTTTTCTTTCTCAATTAACGATTGATATTGTATTAAATCCTTTTCTGACCAGTTTTAATTGTGTAATCCCTATTGGCATAAAAACCATATTGTTTAATTGCTGAACATCGCTTCTCTCTCTTCATTTGTTCCATAATATAAATAATAAATGGAAAATAAATTTTGGATTTGAATGCCGCTCCAGAATAAGATTTTGTGTTTTAAAATATAAGCAAGTTGTCTTTATCTAAAATAAATTGATTTTAAGTACCATTTCAGTTCGAAATTAAAATGGCCCACCACTGTTTTTGCTAATTTGTAGTTGACCCTTAAATTAAATATATCCTGAAGTAGTAAATTTATAACTTCATTTAGATGGCGATTTGAATATAAAATTAGCAAAAAGGCATGGAGATAAATGAATTTCATTCAAAAGGAAAATTATGAACATTAAAAACTTCCAGTTTTTGAAAACAATTAAATCAAATTCAAAGGATATAAATTGAGTAATAACTTATTCTCATTTGGAGTGTATTGAAAATAAAAATTTATTAAAACATGTATTGAATTTAATAGCCTAATTTTTAAAATTAAACTCAAAAAGAGAGAATTTCACAAATTTTTTCCCAATTTTAAGTAATTTATCAACTATGATTGATTGCTATTCTATTTTCAATCAATATTGAGATTCAATTAAAAAGACTTTCATCCACCATTAGTATGGGGTAATAAAATGTAGAGTATTTAGTTTATACTTGTTAGGCTTGTAGTTTCGTGCCATAAATTTACTATTTATTTAGACTTCTTAAAAAGAAATAAATTGATAATGTAATAAAAATTTCATTTCTCTTTACTTTACAATTCAGCAAAGCTATCAGGGTAGATTTGTAAATGATTTACAGAAAAATAGTTATTTCTCTAAAGCCTTAAAATAGAATCTGATAAAATTTTGGTTTCAAGCGAAAAATTATAATTAAAAATCGCAATTTCAGGTACATTGTATAAAGTATAAGGTCTTGATTTTGATGATCTAGTCAGTTATATATATTTGGAAAGAATGGAAATTGATAATAAGGTAAATAGTTTAGGTGTTTCAAAATTTATTTTAAGAGGATGTTTACTTAATTCCACAGGATCTGCTAAATTGAAGTTAGACAGAAGAAAAATTAATTTCGTTAAATTTTATCAACCAAAATTTTAGTCTTGTTTATGATTTTAGGAAAACCACTTATATATTAGGAGGAAACAGTTATTAATATTAATCTATTTTAATAAGCAACGTATTTATATGCTGATATTTTCCAAGCTTCTGTTTAAAAAATAAACCATCAATATTTTCTCCATTATTACTATAAGGAATTAAACACAAATCAGTTTAAAAATCTAATTCCAATTAATACATTTACTATGACTTTTCTGCTTTCTCTAATAAGATTGTTTGTTCACATTCAGTAAAATAAAAATTAAATTTTGAATTCTCTCAGAAGAAAAATAGAGTGTCCGATGCTGAACTTGATATTTGAGTTACCCTTTGAGTTTTTCCTACCTAGAGGCAAATATTGGCGCGGAAACAGTCTAAATAAAATAACATAAAGTAATGTAACCCAGATTTTTTTTTCAAGAGATTAGAATTGCCAATTTAACTACAAATCCAGATCCTCAATTAAATGATAAGTTTTTCTCTTTTCAACTATTTGAATTAGCAGCTATTATATAACTAGAACTGAGAATTGGCATATAGGAGATTGATTTAATAAGAAAGCAAAAATAGTTCCTATGATTAATGCCCCCTCAGGATACCTAATTTTCTTATTGAATGTTGAAACTATCTCGAGAGCAATCCACTCAGAGTTATTTGAATCTTATCAACAACTTAAAATGACAAAGAAGAATTTTGGTTTAAGCTAAAGATGATTGAATCAATTTAGAAAATGAATAAATTAAGTTTAGTAAAGCTGAAGGAGTAAATATATGTATCACATGTAATAGATTTGCTTGTTAAAAATATGAAGTCTGCTGGCTTTATTTTTAGTTTCACAAATCTAAATATCATATCATTATTTAGAAATTTGTTTAATTAGGACATAAGTTGCATCAAAAGAAATAGGCAGACAGTTTTAAATATATATATTTATTGTTTACATGTTATAACAATAATATATGAACAAAAGAAGTCAGGAAAATGTCTTTAAGTTAAATGAAATTTGGAAAAATTTTAGTTTTAACCTTAGAATCTGAAGGAAGGGGAAATACATATTTTTTAATTTCAAATGATAAAAGCTAGTAATATCATATTTACAAATGCTAAGAATCCATAATCACCGCATACTTCACATTCATAATCTGCACAGTACTCCTATCCTTCAGGTTTTATACATGTAATTTCCTCACTCATAGTATTAATACATATACCTGGATCGTGTTCTTAAGTTGGATTTAATAGTAATGTTTAAACTTAAATCCTAACAGATTTCCAAACTACTTCTGCTTTTAATTAAACAATCACTTAATTTAAAGTAGCATTAATAAATTAAACTGGTTTTACTTTTTTATCCAATCCATAACCATTAAACCAGACATCTGCATCAGTAAAATAGTAGTCTTTTTTATTATCGAGTATATAATGAATTTTAAAAGAAAATAAATCATTAAAGTGCAAGTTTGGAGATTCTTCAAACAATGTTTAACATGTCAGATCAGTGCACCATCTTATCCTACCATTTATATCAAACTATGTTTTAAGACGAATTTGAATTGTGGTTTCAATATTATTGAGAGAAGGAGTTTCAGATAAAGCAGAAATCACCTTGATATTTAATTTGCTCAAAGCAATAGTTGCTTCCAATTATAGTATAACCTATCCGGGAATTGTATTATTTATTTTAATTGGTTCTTATTTTTGATTAAATCCATTACCAGAATACCACACTTCAGTATTTTTCAAAAATTATTTACTTTTTTCACTATCTAAAATCACTTATTTTATAAAAAATGTGTCATTAATTAAGATAGAGGGAGTTACATTTAATTTTGATATGCAATCGAAGTCACCACACCAATATAATTCAGATTATGGTGCATCGGAATTTGCTTATTCAGCTAAAATTTTATATTTGAATGATGTATCAAATAGTTTTTAAGAATCCTTAGTTGCAGTAATAGTGAAATTATAGATAAATTCATATTAAAAAGCTTCTTGATTAGCTGATTCAAAAATTATTGAATAACATCCTTCATATACATTATTAATGATATTGAGTAATAAATTTTAATCTAATTGCGAAACTGGTATTTTGAATGAATATTATCTTGATTAATTAATTGAATTATTTGAAGATATAATTGGTAAGTCTGATATTAAATAAGAGGATTAGTGATCAACTTTAGAGACGTATAATACTTTAAGTTTAAGACATGTTGTTTCTGGTTTCTTTCCATCTTCTACTACCAAGCCAAAGTAAATTGGATCTTCAAAGAGAGCGTCAATATAATTCACATTAATTTAAACTTCTTGTGACTCCTAAATGTAAACTGCATCTCCACTAAAAATATTATGTGATTCATTAGTTCCAAATTTAGAGAAATATTTATTGCAATTAATTGAATTACTCTTAGAGCTCATTGCAATTACGATGAATTAGATAAACAATATGATGTTCTTCATTTCTATTAATTTAATTTATATTATATAAATATAATATGTCTATTAATCAAAAAAATCCAAAATAGCTTATCTTGAAAAATAATGGATCAAATGATGAAATTAAGAAGTACTAAATTAATATTTTATTTCATCTTACAATATATGCTTTTTTAAATACTCATAATTGTTTTAATTAAATATCTATTATGTGTTGTTTTTCTTCAAAGCTTTTTGAGAATGTCCCTCAATCTTGATTGGATGATCCAATTCATAACAGTTTGGATCTCATTTAAATCAAATTAATAAATATTGATTGGTAAAATTGAATATAATTGAAAAGGTGATTAAATTACATTTTTCACTAGGAAAAAGGAATTTGTCTAAAAGAATCAAGAGAAAACTACTTGTTAATACTTTCGTATTAAATTATAAAATCTAAAAAATTAAATTGTTCTCTATCCTCTTATATAGGAATCTCTATTTAGAATTTTCTATTTATAAAATAAACATAAATGAATTAAAATTTTACCATAGCCCAAAGTTTATAAATGTTGTATTACCTTACTAGAATTAATTAACAAAAATCATAGATTTTGGCAATTAAGTAGATATATATTTTAATTAAATAATTGTATTAATCAAAAAGTTTATATGTCATTTATTAATTTATCAATAATTTTTTACAAATTATTCTTTTTTATTGAGATGTTGCTATTTAGAATGAAACTTTTAACACTATTGTTATTACTCAACTAAGTAAAGTATTCTCTTTGGAAAAGTCTTTTATCAAAAGTCAATACATTCATAGGTCCTAAGGGTTCACTTTATTTTTATACATGTCCCCATAAGTGCTTGTATTTAAGTAGTGCATCTTTAAATCTAGTAGGATGAAATTCCAAAGTTTTAGGTTCAACTAATTTTTCTAATTCAAAATCATCTTCACTGTCAGTATCAATTTAACCAATAGATTGCTTTTATCTTATTTTGTATTCAATCATCCTGACAACAGCATATCGAATCTTATTTTCAACCGGCATAGGTTCTCCAACCATAAATTTTTCATGGAAGGCCTTGGCTAACTATTACTCTTTGATGTAATAAAATATCTTGCCTATTTAATCGTAGGCATTTAATTCGTAATTAGATTCATTAAAGAATAATGCGTATTTGATGAGTTTCTTGGAATAATTCAAAGCCTTCCTGAAGTTATGAATCAAAAGTGAAAGTTCTACTAGGTGTTTGTAAGCAATAATTTTGTAACGATAAACTCGATTTGAGTTGCAAAATACTAAATATTTTTACCAAATTAAGATGGCCTTATCATATAGGAACTATTTTTCTAATATATATGCATATGTAAAAACAGCTACATTGTACAGGTTCCCAATTTTTGATTGTCGCAGATATCTTGGATTGACATAATAAATTGATTACTTTAAGACAAATGTGAATCTCTCTTCTAAATCATTTGCATCATTTAAATCGATTTGAGACAGAATTTTTAATGACTACTACTTTCTATTGTTATATGGAGAGTTGTCATCATCATTGATCTTAAATAATTTATCTCGATCCCTTAGAAAATTAAAATCTTCTTGATAACTGGATTGTATTTTATTTTCTTTCTTTTTTACTTAGGGCAGAGTAGCCTATGCCCAGTTCCCAACAGTTCCTAAGGTAGATTCGTCCACTTTCTTGAGTGATATCATAGAGGTGGCTCTAGTGGATCTACTAAAGTAAGTATGCTTGGTCTTAGGATTGAATAAATTTATTTTCATAATAATAAAGTATTTTATATCGATCATTTTATATAGTAATTTTCTTCGTCTCCTTTTCTCATAGTGGAACCCTACATTTTGGATGAGTTCATTCTTGATTGTTACATGATGGATTGGTTCTTCATTGTTTTATCAAGTCTTGTTATTTCTTAATTTTATTAACTGCTCAACTCTTTTCTTACATTTTAATACTTTTATAATAATCTATTATTTTATATTATAATATACTTCTCTAATTCCTATGATCTAATCTTTCTTTGTTCTTCCTATCCTGAAATAATTCTTTATTGTAAGGCACCTATTTCAGTACTTTACTTTTGTTTAAGTTGAAGAATGAGATTTCTGATCTTGCCTGATCTTGACTGATTCCATCTTTCATACTCTTCTCTTTCCATCGATAAAATTCTTTATTAAGTTATATGAGCTTCTTGGTAACTAAATAATATTATTGGTTATATACTTTTCTTATCTTGCCAAAGATTCTTCAGTTTTTCTCAAACTCAACAATTCTGCTGAATCTTTTGGTTTAACAGGGATTGAGTTTTCTAATTCATCTGTAAATTGTTTCAATTCTTCATCGTGTCTTTGAAGAACTTATTCTTTGACTCTTTGAGCCTCTTGATCAAATTCAGCCATTTTCTGATCCCAGAATTCGTTAAATTGATTGAATTCTTCAAGATGAGCCTTCTCAATTTCTTATTTTTCATTGGTATGTCTATCCTTGACTTCATACTTGTTTTTGGAATCCAAATCTTTTTTCAATTCCCCCAGTCTTTTTTTTGCTTAATCTGCCTCCAAATATTTTCCTGCCTTCTCACAACTCTTTTAATGATCATACAATATTTATCTAACAATAGAATTGCAATCCTTACATATATTCTTCCAAATCTCCTGTTTAAACTGGGAGGTTGTTTGTACCCTTTCTGACTGTTGATCTCGAATTATTCATAAAATTATTTTTTTTCTGTTAAATTATAATTATCTTGATCTATTTTTATAAGTCCAAAATTCAAAATCATTTTTTTAAATCAATAAAATTCAATAAGATGATCCATAAACTAAGTTACCATTCGAATTAAATAATTTATATATGATTTTTCTAATTCATACAAAAATGCAAGAAATATAATTATCTACTTCAAATTTATTATGATTTCCAGTAACAGCTAAACTTAGCTATACAGTCAGTTTGGATAAACAGTACCAAAGACACCACTCAACAGATAAAATAGAGACCAAGATCAATCGACTATTTCATAATATTAGTCTCCTACACTGAGATAGGCAATGTCCCCTAAAGTAGCCAGAGAGTATTTGAATAGCTTGAGAAGCTTCATATGTTAGTAACAATAAGCAACTCCAAAGACAGAGAGGATGAAAACAATTCCCACCCAAGAAATATTGTATTAACAGCCATATTTGTATTTCCCAGTAGCAAACAGATTTAATCAGGATATTAAATTGATGACTCCCCATAAAATTGAAGTTAGGAAATTGAATGAAGATGGAACCGTTCATTCCCTAAGATATTTTTACTTAAAATAGGCAGTTTTGGATAGTTCCAATAATATACCATAATCATAATAAATAATGATTGTAGGATAAAAACAGAGTGGCAAGAAGAAATTATTTCAAGAACTAATCAAAAGATCAATGTCAAAACTATTCAAACTATCCTTACAAACTGAATCAGGAGAAAAGACCATCAATCTCTCATTGAATGATGATATAAAATAAACTATTAAAAGTATATTGGCAGGAGTGAAGCACTATTAATTGGTTGCTTAAGGGGAATAAAATATGATAGCTTGCAGAGGGTTGGAAGGATTCAAGAGAGACAAGAAAGATAAGGGAATCCTAATTATGTGTGTGAAACCAGGAAAGGAGTAGAAATCAGAGTGTATCAAAACTTTTAAGTTCTTAGAAGAAATTTGCAAAAATTGATTATTAATGTAATAATTATATCAATATAAATGGGTACTTGTTAACTAAAAAATTGCAGATGTGTGTGCTAATCGGATAGATTAGCATGCCAATGTGGAAGTTAAAATACTATTTTACTAGAAGAATAAGCAAGAGAGATTCGGAGAAGAATAAGTTCAGATTAGATGGTAAAACAGTTTAAACTATATAGAAAAGATCAAATAGATTCTCAAATGGTAAAAGCAAAACAGGATCTCCTGCTCAATCTAATTCAAGTGATTCTTAAAATAAGACCAAATTTTCTACGAATCGGAAAGCTTCAAATAGGTCTCCAAATTCAACTGAAAGGTATTTGATGTCAGAAGAATGCAACATCCCAACAGAAAGTAGCCAACAAAAGAAAATAAGAAAACCTAAAATTAGAAATTTAAAATTTAATCGAAGCTTGACCTATTTCAGTAAAGAAGTCATAGTCTTGAAATTTTAAGATGTCATTGATTAACCATAAAGTTAAAAGGAAGTCAAAGTAGAGTCGCCGCAATTTTAAACTCTTAAGAATACCTTGGAAAATAAATAAACTTTGGATTAAATTTAATCCTTCAAGGACCCAACAATAACAATGAAAACACCTACTACTACTGGAGCAGAATTATCCAATAATGCAACATAATCGGCCCCATTTTTCATTCAATAACCATCCATTTCTAGAGAAAGCTCACCATCTAAATAATCGCATCCAATTACTTAAGTCAGTATGGAACCAAATATAAACAAACAATCCTTATCTGTAATCACAGAACAACAGTAACTAAAAAACAGATCACACACAGCCGATCTGTCAGATGATCAAAAGAGTGTTACTCCAAGAAGTGTATTAAAATTATAGCAAAAGAACAATGATTCATTTAGAACTTAACAATAAGAAAAGCGTAAGGTTAGATTTGATCTTCCTAATTCACATTACATCAAGGAGAGAATAAAGTAATAACAGAGATTCTTTAATTGAATGATTTGTTTTTAAACATATATTAATTAATTTGGGGTTCTTTTATATTAACTAAATATAAAACAAAAATGATCATTTTTTCTCAAATTGCTTTTTGTACATCAGAAAACCTATAATAATTAATAAGAGTTATTTACTAATATTATTTTGAGTTAATTATTTTGGAGTTGAGATGTTTTATCTAAAATTAGTAAACTAATCAGGTTCTTCTATTTAAGGATTTCTAGTTCTATGTGAGTCCTTTATAAAAAATATTTAATACAAGATCAGTGAATTCTGTTTATAGTTTTTCACTCTAAAATTCTATATTTGATAATCCACCTATTGTTTTTGCTTGTTAGTCTTATTGGGTATCTATTTTCATCATACTATCGTCTTCCATTGTTCTTTGAGTAACTTATGTCTGTAGAGTAGGTTGAGTTTATTTCTTTTTTATGATCTTAACTTTCTTCAAAGATCCAAATATTCTACCTAACTATTCCTCAGGTTTCTCAAATTAAGTACTTTCAAAGGCTTAGATAGCAATATTCTTTGTATTATTGTTCGATTAATCAGATTTCTTTACTGAATCCATCTATACTAAAAATTCATCAGATTTAATTGATTTTGGAGACATTTCTGGTTCTTTTTTGCCAATCTCAATTTTATTAAATTAATTCGCTATATTTTTAAGATCCTATTCATCTGAGGTCTGCTTTTCTGAATCCACGAATCTGAAATTGATTTCAGAAGTTGATAATCTGAATTCTTGGTTTTTGTCCTCGTAGTCATAACGATTTTCAAATTATGGAGTGGGTTATTTAATATTAGGGGAGTTCTATTGTGAAAACAACTATTGACTCTAAGGATTTCTTGGAGTTTTGCATGGTTGGAAGATAATGTTGGCATTATAATAATGATTATTATTTTCTTTGTCTTAAACCCTTACTTTAGTAGCTATGAGAGGTGATTGATTGGTGGGTGACATTCTTTTCTGTGGATATATGATAGCTTTTGGTTGCTAGTACTTATATTGATCGATGCACTTGAATTATTTCATGTATTTCTATTCATTTGGACTGAATTGCTGATTCACTACTACACATTTTCTTCCTTGAGGTGACCTACTGTAGCATTATTGTTGATAAGTGGGGACTACTCTTTTAGTCTAGCATTACATGTAATTGGCAAATTAATTCATTATGTTTAACGGTTATCTTATATAATTATTAATTAATCAATATTCATCCATTATATTGCCAAGTTCCAATAAGAGGTCCTTGACATCAACATTAAGCTATTCCTAAATCTCTTCATTGTCCAACTCTGGGATTTCAGGTTGTTCATTTTCATTCAAAGTTTTATCTTGTTACTCATTCAAAAATTGCACCTAAAACATATGAGTTTATTTTTACCTCTTCAAGTAGGATATCATCAATTAAGGCATCAAAGATTTCTTTGAAATAAACATTATACATATTGAGCATTGGAGTAGCCAATTTGTTGATCAATTGAGTATTACGACACATTTCCTTTGTTGGATAATAGGGTTTTTTGGTTTATTATTGAATTTGCTCTACCTCTCTTTATAATTGTTTCAATTCTTATATATGATTTTTGTATTCTTTTTTGTCTATTTGATTCTGCGCATTGATGACTCCACAGATATGCAAATACCTATTTTTCTCCTTTTCCTTTTTTGATATTTCTTCCTCCTTTGGTTAGAGTATAAATTCTTTATAATATTGTTATCTGAGATCTTCAGTTAGTGTTGGTGGCTGAGATTACTCTTCAAAGATGGTGTTGAATTGATGTGAGGGCAATTATTTCTTTTCTTCGAATTAATACAATTTGACTTTATCCATCAATTGTCTATGTTAGGCTTTGGCCACTGAAATGAAGGGTAGTTGAGTAGTTTTGGTGTAGTTAAAGGAACTGATTTGTTCTAGATATTTTGTTTTTGTTTATACGTATTCGTAAGGATGAGGTTCAATTTATTTCAATTCTTCTGTTGTGAATAAAATAGACATAATAATTATAATAATACATACAGATATAAAAATTAATTAGTATTGAAAATTTCATTCTATTTACCCTTTTATTTTCACAGATTGCATTCTCCTTCTTTATAAGCGTTGTTACACTGAATCTTCCTACTCTTGCAAAGCTCTATGATAATCAAATTAGATAGATCACTTATTGTGCATTCTTGTAACGCGTTGAGATTCATAACCATGATATTCTAACAATTGGTTAACTTACAATTTTTGATCTTGCTCTTTGATGTATTTGAGTTGATTTTCTACTTCCTATTATTTCTAAGATTTCTGAACAATCGCCTATTTCGAAGAAGGAGGCAATGGAGGAACCTTATCTTAATTTTCTGAATGTGATGTCTTCTTAAGTGCTGTTTCATGTTTCAACTCTTCATAAGCAACATTCATGCATTGATTAACTGTTCCTCTCATTAATAATTGCTACGTTTTATTTTTAAAAATCAAAAACTTGTTGCTTTTAATCGATTCAAAGTATTCCACTCCGATCTACTGTATAAGATGGTAAAATACTCGATATAATTCCAACAATTGATTAACAACTTCTATGGTTACATTATTGCATTCAACTTCCATTTCTAAAAATAGGACATTCTCAGCGAAAAATGGTGGTAAATTCTTTGAATGCTCCCAGAATAAGGATTTACCAATCTCCTTGGTCTGTCTTTCCTTGGATCCATTTCTTGAACTCATATATAATATTTCTTAATACAATAATAAATTAAAATATATTATTGATCAAAATCAAATGTAAACGTTATTTTCATCCATATTCTGCCACTCAATATTCCACTATCATATATTTCGAAACCAATAAATAATTATTATTCATACATACACAACTATAAAACATTACAATTTCTACAAACCTCTTCTTCTCATTCTCCGTTGCAACAAAAACCAAGCAATCCCCACATACTCCTTCTATCCTTTACCTTTTTTTAAATCATGGGATGCTTCGAAGGAGTCAATGACATGAATATTTTGTTAAAACATTTCTAAACGTTCTCTCCTGTCTTTGCAGAAACAAAATACACTGGACTTTTAGAAGTTATATCTGAACTTATGCTCAGATCCAGTAAGTCCATTTTATTTCCCACAATAAATGTTGGGATGGTTCTTAACTCATTTTCTATCAAGTGACACCAACTTTCTATTTGTTCTTAGTATTTATCTTAGGAAGCATCGAAACAAATGATCACTGCATCGATTTGGCTCATAATTCTATTCAAAATTTGTCTATAGGCTTCGCAACCACTAGTATCATAGAGTTTAAATATGTAGTTGACATTTTTGACGCCAACAATTCTTTGGTAATAATCAATTCCTATGGTTGCTTATGTTTCAAAAAGAAATTCCTCTCCCTTCAGACATCGAACTAGGGATGATTTTCCACTCCTGGAATCCCCTATCAAAGCTACCTTAAATTGTTTTATCATGAAATTATTATTTAAGGTGATATAAATTTAAGAATTTAAAACAATTTAAATTATATCATAATGCACACTATTATTATAATTACGTAACCTATTATTATCTAATGAAATTGCAGTATTATGATTGCTATTTCATCATCATTATTCCAATTGCCATACAATGTTGTAATGATACATATTATCATTCCGTTTTATGATATCAATTTCGGAAATTTTAATTGTTACAATGATGTCTTTTCAAATGGATTCTCTTTTCTATCAGATTAGTTTCAATTTAATTTAAATCTCAAATTAAATTTTAAAATTTTGGAAATATCACATTCTCCTCTCTTTTGTTGATCTTTGTAAATGATCAATGGAGAGGTTCATTATTTCAATGAGGAAAATGTCAGAAATTGAAATAATATTTAAAAAAATTATGTTTATTGAAAAGAGATTAGGATTATTTTGTTTAAAAAAATCATAATAAAAATAATTAATAAAGTAAATTTACGAATGTCCTTCCGATTACAAGTCACAGATCCCGTCAAAGATAAAATATCAATGTTGGAAGTCGAATAAACACTTACTGTATTGGACTTAAAAGCATTAATAGAAGTTGAAGTAACCTTTATTCTTAAATCCAAGTTCCAAATAGCTGTCGCTCGACAATAATTGATCTATGGAGGAAGATTAATGAATGATAATGATACTCTCTCAAAATATAATATGCAAAATGAAGATTTGGTTCTTATTGAAAGGAAACCCAAATAGTAAAGAACCCCATTGGAATTGGAAGCCATCAAATTCATTAAGCATTTCCAACAAAACCCCCATTTGATTGAGGCCATCAGAATCAAAGATCCCAAACTTGCAGAATCAATAGAAAAAAAGAAATTAGCAGGTGTCATGGAATACATTTAGAATTAAGTATTGTTATTCATTCATTTTAGCAATAAAAAAAATTCTAAGAGTAACAAGAATACATCAGGAAAATGTAACAATTGGAGTAGGATCCTCTAAACCCTGAAAATCAGAAGCTAATTGAAGAAATGATCAACAAAAAAAATATTGAAGAAAATCGAGAATATGCAGAAGAATACATTCCAGAAAGTTTTGGAACTGTTACTATGTTATACATTGAACTCTCAATAAATCGTCATCCAGTATAGGCCTTTGTTGATAGTGGTGCACAAAGTACAATCATGTCCAAAGCATGTGCAGAGAGATGTGGAATCATGAGATTGGTTGATACTCGTTTTTAAGGTATCGCTCAAGGAGTGGGTACATAAAAAATCATTGGAAGAATTCATGTCGTTGAAATGTAGATATTGGATCAAGTAATCAATTCATTTTAATAATTAGTTTTTGCCATGTTCTTTGACTATTTTAGATGGAGATGGCATCGATTTCCTGTTTGGCTTAGACATGCTCAAACGATATTAAGTAATTATTCACTCTAACCATTAGTGCAATATCAATTTGAAGGATAATTGTTTAATCTTTCCAAATGAAAAATTGAGCGTTTAATTTCTTCCAGAAGGCTAAATTAATAAAAGAATAAGTATTTAATAGGAAGAGGAAATCTTAAAAAGACAAAACAGTGACTCATAGATACAAGAGGAGTAGCCTATCAAAACCTCAAATCAGCCATAATAGCAATAATAACCATAACCATAATAATAATAATAGCAATAATAATAACAATAATAATAATAAAAATAATAATAACCAAGTGCGATTAAAAGTAATTCCAGATATCCAGAATCTTCAATTTAGGCAATTATCAATCTTGGTGTCACTAGAGCTGAAGCAATAGTTGTATTGGATTAAACAAATGGAAATATAGAACTAGCAGCATCTATTATAATGTAGTAAAAATATGGTTTCAACTGAAAAGTTCATCGTAATTATGCTTCAATTATATAATATAATTATGTTTTAAATTTGCTATCTCTTTTTTATATTATTCTTTTTTGATCATTTTTATTCTTCCAGATTTATTGAATCACTACATAAATGAAATTATGATCAATTATCATGAAATTCATTTTTTTTCAATTAGATTCTATTTACAAATTCACTTTTTTACAATTATCCAATTGTTATTTCTTTAATATCAAAGGATCATAAAATACTTATTCTCCTAAAGAATTCATCTGATACTTTCATATCATGAGAAGGACGAGGCTCTTATACTAATTTTATCTACTAATCATATTAATCCAATTCATAGGATTTTCACTTAAATTTTTTTATTCCATATTTTCAGAAGTCTATTTGAACTTTAAACACTCTAATTTTAGCAAGAATTTATCCCATTATAAAAAGTTGCTAAAAGCAAGAAAATTCTTACTGAACTTAACTTCAAACTTCTTAGGTTCTCTTTTCCTTTTTTTGTCAATTATAATACATTGATTGAACAAACTTAAAACAGTTGCCTTAAGTAATTAATCGTAATTTAAATGAAAAATACATAATGAATAATTGAAATTAAAACAATATTTATTCTATTGAGTAATAAATAATAAACACAAATCATTATTATTTCTATCTTAAGGAGTGTAGAAACATATAAGCAAACATCCTTATAACAAGGAATAAGGCAATTAAGATTCCTACTGATTCCCACTAACCTACATTAAATCCTAAGACATCATTTGGGTCACCAAAATCATATGATCTACTTTGAAATTCATTTCTGGCTATTGCTTCAAAGGAATACTTAATTGGACTTACATATTAAATCCATCCAATCCAATTGTAGAATTGCTTAGGATTTGCATAAAAACCAGAAAAAGCAAATAATGGCAGCAAAGCTAATGGAACAAACCCTGTTGCTGCTTTTATATCATTAAATGCACAGCCTGCCATCAAACCAATACTATTTCCATTCAAGCATGTCAAAACCGCAATGAATATATGAGTAATCACAATTCCACCATTCATATGGTTTAAACCAACCATCCAATAAAGGATTAGTTCTTAAATTATTGGAGTGATTAGACAAAAAGGTATTTCTACAAAGGATTTCCCCATAAAATAAGAAAATGTTGTGTAAAGTTTTGAGTTCTCCTCTCTTAAGAAAACATCCCTCTCAGTGGCAAACTACAAAACTACTGGGAATAAAGAACTAAAAGTCATATTCATGCACAAGAAAAACAACAAGCCTGCCATGCTTGAATAATCAACGTAGGTTCCCTAAGTAGATCCAATACCATAATATGTTCCTCCTATGAGGAGTCCCATAAACAATGCCATTCCAAATCTTTATCTAATTAGTAATTTATCTCTAAAATAAGATTTAAGTGCTCTTTTTGCTATAAGATTTATTTAATATAAGGTTGAAGTCTCTACTTTTTTGAATTATATCTGAGACTTTGAGGATGATTCAATTTCCTTTTGCACTTTTGATGCCCATTAATTATCATATTCTTTAAAATAAGTTTGAAAATTATCCACATTAGTTTGACTCTCCTAATGCATTATACTAATCATGTAATCTAAAGGGTTACTATGATCTGGACAACTAAATCCTATTCCTTAAAAATAATCAACTAAATTTGATCTTGGTCCCTAATAAATGAACTTTCCTTAAACCAATAGCATAATTCGATCAAAAAGCAAATAAATATCTGATGATGGTTAATGTATTGTAAATACAATAGTTCTATCCTGGTCATGAGCTAAAAGAGTCAATTCATGTCTAGATTAAATAATTATAATTACATAATTTGGAAGGCTGTGAATGAGTCTAATCCAGAAGTAGGTTCATCAAGTAGAATACAACTAGGATTAGTCACAAGTTCAAATCCAATTGAAGTCCTCTTCTTTTCTCCTCCTGAAATACCTTTAAGATTTGGTCCTCCTATTATGGCATTCTAACATCTTTCTAATTTCATGGTCTTTATTGTGTCTTCAACTCTTTTTAATTTCAGGTCTGGATCAGTGTACTTTAAATTGGCTACAAACTCTAAAGCCTCTCTTGGAGACAGTGTCTCGAATAATACATCATTCTGCATAACATAAGCAGCAAAATTAGAAAATGTTTCAGAGTTGTACTCTATATTATTCACAAACACTTTTCCTGTCAATCTGGCTGTTTTAGTATTGGAGATTCTTGCAGATAGAATATTTAAGAGAGAAGTTTTTCCAGCTCCTGATGCTCCCAATATTGCAGTTACTTCTCCTCCCTTACAAAAGCCATCTAAATTATTTAATATCTGTCTTGATTCTTTATATTAAAATAAAGTTATTACATCCTTTAGTATCAACTACGGAATAATTTATATTTTTAAATGCTAAATCCACCACTTTTCTTGATCTGAGGCTCTTAGAACTCATAGCAGTTTCATTTAACCGTGCTATTTCTATTTATTGCTGAACTGTGATTTCTTACATTAATATTAGAGTAAGAACACTTCATTTAGTTAAAAATTAGTTGCTAGAATTCTCTAATTCCAAAATAATATTAATTAATATATATATATATTATTTTATTCTTAAAATATAGAATTTTATAATAATATAAAATTTTTTAAATAATTAATGGGGTGTTTTTATTAAGAATTATAATCATTGTAAAAATAATTAACAACCTTTTTATTTCGCTTTGATTCTAAATATTTTTACATAAATACATTAATTTCAGTAATTTTGTAATAACCCTTTGAGATGAAAATATAATTTTTCAATCAAGAAATATATATGAATTAATAAATATCAAATTTTTTAATGAAGTAAGATATTAATAAATTCTTTTTCTGTTATGAACTCTTTAGCATTGCATTCCTCAAGAATTTGTTCCCACAAATCTTAATCTAGAGTTCCAATCATTTATTCTAATTCCTATTTAGAGATCTTGCCATCATCATTTGCATCAAACACTTTGAATGCAGCCTTGACTTTTTATAAAGAAACCAACTTCTCTTAATTCATAGCTGCCATCAAAAATTCTAAATGTAAATAAATCTAAAAAACCTGAAAAGTCCACTTAACCACTTTAATTCAAATCTATCAATTACAAAATTTTGATAACTTCTTGTTCTGCCTTTTCCTTGTCTTAATAGATTTTATTGTATCCTTCTATCAATTCTTCCCTGGATAATATTCCATCATTATTCTTATCGAGACTTTGGAAGGTTTTGAGCAACTCGTCCTGTTCTAATTGATTTGTCATTTAAAATGCAATGTAGGAAAGCACAGCCTAGGAAAAAATGGATTTGGCCTAATAAATGTGGAAGGATACTTAGAACTTTTAGAGATTCTACAGGACCCTCAAATTGACATTGGGGTTGGTAGTAGTTTATGAACAATGCTTTACAATCCAGGCATCATTCAGGGCTTATTTGGCTGATATTCTGAAATTGGGATTTACATGCAACATTCTATTAATTAGATTCTTGGCTTCTTTCGATATTTAATTCCAATCGTCAGCTGCACTTATAATAAGAAATGAGGATATTACCATCAAATTCAAATTTTCCTTCTCCTACCTTCCTCATAATTTCATTTTCTGTTTTTCCGATGAATGGAGGGTATCCACATAACAAAATGTACAGAATGACTCCACATGACCAGATGTCGCATTTTTCATTGTAGTCTTGCTTCAATACTTCTGGGGCGATGTAATAAGGCTAAGGTGTAATGTTATCAAATATATTCTTACTGTCCCAAGTTTTTTGGTCATTTTTTTAGAAGGATCATATTTCCTGGAAGTCCCAAAGTCGATAATCTTCAAGGGTGAGGTTGAGGAGTCATTAACAAACAATATATTTTCTGGTTTTAAATCTCTATGTACAATCTTCTATTCGTGACAATACATCACAGCAGAGAGAATTTGTCTCATGTATTCGGCTGCCTTCTTTTCATTGAAAATGGTCATGGCCTTAATTCTCTCAAAGAGTTCGCCTCCACTCAAATACTCAGTTATTAGATAGTAATTCTGTGCATCTTAATACAATTCATACAGTTTCACTATATGAGGATGATCTAAGTTCTTGAGTATATTCATTTCAGCAAATAATCTCTATTATTCTTCTTGAATTAGAGAAGACTTTTTGATTTGTTTCATGGCTCTAATCAACCCTATTTAAGAATGATTTGGAGTGTATACCGGTGGTTTTATGAGTAACTTTCCACACTTTTCCATAAGCTCCAGCTCCCAATGTCGACCCAGTTGAGTAAAATTTGCCAATACTCCCTTATTTTAAACTTATAAACACATCTGCCCCCAATTTGACTGTGCCGATTGAAGTGAGAGTTTTCCTCTTAAAAGGAGTGGATTGAGACCGACCAATATAGCCTTCTTTAATTTATTGATCGGATGTATTAGCTGCATTATTGGATGATTTGGGATCTTGGGCTACTGTTACTTATGATAAATCCTATTGCAGTTTCTCCTTTTCGACTTCAATGACTTGACTGGCAATTTCACTGATGGGAGGCAGTCCCATTTCATTTTCTTTTTTCATCTCTAATACTTCATCGTTATTGCATGGCATTTTATTAGTGAATGGAAGACTGTGTATTGATTGTTTGAACAAAGAACTGTTCTTGATGCTGTCATTGACGATCTCGTAGTTGAGAGATTTGGGTTATCCTTAACAACATTATGAACCCATAATAAAGAATAATTTTAATAAAAATCAACTTTCATCTTGCTGATTTTTCGAGAGATCTTTCAAATAAAACATAATGACAAATTTAATATAAATTTATCTGTATAAGAATTCTGAAAGACTTTGGATAATTTGGTGACAGTGAGATTAATCAAAATATTGAAAAAATCACTGGTTGCAATTTAGAAAGTGATTTTTTCATCAAAAATTTTGGTAATATGAGAAACAGAGATTAATGGTATAATAGTTGGAATAAATGAGAATGTAATATATGCGATTTGATTTTAATATTCATAATTTCCATGAAATAGCCAATTAAATTAATTTATAATTGTAAATTTGATATTTAGCAGAACACGATTTCAAAGGATAAATAAATAATAAAATGGCAAAAGGAGGAAAGAGCAGAAGTTAAAGCAAATCAGGAAAAAGTAAATTGATTGATAACTAAATTATTAGAGAGTGGATCAGCTACAAAAAAGATTAAGAAGTAAGTTCCAGCTGCTTCACCTGCAAAGGTTGATGTTGCAACCACTGCAGCACCAAAGACTCCAGTAGCATCTGCAAAGAAGGATTCTGCTAAAAAATCTACTCAAAAGAGTACATAAAAAAGCACTTAGAAATCAGTAAAGAAAAGTGCAGCCAAGAACTCAACTAAGAAGGGAAGTGCATAAAAAGGAAAAAGTGGAAAGAAAGCATAATGATTAATATAATATATATATTATAATATAATTATAAAATGTCTCTTAAAGATTTCAAGATTATATCAAAATTAGGTTTAGTTTACTAATATGATAGGTGAGGGAGCATACTCAATAGTGTACAAGGTAAAAAGAATTGAAGACAATTCAGAGTATGCCTTAAAAAAAGTTAATCTTACAAATTTGAGTGATAAGGAGAAATAAAATGCCTTAAATGAAGTCAGAATATTGGCATCCATCAAAAATCCATATATCATTAGCTACAAGGAAGCTTTCATTGATGTTAATAGTAATTCATTATGGTAATAAAATTTGATAATATTAAAACAGTATTGTAATGGAACTAGCAGATAACGGAGATCTCTTATAATCAATTTAGAAATGTGCCAAATCTAATACAACGATGAGTGAAAATGACATTTTGAAAATTACCTTTCAAATTGCAAGTGGTTTAAAAGCATTGCATGATTTGAAAATATTCCATAGAGACTTAAAAAGTGCAAATGTTTTTTTGTAATCCAACGGAGATGTGAAATTGGGAGACATGAATGTTTCAAAAGTAGCCAAAAAGGGATTACTCTATACACAAACAGGAACACCATATTATGCAAGTCCTGAAGTATGGAAGGATCTGCCCTATGATCAGAAATCAGATATCTGGTCGTTGGGATGTGTCACATACGAAATGGCTGCACTCAAACCACCCTTTAGAGCTGAAGATATGGAAGGACTCTACAAGAAAGTTATAAGAGGTATCATTCTAATATCATACCATTTAGGCCTATATCCAAAACTTCCATCATAATATTCGTAAGATTTGCAGAATGTCATAAGAATGATGTTGTAGGTCCAAACCAATTTAAGACCGACATCATACGCTCTAACTGAACTCCCCTATTTCAATAGATTTAAAACACACATCATAGATGATCAAAGCAAATTGCTCAATACCATCATATTCCCAAAGAACCAAATTTCTATAGCAAATATGTTGCCTAAAGCCAATTACAACAATCATAAATTCAAAACTGAGGCCAATCAACATAGTGACACACAGGAAACTATTCAAAGACATAGACAAACAACTCTTGGAGCTGGTTCGCATCAATCTTCACCAAATCCTACTAGAATTTCGCAATATCTGGCAGAGTAAGAAATGCTATTAAGTATTTATATATTAATTAAAGAATAATAGTATTCAGTAAATTATGCTACAAAAAATAAGAAAACACATAACTATTCTGATAGGAATGTGATTGCCAAGATCCTACTTGAGTATTAGAAGGAAGTGCCCATTTATAAACAAATAAAATAACGAAATCGAAGACTCTCGTAGGAGGAAACTCCGTATCTATATCAGAGGAGAATTAGTCAGCTTCCTGCTTTAGAGGAACATTCTCCAAATCAGAAACGACATCCTCGGAATTAGAGTATGCCAACTTCCAATTTACCTATAATCTGACGATGGATATATATATTAATTCTGCTAAATTATCCCAATTTACTTATTGTAATCGTGAGTTCTGTGTTTAATGACATTAATTTAAATATTAATAAGTGTTCTGATTAATATTTTTTTTAACGATCTTAAATTTATGTAAGAGTTGGATTTCTTGAGGATTCAGAGGGAAAGTCAGAAGTTTTTGGAGATCGATAATATCTTCAACAGATTGGCGTCTAGTTTTGTGGAAAAAATATTTGCTCTATTCAAAGAGATTTTCCAATAAGAACACACATACACGATCTAAGTGAGTTAAACTTAACATTCTAGGAATTGTTGAAATTGGCAATCTAAAAGGAGATTCCCTTGAAAGATTTTAAGTTGGCAGAACATTACAAATTGAATTCAAGCATTTTTAAGGCAAATTTACAAATGATTGTAAATGTAGTAATTGATGACATTTGGAGTTCTTACAATAAATAAATCGTACTTGATGAAAAGAGCATTGCAGAACCTAGACAGCTCACTCAAATCGATGAAGAATCAGCTGTCGATTAATGCCAAAGTTTGAGTGAAACCTCTTTGATAAAAGACAAAAAGGAAGTAGAAATTCAAAAATAAGTTTAATCTGCTCGATCTCCACTCGCCAAATTGTTGGCTGGAGACAAATCTCATTAATTCATATCTATTGGCAGTTCTCCTCGACATTCTCGTGAGAATAGTTAAAATCTGCCCATCAAACAGCAAAAATAGGTTATTCAGAATTCCAAAAAGAAAAATTCATCGTTAATCAAGAATAAAAGCATGGATCTCAAAAATCTAGTGGCTGAAGGCATTCTATAACCGAAATCAACAAATCGATAGTAGTTAAGTTTAAGTAATTTGCATCTGTTGATGCAGAAGATGCAGGGATAAAAAGAGAATTTAAAATGATTTATAATTCATTAATACTAAATAAATATTTTTACACAAAAATAATAATGGATCAAGATTTGAATGAGAATTTAATTAAGTTGAGCGAACTTATGAGGTTATAGAATGTCAAAAAACCTATTTATAATCCATCGAAATATTCAAATTTGCATCTCATGTTGGCAAGATCAGTTAGCATTAGCACTGAATCATCCTCCAGAATGATTTAAATCAAATCGAATTTGAATACATAAAATACTAGCAAAGCTCAATTGAATCAATAATAAAAGTATATCCTTATTTTATTATGATGTCCAGATATTTTGTCAGTAGAAGAATGTCATTGGCGAAATAATTAAAAACTTGTGATTCCTATTTATAAAAACGCAAAATCGAGACTCAATTCACTAAAACTGATAATCTGTGTGGATTAAAAAAGGTATTCGAAATCGGAAAGAAGGTTCTCTGATTATAATATTGATCATAAATATATTAATTTGTCATAAAGTCCTCACTATGGACCTGATAGTCCTGCCTTGCACCTTATAAAAGAGAACTCCCAAAAGAATGAATACCTCAAACCAAGAATCCTTTCGTTTCGGCAGAACCACACCTACTAAATTTAGAAATCCCAATTTCTCAACAACTTCTCCGAAAACCAGGTATCACTCCCAAGCAGATAGAAAATACGAAATCAAACCCAGAGAATGCGATATATTTGAAAATGACTACATAACCAAGACAATCTAATTTAATGCATTGTAAAATGAGAATTACCAACAATCATTCCTCATAAAGGATAAAAAAGTGTTGAAGAAGAAAAATGGATTAATCGTATTTAAACCCATTCCCAAAGAGACTCAATTAAAGTCAATCTTCTAAAGTCCAGAAATATACCCTATCATCAACAAGGCCAGGAGGAGAGAGCTGAAATTAAAGAGAATTATGGACAATGAATTTATGAAGTCCAGTTTGGAGAAGGAAAAAGAATTTAGTGATAGAAATTGTCGGAACATCCTTAAGGATTTGGGCCATGACTTCTATTTTTAATGAGTTTTTCAAATTAATTACTTATTATGTATGATTACAGAGATATGAAATATATATATATATTATTAATTGAAAATCTTGATCGGACATGTAAGATGTAAATTATGATATTATCATAAATAGAAAAAAGAACAAAGCAGATTTGAAAATTTTCTAATTCAATTTAAAACTTTAGTGGAATCATTTTAAATGACAACCCCAGAACCAGAGGAATATCCAAAACCATAAATCGCAAAGCAAAAAAAACAAAAAAAACAAAAAGATCCATTAGCACCAAAGATGCCAAAATCAGCCTTCATCTTTTATTTTTAGGATAAGAGAGAGAAATTTCAATAACAATATCCAAGTCTTTTTTCATGCTATGCTAGATCTACAATTTCAAGAAATCACCAAATTAATTGCAAGTGAATGGAAAGATTTACCAAAAGAAATTTAGTAGGTACTCAAAACCATGTTATAATGCCTAGTCATATCACGATTAAGCCTTTAAAGACAGAAGTCGTTATTCCTAAGAAAGCGAACTCTATTGCACTTAAACAGGCAAAAAATTCAAAGGCAAGAATCAGACAAAAACTAATAAATCAAATGCAAAACAAGAATAACTCTAATAAAAAGTAGATTAAGATGATGAAAACGATTCATTTGGTGCAGATATAGGTTAAGAATGATATCTATAAAAAAACACACCTGATATAATTAATGGTCAAAATAATTATACATTTTTTATCTTCACCTTATTTCCATAAAATATAATAAATTCTTCATTTAAATCTATTTAACTTTATTTAGATTTCCAGAATTACTGTATTTTTATCCTCCTTTTTTTAATTACAGACTACAATAAAATACTTTCTGTATCTTTGAGCTATTAATATACTGATTTTTATAGGTATCAACTCAAAATGTGGTTTTTTTATGCTATAATATCTTGTTTGCTATTAACATTTGAGAGTGGAGATACTATGTGTTTGTTTTACTGAATAATTTGATAGATTTCTGATATGATTTTGTATTTAATAATATTTTGAATTAAGTACATAATCACTATTTAATTAACATAATTAAAAATGCAAAATAATTAAACCGATGAGTTTTACCTCAGATATTAGTAAAATTTAAGTTGTATTGATAGTGTTGGACATAAGGGTGTGTATGGGCATGAATTCCTGGAGTTTGAATTCAGAAGTGATGGAAGATTACGTTATGCAAATAATTCTAACTATAAATCAGATGTTTTAATCAGAAAGGAGTGTTATGTTTCTGAGTCAGTGATTTCAGAGTTCAAAAGAATAATTGAAGAATCAGAAATAATAAAGTACTGATTAAATATTATTTGAAAAGAGAAAACGATTCAAAATGGCCAGCTCCAGATAAAATCGGAAGATAGGAATTGGAAATTAAATTAGGAAATGCACACATTTCATTTACTACATCAAAACTCGGATCAATACATGATGTATAAAGCAGTTAAGACCCAGATGGCTTAAGAGTTTTCTTTTACTTGATCCAGGATTTGAAATGCTTTGTGTTTTCATTAATAGGACTTCATTTTAGAGTATGCATCTCTTCAATTATAATAGATTAAACCTGTGAATTGAATAATTGTTATATGTTAATTATATTTATAGAGGTTTATTATTTCAAATATAACTGTCGTAGATGCATAGTCTCTCTGTTGATTATTACAGAATAATAAATAAATAACTATTTATAAATTAGTTTCCATATCAATCTGATCACACCTTAACGAGTCCGAATAGGCTGCTATGCATAGGTAATTTACAGACTCTGCTCTTTTCTTCTTCTTTCCTATCCTAGATGGGAATATATTCTCTCTGATCCTCCCCAACATACAATTGTCTTGGTCTACTAATTCTCTGCACCTTCTCCGACATCATCTCCATCCACTAACAAATCCAACCAATACTCCTTTACACAGCAAACATGACAGTAAACATGGAAGTGGGAATGCTCAAAGCCTCATACACAATCCCAGTATAGAAATCCACATTTGGATACAATTTCCTTTGGATGAAATAATCATCTTTCAAAGCAGCTTATTCCAATAAAATGGCCAACTATGACTTTGATGTAAGAGTACCTCTAAAATATCATTTGCTCTTTAAGTTTTTTCTAAAACACTGTAACACATTTCCTACATCACTTTTGCTCTTGGATCATAATTCTTATAAACTCTATGTCCGAATCCCATCAATCTAAAACAGTTGTCTTTAGATTTTGCCTTTTGAAGATATTTTGGTATATTTTCCTTGTTTCCTATTTCCTTCAACATATTTAACACTGCCTCATTAGCACCTCCATGATATGGTCCCCACAAAGCTGTAATTCCAGCAGCAATACATGCAAAAGGATTTGCCAAAGAAGATCCAGCTATTCTGACAGTGGAAGTGGATGCATTTTATTCATGATCAGCATGCAACATAAAAATAGTATCTAAAGCTTTAACAATCACTTTGTCAACATTAAAATCATTCATAGGAGTTGAGAACATCTTGCTATTTATTGTTTATAGTTACCATATATAAGAAATTCTCAATGAAGGAGTACTTTTTGTTTGGATAGATGATTGGCAATCCCAAAGCTGTTCTATATGCATATGCTGCCAATGTAGGCATCTTTGCTACTAATTTGATGGCTATCTATTCTCTATCCCTTGGATCATTGACATCAAAATCTTTGTGCATAAAAGCACTCAAAGCACCAACTACACCTACCATAATTGCCATCGGATGACTATCAGTTGCAAACCCCTTATAAAATTCTATCAGTTTCTCATTTATCATCATCTCACTCACCATAGTCTCTTCAAATAATGATAATTCCTTTTAAGATGGAAGATGTCCATAAATGAATAAATAACACACTTCTATATATGAAGAGTATTTCGCCAAAGTCTCTATCGGATAACCCCTATATAACAACTCTCCCTTATCTCCATCTATGTAGGTCATGGTTGAAATGCATCTAAATTATTTATTATTAATTTTATACGCCCCAGTGGATGAGAATCCAGGATCCAATGTAAAATATCCGGTTTTCGATTATAGCTAAGTGATATCAATCATTGGAGGACCTTTAGTCCCCTTGTATACTGGTAGTTGAATTGTTTTTCCATTCGGTAAAGTGAGAGTTGCAATGTCTGATGGAAGTGGACTAATCGGTACAGTTTTTTCCATCTTTGATTTTTGAGACTCTATGGTTTCTTGGTGCCATTTATTGGGAGACTGCGACATTTGAATATAAGATGATAACTTAAATATTTAATTTGAATACGCATTAATTTTTTCTTATATTTAATTTAGTATGTTATAAAATGTGTTATTCATTTCATATGCCACTGCTATTTAATTATCAAAATTAATCATTTTTATCTATATTTCTTTCTTTCCTCAGCAATGTCCTCCCAATGATTCCAAGCCTTCATTCCATACATAGCAATGTCATCTCTCGCTCCACATGTCACATAATTCCCCTCCTGATCGAAAATGCATAAATGTGGTATTGTTTAAGGTCTGCAAATTCTTGTCAATTAACTTATGGCCATCTTCTCAGTCCATGGAATAGCCAACCAAGGCATTTTTTGATAATATTTAATGAAGTCTCTCTCATTCTCATCATGAGTCACCAAGACTATCTCAAATGTCTTTGACTTTCTAATTTCATCATAGAAATTCGTTAGCATCCCTGTAAATTGCCTACAAGGAGGACACCAACTTGCAGAAAAGTACAACCCCCAAAATTAATACTTTGAAAAATCAGGCTTTGTTTTGATTTCATTCCCTTCCTGCAAAGTTTCAGATAAAAATTAAGAGAAATTTTTCATTAAATTATGACTTCAATTATAATTAATTTTATTCATAATTTCTATTTAATTATCATTCTTAAAATGCAATTCAATGATGTTAAAAACAAATAATTGAGAATATAAAATCATTGATATAAGTATTCGGTCATTAAAATTGTAGTATGATTGCTTAAATAATTTAGTCTTTTAATACGCTATTGTACAAAAATTAAAGATTAATTAGAGAGCAGTATAGATATTGAAACAAAATACACAAAATATCTTAATAAGTAGTTTTGGTAAACTATGATTTTCAAACTAGAAAGAAGAAAAAAAATAGTTGTTGTATTGATTTTCCTTATCTTTAAAAATAAAGTAGTTCATCCAAATCAACCACAATTTTCATTTATGATGATTAATTTTATCATATATATTTAGACAAAAATCAAGAGAATCAATTATTTTTTAATTTAAAATTAATCTAATAAAATCATAATTTAATCACATTTTACAATTGGTTTCCAAAGTTAAACCAATTTTATAAATTAACTGAAATGTTTAATAAGATATATTAGATGATTTTAAAGATTATTAAAAATGGATTTATTTTTATTTAATCAATCATTTTTGTAGATATTATTTTATTTATTATATTGCCTCATAATCTTATGGGACATTTTCACTATTTGTAAATTTGAATCTCGAGTTTCTATTGCCCTCTCCATCCACTATGATATAAACAAATAGAAATACTTTTGAGAATGACCGCTTCAACTCTTTTTTCAATGTCGATGGACTTTTACTAAATGGGTTATGGGAATTCTTATTATTATTATGTTTCTTTTATTTCTTCCCATTACACATTTATTTATTGTTATTATTGTTAAATGGGTTCAACGACTCTTTCTTTTAACATATTATCTAAAATATTTTATGTGGTTGGGAACACTGATTTTTGTAGGGCATTTTTGTAATTGATTTTAGTGTAAAACTTTTTGAAGTTGGCTTGAGCTAGTTTTTATGAATATGAAAATAACCACTTTGAGTTATTCATTTCTTCCTAAATATAATTAGATGTACATACTTTTTTTAACACTTGTGTGGAGTCTTTGTCTTTGGGGTGTTGATGCAAGTATACACAATCCTTGATCTTACATTGCTGACCCTTTAAGAAGTTTGTGCAATATTTGGTGGTTCCGAAGGAAGCCTTTACTTGTCTGTCGTGTAAGGGAAATTTTTCACATGCCAAAACAAATAAATATTAATTATATTTACTAAGATTGCTAAAGATGCTTCTTATTCATTTCGATAAGTAATATAAGCAGCATGAGAGGGGGGATTGAAGGTGTTGCTTTGGATCACAATTAATTTTTAGATTTATCCGTATTGACCGAAATATTCCAGCTTTTTCAATTGCTCAAATAAAAATATGATCTTACATCTTCTTTGGCAATGTTGGGTGCTAAACCAATCACATAGATCAAATTCTTGCAAATGATTCTGATTTCAGCTAATAATGATTTGTTTTGTAGATTGATTTCTTTGAAAGAATATAGTGTTTTTGGTTTAGGTGAATCACAACTGTCCCAATCCTCTTGGTCCGAACATTCACAGTCACTCAAATTGCAATATTGGCAAATCTCCGATTAATTGGTTTAATTTTTCATTCTTTAATTTATATTACAAACATAAACTTTAGAGATCATACATTTTCTTTAATAATATTGTTAATATTTATTTATATTTTTAATACACCCACAAACACTAATTAATAATACACAAGCAATAATAACATTACTTTAGGGCAATTTTTTAAAGGATTTTAATTAATACTCGCATTTGAAAATTTATTTAGAGTATACCTACTAAATATACTTGAAATATTATTAAAATCAATAAATTACTGTGTCTAAAGAGTGAAAGCAATATTTAGACTCTGTATATAAATAATATATACAATAATAGTAAGATAGCAAATTTTATATTTTTTTACATAATGATGGTACCATATTTCAGAGTTTTTTGATCCCTATTATCAAGGAGATCATAAAATTAAGAAGATATGGAGTAAGAAGGAGTGTTTAAATTGAAATATGGATGGAGGTTGATTTTTGTATGTGCATCTAGAATTAATGAATAAAAATGGAATTTTTTATAATGCAAATTAGAAATTGATGGGTTTTGGAATGTACTATATTTATGAAATAAACCTGTGAAATATTTGAGCTTAGGCAAATGGCGTAGATGGTTATCGCGCTGCATTTACACTGCAGAGGTCCCGAGATCGATACTCGGTTTGCCTATATTTTTTTTTTAATATTAATAATATTAATGTATTCAGATAATAACAATGCTCATTCAGAGATTAGAATCAGATAACTGTTATACTTCAAATAGCCACCTCAGAGTACTTTTGAATCCAATATTTTTTAGCTACCTTGCCCACCAATAGAAGTACTATGAAACTTCAGACTCTCGAACATAAATTGGGAAGGACTAATAAAAATTTTACGGGCTATTCAAAAAGTTAAAGTGAAACTAGGCCTTTTTTTGAAAATTTCATGGAAAAAACTGATCAAATAACATCTTTTGGATTCAAGTATCCTTTTAATGTTGACGAATTTTAAAACACCAATGCATAAATTCATTTTTTAGAAGTGTTCACACATTCATAGCAATTAATATAAGTAAGGATTTGTCAAGATTATAATAGAATTATATTTCAGATAGCAAGCGTACTTTGGCTCAATTGAAGGAGCAATCGAAGCAAATTAAAGATGAGATGGAGCAGATGAAAGAGAAAACGGAGTAGAAAATTTAATAACTAGAGGATCAGTTCAATGAGGCAGTTCAGGTTAAGCAAAGGCAGTTGAAGGAGGACTATGTGGCTTACTCAACGGAGTCATATCGGTTGAATAAGGAAATTAGCAAATTGACTAAGGATAAACTACATATGGAAGAATAGTCTATTCATTTGCTATAGAAAATAATCAAATTGGAGAAGCAGATGCAAGGAGTGGAAATGGAGTTAATGTGTGAAAATGAATAGGAATTATAATCGTAATTAAGAGGCACATTTCATAACACGAAAAGCATAACACACTGATTATTAATCATATTTAAATAGTTATGCCTAACTTCTTTAAATCCTCTATTTTTTTCTTTACTCTAAATAAATTCATTAGATTTTGGCCTAAATAGATGGTTTTAATATGAATTTAGGTCTGTTTTTATATTAATTACTAAATTGTATCTAGAAATCTTTCTGTAATCACATTAGATTGTAGATGCAATATTTGGCAATGTAATTCCAATAATTTAGTTGCACCAGTATCACTGATTTTATTTCGCACTAACTTCAGAATCTTTAACTTCTTATTTTTAATAGATTCTTCCAAAAGAATCATTCCATCATCTCCCAAATCTAGACGTTTAATAGATGACACACAGTACCTTATTAGGAGAGATCCAGAGTGTCTCCATTGCAATTTAGTAGAATGGATTCCACCTTGGTATTAAACTTCTTTTTGGTGGGTCTTTTTGGAGACATTGAAGATTGCCTTCTGAGTTTTGGAGATACCAAAATATCTGATGATTTCTTCTCATAATTAGGACTTATGGCATTTTATGAAATGTTGTTAGATGAAGGTTATGATTGGAGAGCAGATTGAGATTGATATAAAGGTTGAGGATTTAATAAATTATGTGTCAAAAATTCATTATGAGGAGGTTTGTCATCAATGTCCTTTAAAAAGCTTTGATCAATCATTGATACATCTCTCAAGATATTTGGATCGTCAAAAAATGATTATTGAACTTGGGGGTAATTGTATTCAAAATTCCCCATTAAATCTTTACTTAAATGCACTTAAGGAGTAATTTAACCTTGAGTGACTTCTTATAGTCTTGTTTGAAATTTCTTCATAAAATCTTCTAATTCTTCAATAATTTGTTTGGCTTGAGAATTTGAAGTGTCTTTTTAAAGGAGGAAAAAGGCAATTTCTCCTTTTTCAGTTAAAGAGGCGAATTAATTGATTCGTTCTTGAGAGCTAAAAAAATACTAATGACTGAGAATTACGCTAACATCCACAAGTCTGCTTTTTCGACTACTTGATTGACATATTGTTGTTCTCGCTTGATTAATTGATCCTCAACTTATTTGTATTTATACTCAATCTCTTCTACTACTTTTCGCTATTTCATCATTAATTGAGTAATCATTTCCTAAAATTAATAGAAATATAAGTGTACTTTGAATTATTCTTCAGCCAGGGCTTGTTGTTACTTGATGCAAAGCCTTATTTAGTCGCGTATCTTTTTGTTGATAATTGGTTATTTGAGGGATTTAATTTTGGATTGAATTTGCTACATGAGATCTACGGTTTCTTCAAGGGAATGCTGGATTTCTGAGACGACTTCCTATATTATAAAATAGACTAGATTTCGATACATCGATATTTCTAACATTGTGATGTTTATGTACACCAAATAGGGCACAACTTACACAGATTGTATTGTGATCCTCCAGACAGACTAATTCGATTTTCTTGTTGTGTTCTTTGCAGAGAGAGGTAGATTCCATGACTTCGAAGAAATTCTCGCATTTTGAGAGTCTCACAGTTTCACCCAACTCGGTAGAATCGATTTGTGAGTTCTTGAGACTAGACTTGTTTATTATTTTCAAAATCGCTTGGTTGACTGGGTAGAGATTCAGATCTTGTGGCTAGACAATTCTTAGAAATTAGAGCTACTGCTTTACCCGTCTTCAGGACAGATTATTTTGGTTTGTTCACGAAGACACTGCATGCACATGGAGTGGCCACATTTTGGTAGCATTTATGGTGTACGATCATAGATGTCAAACGAAATCTCACAACGAGGACAGTTTAATTCTTAGTGCATTAATTAAATAATAAATAAGATTTAAAATGGCCAATTCTCAAGAGAAGATGTAATAGGATTATATCTGGATCAGAGACTAATCTACCGGGGATGCTGATGTGAAGATGCGAACCTTCGGATAACATTATCTCTATTATCACGCTCCAAATAAAAGAGAGCGATTGGAAATGATTTGGAGGTCCATGGGAAAGGCATACGATTGGGAAATGGAGAAATTCAGAGTACTTCCCTCTTTTACATTTAGATGCAAAAAAAATTCATTGACAGAGGCAATAAAAGGAGATTCTTCAAAAACTTTTTCAGATTAATCAAGAACCCTATGGGTTACATCTATTGGAAGACCTACAAAATCAGACAACCCAAAGGCAGAATCATCACAACCATGCTTGGCCTCGGAGTAATTGGAACATTGTTCAAATACAAAATGGAATCAAGTATCAATTCACTCTATCCCACTTAGACCAAATCCAAAAAAGAGAATATTATTTATTGACTGCAGGCAAGAACTCAGAAGGAAGTGGACTCATCAACACTGGCTACAACAATGATAAGTTTATAATTTATTGCATACTTTTAGATTGGCTCGTCAAGGAATGCCCCTCACTCAGATGTTCTACTCTTATCTATTGGCCAAAGATATCGTTGTCTCAAGATCACGAGATCAAAACTACAGAAAATACTTTGAAATGAGAAAAAAGTATTAAATCAAAGAATGAGATCACAATATATACACATATATAAATATAGATAATAAAATGTATAATCAATATGTATGTCTCTTCTCTCTCTCACTATACTCAATCTGTACTATCATTGTCATAATTCTTCCTGCATTCACAACTATTCCTCTCGGCTGAACTCAAATAACTTAAAGCATCAGCACTAGAGATTCTGTCTTCAGGATTCTGTTGAAGCATCCTCTCCACTAAATATTTCAAAGTGGGATTCTCAATATTCTGTGTGTACTCTTAGCAAAATGTGTATTTTTCATTCAATCTTAAGACCTCGTCTAAATTGCCTCCTTAAAAAAACCTACAGTTATGGATCCTATTGTAATTTAAATCTTTTACATTTCCCACAATAGAATTCCCAATCCAAACATATCAATTTTGTCATTACATGTATTTTGAGGCTTCAACATCTCTGGAGCCAAATATCCAGGTGTTCCACACACTCTGTTTTACCATACACCCAGATCACTCTTCTTCTCTGTCAACCCAAAATCTATCAGCTTCACAGTTTACAAATTGTCAGTTTCTCCAAATAAAACGTTTTCTTATTTTATGTCCCTATATACATACCCTTCCTTATGAATGTGATTTATACAAACCAACACTTACTAAAATATTTCAGATACTTACTTTAAATATTATAAAGATTTCTTGTTCCTTCAAATTTCTCGATTTTAACAATTCCTTAAGTGACCTCCCTTCTAAATATTCCATCACTATATAAAAATGTTTAGACTCCACATAATATTCCTTCATTTTAACTATCTTTGGATGTTTTAATCTCTACAACGCCTTCACTTCTCTCATAAAGTCCTACACTAATCTAACTACTACTTACTTCATATTTGTAGGCACTCCCCATCTTCAGAGATTTGCAAGCCACATACTCCTCAGTCAAACGATTCTAATATTTAAATACCTTTAACAAATAACTACTACAAATTACATGTCCATATGTTCCCCTACCACAAAATGATACCATTTAGTAGATTTTGTGAATGTTTCGATAGGAGATTTTTGCGTCCAGGAACTATTTGAATAATTCTAAATGGCTCCTCTCCATATCGAAATATTCCCACAAGCCGTTCACCAATATGCCAAACCCAGTCAACTTTTACTGACATTTTGACAACTTCCATTCAATTGTTGTGTCTTCAAGCAGTTTTATTTTGTGTTGAACCATCTTCTTGGACTAAAACATATTTATAAAACTTCTACATTTGATAATCTTATGCTATCTGATAGAAACTCAACTGAAAACGAGTCATGGAAGAGCAGGTTTTTCTTTATACAAATCATAAATAATAGTTTTAGAAATAATTAATAGCTTAAGAATATTCACGTGAATCCTAAAATGTAATTTATTTATAAAATGAATAAACTATAACACAATGTCCATTACAATTTAAAAAATATATAAATTTGAATTTTCTCTTGATTTACTGCAAATCTATATACCTGACCACAAGCAACTATTAATCTGATAAATCAATTTCAATTTAATTTATTTGTTGTTCTTATAATTAAGAAAGAATATAATTAATTAAATTGAATTAAGAATGAATTAAACACGAAGTTGAAGACTTTTAATTAGGTAAAAATAGAAGGTCTATTATAATATGTATTTAATGCTATTCATTTCTTCTCCAATTCCGCCACTTTAGCTTATAATTGGGCATTTTCTGTGCGTAATTGATTCTAGAATAATATGGAAAACTTTACTTCTGATTTAATCAATTCATCAATAGCCTTTGTGAGGTGACCTATTCTATAAGCAAATCTTCTGTTTTAATCTTACAATGTAGCTATTTCTCCTTGATTCTTGAAATTAATGAATGCTTTTACCTCAGAACCAGCCTTAACATTTTTTAATTACTCGTAGAATTCATTTCTTAAATCATACAGTTATTAGAGTAATTCTTATTATGTTGTTGCCATTATTATTATTATTTTTAATATTTATATTACTCATAAAAAAATAATTACAAATAACAAAATAGTTCATCTTGTAATTGTATATTTTCTATCCTTCCGAAATTGGTATCTCCCAAGAATCTCTAATACTTTTAGTCCTCCAATTAGATTGATGTTGAAGTTTTGAGCATTCCATTTTCTTGAAGAACATTAATGGGTTAAAATACATAAATTATTTTAGTTATAATGAGTTAAATTCATAAATTCTCCTATTTCGATTAGATCTATATATTTGAATGGAAGTTTTCTTTTTAAATCGCAAAATATTGAAATTAGCAAAAGTACCTTTATCATAGTTTATCTGTATCACCTTCTTAATAGGAGTTAATGAATATATATTGAGGATGAGAGAGCATTACAAACAAAGTGAATTAGCCTTAATCCAAGTCACTTGATTTGCTATATAATATAGATGATGTTAATAGATTGTGAACTTTTTAATTGGAATGAAGGAGTATTCTTATAGAGTGGAATTTTTCAATTAACTTAATGTGTAAAAGTAGTTGGATGTTAAGAATGATTATTTGTTAAATTTTAATATTTATATATATATTTATATACGAGATGGCTTATAACAGTGATTTTTAGGAGCAGGGACAGTATGATTAGGAGGAGTTTGCAATGAGGATGCCGGTGAAGAGTCACTTGCAGAGATTGGATGTAAATGGGTTTATTAATCGTTAAGTAATTGTTGCAGCAATAGATGGATGAGTTGGATTTGGCAAAGAAGGAGAAGGAGTAATTGCGTAATAATTTGATTGAGTTATCGCAAATAACATCAGATTCATTTGATGATTCGAATAAATATTTGAATGAGGAGTACCGGAGATTGATGCAGGAGTTTCACGAGTAGAATGCGTTGCAATTGGAATAGCATTAATTCTTAAAGCAATAAGTGGATCAGATCAATTAGGATAGAATAAAATTGGAATAAAATACTATTGTACTAGAGAATAGAATTCAAGATTCAGAAAAAGAATTGGGATTTGTTTGATTATAAATAAATGAAAATTAAACTAGCAATTATCTTTAACTTATTAATCTTACTAAACGCATCTTCAATATCCATTGCAATATGCAAATGCGAGTAGTTGCTATCATAAACTGATTGTCAGCATTAAAACAACAATTGTCTGTGGATTTCGGACAAATGCGTCATCAATCCCAGTCAATCTGACTCGGGAGCCCAAATTATCACATATTGCACATCATACACGGAATCAGAATGTGCTTCTATTGTTGGTTGTGCATGGATAAATAAAGCCTGCGAACAATTCTTGGGTTGTACTGCATATTTCTATTCAAAGTATATAGAATGTTAGTAGATTTCACGGCAGTGTTAAACTGATGGGTCTCATTGTATTGAGATAAGCGACTGTGCTGATTACAAGACCAAGTCAGCCTGTTCTCGGAACTAGAAGAATGTGTTATGTTATTGGAATGAGGAGAAATGTGAAGATTTTACAGAATGTAGCCAATTACCAAAAACACTATCATCTGACAGAGAGTGTAGAGATCAGTTGTAGAAATGCACAGTTGGAGACCAAAGTGGCTGTGTTGAAAGTGCAGAGAATTGTGAAGATCAAAAATCAGTATCTTAATGCAAATGGAATAAATTAAAAACACAATAATGTATTTGGTAGAGTGACAAGTGTGTCTCCCTTTCATGTTCAAATGCACCTGTTACATATACTACTCATTCATAATGTTATGAATTCATGGCTGGTTGTACAACTTAGTAAAATGGAGGATGTACAAATATAACATAATGTTCAAATGCAAAGATTGAGGATGCATGTGTAATAAATAACTTAAATGGACCATGTATTTGGTCGGATAATTCTTGTTATGATTAGGTTTGTAACAAAGCACCCACCACGTTCAAGACAAATGAATAATGCAAGACAATAGCCAATAATTCGGTATCTACTACATTGAATGGGTGTGTTGAACAACTCTCATGTTCAAGTGCTAATAATTTAGACTGGATGCATTGATATGGCTGAATGGTACCAAATGCTTTTGGAATGGTTCACAATGTGTGATAAAAGGATGTTCCAGCAATACATCTGCCACATCCTAAGCTGAATGTGAAGCATTTTCAAGTGAATGCATTTTCAATGTATCAGCATCTATTGGATGTGTAGATAAATTCTGTGAGAACATCATTCAGTAAGATCAATGCACAGTTGATGCTTTTAATAATAACTGCATTTGGAAAAGCAATTGCTTTGTAAAATAATGTGTTTTTGCACCTAAAACATTTCAAACTCATTCAGAATGCGAGACGTACCTGATGGAATGTGGCTTAGATGATTCAGGATTTGGATGCATGAATAAGTTGTTAACATGTTCAGCTTATGTCAGTGAAAAGGGATGCAATAAAACTAAATCAGGGGGAAGTTGTGCATGGAATAATTAAAAATGTGTTGAGAGACAATGTAATATGGCTGGTAATTCATTTACTACAACAGGGGAATGTTAACTATACAAATCTGATTGCATAGTGAACAACAATCAAAATGGTTGCATGAATCTCACTCCTAATTGTGGTGATAGACATCTAAAAGAGAATTGTGAATTTGGAACATTGCCATTTTGTATTTGGAATATAACTAATGAATGTGTTCAAAAATCCTGCGAAACTGCCAGTGTTGTTGGATCTCGGAATTATCTAACTTTTTTCACACAATCAAATTGTAATCAATATATGAATGATTGTGTGTTGAACAACTCTAGCAATGGGTGTATGACTAAACCTTCCACGTGCAATCAATTGGGTATTAACAATTGTTATGCCTCAATTCAGAATGATTGCATTTGGACTGGAGGACAATGTCTAGAAAAGGTATGCACTAATCTGATTGGCAGTTCCCATTAGGAATGTTATAGCTAATACAATAAATGTACTGTAAATAGCAGTTTAAATGGGTGCATGAATCTACAGAAATGTTAATATTATCCAAATGTATAACAATGCTCAAATAAATTCTGCAGGTGTGCTATGTGTATGGACTGGGATGTATTGTAGAGAATCCATTTGCACGGATTCCGCAGATTCCAATAATTTTGATAACTATGAGAAATGCCAATCACTAAACCCTGATTGCACAGTAGTGAGTAGAGTAGATCAGAGAGGGTGCATTAAGAAACTAAGTAATTGTATAGAGTACAAATATTAGTATCAATGTTATTCAACCCTCAATTAAGTTGACTGCATTTGGACACATAATAAGTGTCAAGAACTTTAAAAGTTAGACTGTACTTTAATTCCATTGCAGATCTACAATGATGCTAATTGCAGTTCTATCTTGTTCAGATGCAAATCGAATTATTTGGAATCACAATGCATAGACAAAACATGCACTGACTATTCGTACTCAACCAAAGCAGATTGCGAAAGGATATCAGGTTGTACTTTGAATAGGGATGCAAATGGGTGCAATGATAAAAAGGATTTCTGTTATGAATACACACCAGATTTATCTTATTGCAATTATTCTAAATAGGGAAAATGTGCCGTAAGGGGAATAGAGTGTGTATACATACATATTGATTGCAATACTCTTCCCACTCCTACAATAAATACTGATTGTTCTAATAAAAGAGACTTTTGTATCATGATTGTATAAGGCTCCTCATATACTTGTAGTGCCGGTCAATGCTCTGGTTTTTCTGGTGCTACTTATTCATTTGATGTTTGTCAAGCATATGATTATTCTTGCACAGTAAATCGTACATCTACTGGATGTGCTCTTATGGCTAATAAATGTAGTTCTGCAACAAGTGACAATTGCGTCTACTCAAAGGATGATCATAAATGTATCTGGACAGGTACCGTGTGTAAACCTGTAGCCAATACTTCAGAATAGAATTGCTATTTGCTGACTGACCCTTCCTCTAATCTAACCTTTGACTTATGCCAACAATACTCCAATAATTATTGCAGTGTTAATAGAGCTGGGAATGCATGCATAAACATGCTAGAAAATTGCACTCTATATACAGCTTTGAGCGATTGCTATCAATCATCTCGGGGCAGGTGTATATAAAATAACTAAGAAAATTCAAAAGCTGCATGCATTGACATTCCAAATTCCATCTCGTGCTATTAAATATTGCTAGGTGAGAACTTTTACTACACTCATTAAGTCTGTCAAAAATTCAATAGCAATTGTACAAATTATACAAATCTAGGATGCATAGAGAAGACCTGTAAAAATATCATGATAAACCCAACAACCCATGAGGAGTGTGAATCATGGCTATCCATATGCACTATCAACAGCTCACGGGATGCTTGTGTTGAAAAGAATTCAACCTGCTAATAATAGAGTGTTAGTGATTGTCTATGGACTCGAGAAGGGTAATGCATTGTACTGTATAATAAATGTATGAAAGTTGAATGTCATCTTTTATCCACTTAGTAGACTCATTACGAATGCTCTAATGAGTATAATAAATGTACTGTGGCCAATAAAGGTGGTTGCACTACAAAATCATAAAATTGCAGTAGTTACTTAACAGAAATTCAATGCAAGTACAACCATGCTAATTAAAAGTGTTGGTGGAATCAAAGCACTCTCAAATGTGTAACTCTAATATGTGATTAGCTTACATAAAACTATGCAATTCCTGATTGTCCAACTCTAAAGCCTTGCAATTAATATATTGCCATATCAGAATGTTTATTCGACAATTAGAATCAACCTTGTGTCTGGAATACTAACACTAATAGATGTCAATACAAACAATGCAATGCCGCTTCAATCTACTATGAAAATCATTAGCAATGTCAAAATTTTAATAGTAAATGCACAGTCTAAGTCAAATTAAATAATCTAGAATAATAGATTACACAAGGTTGTCGAGAGGTAAGCATCAACTGCAGTGACTATAAGTTTGAATAACAATGTTTTATCACTAAAGACAATAAAAAATGTGCTTGGTTTGAATCTGCCTGTATTATATCAACCTGTGACACTGCTCCAAAAACTGCTGACTATTCTACCCATTAAGGTTGCCAAGAATACTTAAACACCTGTACAGTCTCACCAGATTTGCTTGGTTGTATAACGATTCCAAAGAAATGCTCAGATATCAGCCTTGAAATCTCATGCATTAGAGATGGAAGTGGCAATGATTGTTTCTGGTATGATTCAACATGTCAAATCAAAACTTGTTCTGCTGCTCCACCTTAGTAAAACAGTGCTTTACTCTGTTCACTTTGGGTACCTAATTGTACAGCTGAAGACAAGAACAAATGCAAGAGACAATCTTGTGAAGAGTACGAATATAATACTGATTTCTGAATGCAAAGCAGCCATGTAAACTTGTACAACTGATGGTGTAAAATGTGTTCAAAGACGATCTTGTTCTGCTTCTTTAAGTGAAGCTGGATGTACCACATCAATCAATAATGAATAATGTTTTTGGATTGGTACTAGTTGTACTTTGAAAGAGTGTTAAATAATCAATAAAGAGAAGGAATGTAATGTAAGTTACAATAAAATTAAATGCATTTGGTAAAATGGTATTTGTAGAAACGTAGAAGATTGCTAAGATTATACTGGTAACAATCATACAGAGTGCTAGAAATAGAATGCTTCATGTACAATTGGAGATAACTAGAAGTGTATGAAATTAAAGAGTTGTGCTGAATTCGTTAGCTCAAAATCATGTGTTTAAGGGTTGGATGGTCCTTGTAGATGGGTTCCTAAGCTATCCAAGTGTTTCTAATTTACTTCTTGCAAATCAATACAATTTACAACTGATCAGGAATGTAAGTAGGTTTCCCCTCTATGCACAACTGATGGATATACTTGTATTGCTATCACATTGTGTGCAGAAACAAATACAGAGGGAGGTTGTGTAAGTGGCATTGATGGTAATTGTATCATGACTGTTCCCGCTTTGAATTCAACCCTAAATCCAATATGTAAGTTGTTTAATTCCTTGTACAGATGCATATTACCTTACTCATTAAGATTGTCAAAAAGCAAGCAAAAACTGCACAACTGATGGATTGAATGGATGTATCAATCTTAGTGAATGTGAGTAATATGTCAATTAAGTCTCATGTAACATTAATTCCATAGGAGTGCAATTGTAAAATGATTAAATAATATCCACTGGAGCTTGTGTCTGGAATTAAAGTGGGAAATGTGCCAACTAAATTTGCACAGATTTATATGGCACATCTCATTAACAATGCACTCTGCACCTATCCACATGCACTTACGATGGAGTAACTTGTATCTCCAAATTAAATTGTTCTGAGTATAAGACATAGGACATTTGCTCTGCTGCTTATGGATTAGAAGGCCGATGCAATTGGAATGCCTTTTAAGGAATTTGTTAACCATTTACATGCAGTAGTATTACAAATGGAACTACCTTAGAATATTGTTAATCAACTTTGTCATCTTGTATTACTGACGGATTCAACTGTGTAAGTAAAGATGTGTGTTCATCATACACTACTAAAATTGCTTGTACTCTAGGTGGAACTGATGGCATCTGTGTATGGAATGGATTCTCCTGTTAGCTGATGTAATCCTGTAATTCAGCAGATATAGATCAAGATGCCTGCCTAATGGGCAAGGATCGTTGTGTATTTAAATACGCGATTGGTATTACTACTAGTTCATGTTCTGCTCATACTTGTGAATCTTATGAAAAGACGAATGGTAAATGCAGTTCTTTTTATAATTGGGATAAATCCTTCAAAAAGAGCTGCCAATTAGTCGATGGAAAGTGTGTTGAGTTCGATTTAACCATTCTGGATTAATCCCGATGTTATACAGTTTCAGAATATACTTATACTTGGAATGCATCATAGAATAAGTGTCAATCATGTAATGACGTGGTTGACACAACTACAAATCAAACTTAAAATCAGAGCAATTAAACAACAAATACGTCGACGGATCCAGAGAGCACTGTGAATGATTTGGCTAGAAATCTTGAATTGATTTTTATGTTCTTGATTATGGTTTATTGATGACATTCAATTAATAATGATTTGAATACATATTAAATATTAATAATATTATTCATTCTCCTTATAGATAGAATACCCATTGTGGTAAATCTCCGCAGGAAATTATTAATCTTCCATTGTTGCTTGTATTTGGTACTGCTTTGTAGGTGATGTTTATGCTCAATACTTTTTTACCCTAAAAACTCAATTAGATTTCTTACATCAACTTTGATAGGGGACTTGACTGAAGAAGTAAATGCAGGATTGTCAATTCTCAAAGTGAACTCTTAAGCTTCAAAGAAGGGATTCTTAAATTCAATAGCAGGTGGTTTGGCACCCGATAATTTGTATGGACCTTTTGGTTAGGGAGTGATTCCTTATCCAATCAGCAGACATTGATATTCTTTGAAAATTAAATGATTTGTTTACCTCCACCATCAGGCGATTGCAGCAACTAAGATACCTCTGCTTTCATTAGAGACTAGCTGGGTTCATACTTCACACTGATCTGACATTCAACCCCATCAAATGATTCAGATTAAGGTGCTTAAAATTGAACTTATTCGCAAATGAAGTCTGTAGTCTAGGCTGGAGCACCTTTAGCCTTTGGGTCTATGTTCACAGGAAGTGGTTTTCCATTCGGACCCAATTTGGTGGCATAGCATGTGTACACAGTCGGCTTCTTTGTGAAATTCATAAACTTGAATGGCAAGACCATTTCAGTGCCCAAAGATGCTTTGAAATAGAGTGATCTTGAAACATTCTACTGTAATCCTTATAATTTCAGAGGATAGACAAACTCTCCCAATTGAACTGATTTTATTGTGATCTTGGATTGAATGTCTTGCACCACCAAAGGTCTGTAGGCTATTTCAAGACCGAATTCAGATTTAGGTGGGATTACGAATTATTAAGGATTGAATGAGATACTGTCGGCTTCAGCTATAAGTTGGTCTTTCTTAAATTCAACAGGCTAATTGATTGGATTCTCGATGGTAATCAACTTTGTTGCCACTTCCCTAACTATGGAGGTCAATTCAATTCTTGGTAATTGATCTGGTGGTTGAATTGTTAGATTCTAATTGATATGAATTAATAATAATTACAATTTTAAAGAACACAAATTCTTAGGTGATCGCATTTCTGAAATAGACTGTAACCTTATTTTAAGATTGTTTAAGTCCATATATGGTGAGTTTGTACTCCTTAGTTCCTTCACTAGATACTTCGAAAGTGTTGGCTCCATTTAGAATAATAGAAGGATCTTCAGGCTCTAATGTCCAGGTAACTTCGAATCTTTGACTTGTCTTCAACCAGTTTTTCACTTGCAACACTTGGGTTGTGTTCTTTTTGGCCTTCATGGTTGTATCCACAGTTTATGGTAATGGTGGCAAACTCTTACCAAATAGGTTGTAGAGAAGAGCCTACCCATCAGGTAATGGGAAAAAGAGCGAGCCTTCGTGTTGATCCTGTAAGTTTTAGATTTAAGGATTGGATGTCATTGTTAAAGGCTTGTAAACGACTTCGTATTCTGCTTATCCATTGGCTGGGACTTCTATGTATTCTTTGCCTTCAAAGTAATCCTTAAATTAAGGCAACAAGGCAGACACTGAGGCTTTGACTTTCCAGGGTTTTGGAGTTGGATTTTTGACAGTGACCTTTTTAGAAGGGGGTACTCTCACAACAGTCTCAAATTTCACTTCTTGGATTTATTCTTTTGGCTATTCTATGCATTTGCCTAAGAGGTTCAAGTACAATGGATCTGAATTTTGGATCAAACATTTCACCTTATCAAATCTGATGTCATTATCAATAGCATTCGGATGGAACGTAATCTAAAATTATAGGTCTTCATGAGCTGGCAATGTTCCTGACAATGGGGTGATGGTGAAGTAGTTCTTACAAAAAGAGGTATCCCATTGGAATTTAGCAGCAACATCTCCCAAATTACTCAATTGCACATTCTTTGTAAGTCTTGAATTGATAACGACTCCTCCAAATCCTATGGTATCCTCCATCAACTTCAACTCTATGCCATGACAGGCTCCTTACAATGTCAATAGTTTTCTCACTTCATTGTTTTCCACTATCTTAAAGAACAGATCAGTCTTGAAGGAATGCAATCTCTATTGAGGTTTAAAGGTCAGAGTAATTTCTTTTCTCTCCCTTGGATTGATCACAAACTCCTTCTTAGGTCTTACCTTTATGAAATATTTTTGTTTCAACTCTTTCAACAAGTCCTACTCGAAGATCAAGGTGACCATCTTTTGTGAATTATTCACCAAAGAAACTACTTCAGTTCCAATCTGTCCAACACCATAAATTCCAAAATCTACAAATTAGTATTCTGTCTTCAATAAGTCCAATTTCAAAGGAACTCCTTCTCCTGTAAATCTCACCTCCACCTTTTGCAATCCATTTATGTCAAAGATCACACTTTCGTCATATTTGACCAACTCTCTAGGCGTGAAAGTTATTGGAATCTACAACACATTCAACTCCTTCGTTTGAATGATTCCCTTCTTGTCCTTATGAGTTTCTATTTGAATTGGCAAGAGCACCTGACCTGAAGGCAATTGAACGCCAAAGTAGGGTTTCTTCTCATACAAAGCTTCGATTGCCATAGCTTAAACATCTCTATTCCTCAACTCCAAATGCTTTAGTGATAGGCAATGGTTATCTCAATACAAAGCAGGGACCAAAGTCATATTGTAAAAATGAGAATTCAACTGCTGGCTTTTTGGCAGATCCAATCAATTGGAAAATTGTAAGTAGGCCCACTTGAAATGCATAATGAAAATTGTTAATTCAATTTCTATGGGTGCTGTTGGTTGATATCTGATCTCAATATTAAACCTTTCTCATTCTTCTTCACAGTGCCATTCTCTCGGGTTGATGATCACAATATTGGATAATTGAGCTGATTTCCTAACGCTGAAATCGAAATTAAAATCTCCCTAATTCTCAACTGTGATCTGTTTGCTGGATTTCTCGTTGATATACAAATCACCCAATTCAACCACTGTATTTTGTTGAGTCACAGCCACGCCATTCAAATACACATTGTTGTGTAGAATGTACCCAATTCCCTTAACATTCAAAGTCACTGGTCTCTATCTTCTCTTCACATTGCATAACAGATTGTAATTGTACTCTCTTTCGACTTTTGGTGCAAATTATATCTCAATAGGTTAATCTCCAAGTGCCTTAATGGTACCTTAAACTGGAGTTATGGTAAGAGAGTCTCCGTACTCTGGATTATGGAAAGATTCCCTATCAAATTAGAATGTCAAAGGAACATCCTCTAAATTCTTAAGGATAACAGTTTCTTTATTCTTCCCTTGTACCAATAAGGGGACCAAAATTGACCCTTACCAACGTTGAAAATGACATTTGGTTCAACCACACTTCCAGTAACTAGGAAATATTAAATAATGTGTTCCTGTGGAATCTCGAAAACCCAATAACTTTCATGTTGTCCTTATGTGTCAGGTGAATATTCGAAGATGATTTCCGATTTCTTGCCAGACAACACTACACCCTTGATTGTGATACATTTGAAGTAGTTTGCATTCTAATTCTTTTCATCATCAATTCTCTTCCATTCATATTCATAACCAACTGAAGTGGGATTCACAACATAAAATCTCTTTGTGTTCTTAACTTTGCATCCCAAACTCTCAAATTCAATCACATTGTATTTGGCTTCCAAATCTGGTTTCTTATCTCTGTAATTGCTAGGTGGCAATTCAAAATGACAGATTGGTCGTTCTGCTTATCCATCCAATTCAACTATCAACTTCTCCTAATTGGGATCCAAATTGTCTATTGAGATGACCAACAACCTCTCATTCGACTCATCAACTTCTGTAGGACTGAACTTAATAGTGAACATCTCATCACTATTGCTAGCAATCTTCCCTTGTTTTGGATACACATAGAAGTATCCAGGATCTATGGCACCAGTCTCTGCTGACACTATCTTACAGTTATAATTTATGGCTATCAACGAAGTGTTCTTTAATTTTAATTAATGGACTCTAGTGGTGTACATCAAGGTCTCCTTAAAGTAAACACTTCTCTGATCGATTTCATATTTTGCAAAATCAGCAATTGCATTCACCTTCATTGGCATACTCTTATCACTCTTATCAATCACCTGATATTCTGGTTCAGGCAATGGGTCTGAAATAGGAATGTTGGCTTCCTCTCCAGGCTCAGGTTGAGGAGGTTGAATGATCTCTTATTTCACAGCCTTCTTGTCAACCTTCTTGGCTCCCTTTTTGTTGGCAGCCTCTTCAGCCAATCTCCTAGCCTCTTCTTCCTCCCTTCTCTTCATCAACCAATTGTATTCGGTCAAAGTGACATACTTTGTGGTTGCCATACTATCATCCCATTCAGATTGAGTCTTCTTATTAATTTGTTTGGTGTCACACTATAGGGCAAATGATTTGTGGATTATGCTTCTATTCGATTTAAATATTAATGTGATGGGTTTAGACTCTTTGGTATTCAAATGACCTTGTCTTGGAATGAATGAAAAATCTTCACAACCCTATGTATTCCATTAGAATCGAATTGTGTTGGCTCCATTGTTTTTAAGGAAAAACTATATTTTCTTCTCTGTATTAATAATGCAATCACCAAATTGGACTTCATCATCCAAGTTTTCAAATACAATGTCCTCTTAGAATGCTTCTCCTGTTACTGCCACTTTAGTAACTTCATAGGGATTCAGTAGAGTTTACATTACAAAATAATGCTACTTAACTCCCACGTCCTTTGGTGTGAATTCAATATTGAAAGTAGAAGTGGTTTTAGGAGTAAGTGTAAATGTGTTTTGATCTAAAAATCTGAAATGTTCGTTCACTGCTGTCAAATCCCATTTAACAGTGGCTGGAATTTATCCATCATTCTTCAATACGATTGGCAGAGTTAAAGTCTTGCCCAATCGAACTCTGCCAAATTTAACAACAGGCGTTCTCTCATCCAACCAATCCTTGGGTCTCTCCAATTTCAGTGTGGGTAAGGCTCCTTCTCCTCTTAGATCAAACAATAATTTATGAGTCTTGGCACTTTGTTCACCATTCTCAACGATGGCCTCAAAAATACCATAATATTGAGCCATTATTGTAGGTTTGAAAGCAACCTTAATATAGACACTTTCATGAGGTGCTATCTTGACCTATTTTGGGAGAACTTCAAATGCAAAGTTATCGTTTGGATAATTCTGCCTTCTTCTCGCATCTAATTTAACACTGCATGGAATCTTGTTGGGATTTGTGAGTTTGAACCTTTCCACTACTCCATCGGACACTTTAGACGGCACCAAAGTACCAAAACTGAATACCTTTTCCTCAATGAAGAAGACATTGGAATTAATCAAATTTGATAGATTATTCACTTGGGATTGCAATACGACTTGCTCTTCAAAAATAGATTCATAACTAGTTGTACTAATACCTGGAATGCAACTTTCACTCAGTACTTCATATTCAATTCCATTCGGTTAATCTTCTGGATTACGATTAATGATATCGATTGCCAATCTTTGTTCATAGTTCTTCTATCCCTATCCTGCAAATGTGATTTCCACTGTACAAGAAGAGTCTGGGGCTATTGTGCCAATACTAGGCATGATTGTCCATTGCCCAATTTTCAATTACCCAGGAGGTGGATCATTCTTTCCTGGCTTAGCCTATTTCTTCTCTTGCTTTTTATCATCTTTCTTTGGTCCCTTCTTAGGATCCACAGGTGCCAAGGAAGATGGCATAGCCTTCATCAATTCCTTCTTTTCCTAGGCTTCCTTAGTCTATTGGTCCAACAATTGCTTTCTGAATTCTTCATTTGCATAATCAAATATTGTGAAATTGAATTCGAATTACCCTTCATTCTTGATCTCCAAGTGTCTTACTTTCGATTCATTGAATTGAATCGGTCCAAAATTGATATTTTTTAATGGATTAATTGAATACTTCGAATAAACACTATTGAATTGCACATTGATAGGAACAGGCTTATAGATTTCTTGTGTTTTCCCTTCCAAGATCTCCAAATATAGATCAGTTGTATCATTTGTGGTCTTCATCTTAATCTCTTTGACTCCACAAAACCTTATCAAAATATCCTTCTATTAACCAGGATTCAGATCGGTTTCCATCGGTTCCAATTAAAATAATTGAGGGAAGAGCTTCTTTTTAATTAGACACTTAATTTTCACCAAATACTATCCGATGTTCTTGACTTACAATATTTGATCTTTGAAATCACCCACTTTGACACTACCAAAGTCTAAAATATTCTCTGGTGTTGGATACTTAATATCAACTTAAATTTAAAATGCTTCAGCATCCACATTAATAATCTTAGGATCCTACTTGATGTTCATGTTCTCCACATCTTCAACTTCAAGAGTTATCTTCAAATTTAACTTTCTCTCCTTGATTGCTCTGAATCTAATTTCAATCTTAGCTTCCATTGTAGGAGCCAATTCACCTGAAGTGTTGATCACTTAGAACTCCTCTTCCAATTGCTCTATTCCTGTTAATTTCCACTTTGCATTAATCATGCCAGTATTCTTTATAGTGACTGTCCTGGAATCAGATTAAGAAATTAACAATCTTTCAAATTTTACGTCAGGATTAATTAAATCAATAGTAGGTCTACATCCTATGCATACCAAAGGAATGATGAGAGGCAAAGGATTATCTTTGATCTAGACAATCAAATCATCTCTGAATTTCTAAGGTTTATCTGGGAATGCCCACACTCTTAGCTCCAATGGAACACTGTTCATTTGGATTTTGGAATTGTCTAAATCCAAAGTGAATACTCCTTTTTGAATCTCTTTATTCTCTTGGATGCTTGATAATAGGGAGAATTGCAATTCAGTATCAAATTTACCAGAATTAGACAATCTAAATGTTGTGCTATTGATTGCTCGATTGGCTACCTTATCAGACTTTCCAATGAGCAATGGTCCGAAATCAAAACTTTGTTCATTCTATACATAAACCTTGCTTAAGTATGAATCAGGTGCAAGAGCTGGTCTTGCTTTCTTAACAGTCCAAAACAGTTATTTTGGTAATCCACTCAAAGATGGGTAATCAGCAACTCCTTTGACTTCAGCAGCTGATTTCTTGATGGAAAAGAAATTATCAAAGTTGAGTCTGCCTTCAAATGAACCAGTATGCTTAGTAAAGAATTAGATGACTAAAATCAATGTTCTACCTGCTGGGATGTTCCATCTGTATTGTTTTTAAGTTAAATCTTCAAGTTTATAATTATACTTCTGATCATTTCCTTAAGATGAATCTGGATTCTTTTGCTATTGCGATCTCTTGCTTACATTTGCAATCGATCTCGAAGTAACATTAGCTCTTGCTTTGACTGACGGAGTGACTGGTTTATTCAATTAATCAGGATGCTAGAGTTGTTCCCGACTTGGTGAATTGATATCCTCAAGATGTTTATTTTATTCCTCCTAGAGATTGATCTTGTCATCATCAACATGATCTGTCTTTTATTAAGATTGCATTTTGAAATCCTTCACATACATATCTTTTGGTGTGAGGATGTTAAAGTATTTCAGAGTCTAAGTAAGAGTTGCATTTGATTGATGTATTGATGACTCCTTTGTGTCTGTCTTCTTTCTGCCTGTTTATATAGATTAGTTAAGATTGTCTTTCTTCTTCATCACAATCTAATGATAAATTGGATCAGGAATTGGCAACGAATTTGGATTTGGATATATAGGTGCTGCTATTACCTGTAATCCTGTTTAGCATAACTATGGTAAATTGTAATGGAAAGGAACTTCGTTTAATGATCTTTCTCCTTTTTGAAGATATGTGTAATCTATGATCTCTACCTTTGGTTCTTCTGGCTCAGGTGGCTTATCGCCCTTCTTTGCTGGCTTTTATGGTTTCTCTTCCTTCTTTCCTTCATCGAACACTGGATCATGAATTTTAGTAGCTATTTCTATTTTCTCATGATATTTATTCTCAATCAAAGCTTTCACTTTTGTTATTAAGTCATTGAAATTCTATTTCTGTATTTCATCTTAAAAACTAGCAGGGTAAAACACATCATAGTAACTTTATTCCACTAGATTTCCTGCTGATTTTGGTTATGACTTTGGTCTTGATTTCTATCTTGATTATTATTGTTGTTATAATTGTAATTATGAAACCAAAGGCTTTTCTTGCTTCTTAGTTACACTCTAAGATTACTCCTTTCCTCTCTTAGTCAGAGTTTTATTATTCTTGTCCTTAGACGTGGGAATAGGTTCCACTATTTCTTCTTTCTTAGGTTTGTCTTCTTCAGCCAATTTCTCCATTCCTGGCCATTCAATCAATTTCTAGATTTCAAAACCATATTGATCATATTATTCCTTCAATACTACCACTTATAAATGAGAGTCAATCTCCATGATGCATTTCATCAAATATAATTCATTTGGCCAATATTTGGATTACAAATTATCAAAAATAGCACCTGCACCGCAATCCTCATGAGCCAATCTTGCTTTCAACAATTTTACGATAATCTCTTCACTCAAGTATTCATATAAATGCAATGGAATTGGTCCCCACTTGTCTTCAAGATCCTTTGATTTCTTTCCTGCTTTCTTTAGTAATTTCTCTCTCTCTTATTATACAAATTGAATTTCGTTTTATCTCTATTATAAATATTGCTCTAGTTGTTGATATGCTTAGGTCTAATTCTCTTGATTCCATTGAACTAACTCATTCATATTAATCACTTTTCTTCTGTGAGTCTACTCCAAATAATTGGCTAAATGAGTCTTTCCACACCTAGGAGGCCCCATGATAACAATATTTTTCAAGACATCTTCACTGACCTTCTTTGGATACTCGACTTTAATCATAGTTTCCTGTATTACAATATCATCTAACTCTTTTTACAATTATTCTTTATTTTCAACATTAGGATCTTACAATTTATTCAAGATTTGATCTTTTCTCTTACTTCTAGTAAATGCCTTCTAAAAATCTAACCATATTGGTTGTCCTGGTGACCTCACAGGCATCAATATAAAATCTGTGTGTTCCAATTATGGATAACTATTTACAATTTCATCATCCTGAAGATATTGGGTATCAAAATCTAACGAGAATAATTCAGTGTCAAATTCAGTAGGATTCTTGATTTCCAATACAGAATGTGCAAACTTATCATAGGGTAAGATTGGCCCAATGTTTATCAATTGAGGATTGAATTATAAATTGATGCTTGTTCCAGTTCCCTTAAGATTCAATATATAAGGTGTTGCATTCTCCTTGATGTTGAGAGTGAACTTTTAGGAATAGTTTCTTTCAACCAATGGAGTGAAATGTGCCTCCACTAGTTATTTATCACCTGGTTTAATTATGCCACTATTAGGCACTAAGACAAATCTAGGTTCCTCTTTCTTATCAGCTGTCAATTCTTATCTAGTGGATTGAGACCATTCACAATCGATCTCTTTATCATTGACAAATCTTAAGAAGATGATCTTCTTTTACCCAATCAGAACTTTACCAAAATCAATTTATCCATCAGCTGAATTCTCAATTACAATTTAAGGAATAGTGATGTTGGCCACTAATTCAAGATGGAACTTTGGACCCTTCTTCAATTCAATTGGCACTACAGTCTTAGTTGGTCCAAAACCCATGTTCTTTTTCGTCTAATATTGAATGTTCAAAGTGATATTTGCACCACTTGGTAAATTCAAAACTCTTTCTGGTACAATATTTGTATCCCTAAGGTTTAAAGTACTTGCCATCTAAAACAAACTCAACTGGCAAAGTGCCTGGATTGTTGATGGTTATTGTTTTTTGTCTTATTGAATTAAGCACCACATTGCCAAAATCACAAATGTAAGTAGCCAAAATCACATTATCATAGAATTTCTCTTTTTGATCTCTTGAGTGAGTCCTCTCATCCTACTTATCCAAAACAGTCCTCTTTATCTATTCACAAAACACAAATCTATCAATGTCCCTCTCGACTTCCAACTATACTTATTCCAAAGTCTTAACTTAAACCTTCTGATTCTATGTCTTGGCTATGAGTTAAGCCCTCTTAGTCTGAGTCTCCAAATCAGCCTTCTTCTTAGCAATTTCAACATCAAACTTCTACTAAAATAAGGGATTTTCAGATCTTGGCAGTTACACCACCATTGAAGGATAGACACCTCTTCCAATTATAGTAATGGGTTGGAAAAAGCTCATAATATCCTATCTACACCAATATAATTTCCTTGAACTCTGCAGGTATTACTGGTGACACTCTTACTGTGATTCTGAGTTTTTCACCTCCTGCAATCTTTCCATTTTATGGTTGTACATCAACGAATCCCTTCTTCTTTATGTGTCTCAAGTCAATCTTAAATTCAAAAGTAACCTTTCCTGTGTTCTCAATTGTAAATTCTCTAGAAACCCATTCACAAAATCTCACATCTCCTAATTCAATCAAAGTAGTGCTCATTTTAGATGATAATAAACTACTATCTCCCACCAAAGTCACCTCGTACTCAGGACCACCATCAACATGACAGACAGCAGTGGTTTTAAATCTTTGTCCTCCAATTGCATTATACACAAATTCTACTTGTTCTTCTGACCCAGGTTCCATGTAACCACTTAATGGTAAGATATCAAAGATTTCATTAATTGGAATATTTGGCTATTGCCCTTGAAGAGACAACTCTTCACTTACGAAAGTCCATTCATAATTCAGTGCCATTTCACTTTGATTCTTCATTGTCATAACCATCTTCTTTGTTGTGTCATATAAAATTGATCCAAAATTAATAAGATTTGTTTCCATGATTAAATTTGGAAAGTGGACCTACCCAATCAAATCAATCAGATCCTTATGAGGGTGTTCATAATGAGACAGTTGTAGTTTGCCTTCTAAATCACCAGATTTACGATCAGATTTAAAAGCAGGATCAAAATCAATTCTAACTACTGCACTCTTACCTGGATTCAATTACAACTTATCCTAATTCACAGTGAAGGGTTATTGACACTTTAAATCAAAGTTTACAGGTAGGGGACAAGCACAAGTGATTTCGAGATTCTTCGAAATAGGCATAAATGGAACATTCTTCTCCCATGAATACTTAAAGAAAAGTTTCCTCTCTGAGAATTACAAAGTTGGTTGGATGAAATCACCTTCAATTGTTGTGGCAAATAGTAGATTTGCTTTTCTTTCAGTGCCTATTGTAGAATTTAACATAAAAATCTCTGAAATCTTTCCCTTCTTCTATGAGTACCCTCTGAATTAGAACATGATTCCATGCTTAGGAGGTAAAACTATTGTATCAGGAGCAATTGAGAACACTGATTCTTCTTCTGGGGGAGGAGGAGCCTTGTTATTCTTCTAATCTTATTCTTCCTTCTTCTATTGTGGTTTCTTTTGAGTCCATTGTAATTTTTATTGTTTCCTGCCTTTATTCTCAACAAAGATCTCCTTAGTCACTTTTCTGTGAGTATAATTAACTCCCATATTCACAGATGATAAATCATCCTTACAGAATATTGTTGATCCAACTCCCTTAGCTTTCAATTAGACTTCTACGTCATCACCTTCCTTGATAACAAAATGAAGGACATCAGTAACCTTCACAGCATCATCAGCACTACAAAGCACTTCAATTTCACAACTCTCCTTTGGTTTTATAATTCCATGTTTTTGGATGGGTTTAAATATTGAGACTTTGTTCTTTGTGAAGGCATGGAAGTCAGCCTCAATATCACTATCATTGGTCAATGTTAATTTTAGGGAATAATCCTTTAAGACTTCAACATTTCCGAAATCCAATTCTGTCTTTGATGTTTTCACCTTTGGTCCTTCTGAAAATGCTACAATTGTTATCACGTGAGGCTATCCATTATTGGTACCAACTATATTTATTTACAATGGCAGTGTAATGTCATATAATTTCTTAGTAGTCAATGTCACTTCCAATGACATAGTTGAATTACCATTGATCTTACCACTGGATGGCTCCACTGTATAATCTGCTAATACTTTATACTCATCATTCTGAGATAAAACAACAAATTTGGCTGGTAATTCAGATGTATTAATTAAATCCACTCTTGATTTGCATGGATTCCTTAAGAATACTTTTTAATCATCTCCTTTGTTGAAATTCAGTCTATCACTTGGTCTCAATTCCACTCTTGGAGCTTAACAGTCAGCTGTAATTGGTATCGATAACATATCTTAACCAACACCTTCAATGTCTACAACCATGACTTATTCATAAGTCTTAATTTATTTTGGAATGAAGGTCACTTTAATTACATCGAAATTTTTAGGCTAGATGGTATTTCTTCTGGGTTCAATTTCAAATTCCCTCTCAGCTAATTTCCCATCTCCAGGGATCTTAAGTTCATATGTAAATGCAACTGTAGATGTGTTAGTCATTCTTATACTCTTAGTTTATTCGAATGAATAACTGACAGTACCGAATTGAATTTTCTCATCTTAGAAATTGAATGTAGGAGCAATCACATGTCCAATAAATAGTATAGTTAATTAATCTGTAGATCCTTCTAATTTCCATCTGAAAGTCTCTTTGAATTCACCTGGTATGCTGGATTTGAACGTAATTGTGAATGGCATTCTTTGACCAACTGCTAATACACCTCTCTCAACATCAAATTTGAACATCTTACCAAATGCTCTTTCATTTGGCATCAACTCGAATTTACATTCTATTTCGCCTCTGTTTTCTATGACAACCTCAGTCTTATGAATTTCATTCACAAACACATCTCCTAAATTCACTTCATAAACACTTAAGAATGCCCTTGGTCCCATGCCTTGTCCATACAAATTCAATGGCAGTCTTTCCTCTGAACATGAGATGTTGCAATAGGCCACAGTCTAATAGAGAAATGCACTTCTAGGCACAAAGGTTACTGTAACTGTCATCTCTGAATTCGGCCAAATCTGACCTTATGTGGGTTCAATTGTGAATATATCATCAATGAATAGAAGTAGATCATCCTCAATAGCCTTACGAATGTTTCGATATTTCCTTGCCAATTGCAATTCAGCCTTCTTCTGTCTCTTCAAAATAATAGCTTTTTCATCTCTCTCTTCCTCCTCACTGTCTTCATCTTCTTCCAATTCCAATTCCTCATGTACTCCTTCATTTGACACTAACTCTTTGATAAGCATTCTCTCCTCAGCCTCTTCTTCTTCCAATTGGTTTCTCAATCTGTTCTTCTTCTCCTATTCCTCCTTTTCTGTCGCAAAGGCTCTCCATTCAAAATCTACTTTCACATTCGATTTGTTAATAATCTATAATGTCTGTTGTAATTGGAGACCAATAAAGGCCTCAGTCATATTGATCTGACTTTTGGAGAGGTAAACGTTTCCATTATGAGCCACTCCAATGATGGGCACATAGGCTTCCATATTATCGTACTATAAAATAGCCTTGTTCTTGTAGGACCTAGCTTCTGTTGGAAAGAATCTGTACTTATAATATGGATGATTACTTGATGACAATTTGCTCATTCTTGCCGTATTCCAAGACTCCTTCCCTCTTGTCGGCATCAAACCCCAAGGGTAGTTTCAAGAACCATTTGGTGGTCTTCTCTCCTAAATTTCTAATGATAACTGGTTTTTCGGTGGTGTATTTGACAGGACAATTACCAAAGTCAAGAGAATCGGGAAAGTCTACGGGATCTGAATAATGACATACCTATCATGGCTCTTTTGCCAACAGCGACTATTGGTACAACAAATTTCTCTCTTTCTGTCTCAACAATAACATCGTAATTATAATCTGATTTGGACTCAGGAGAAAAACGAATAATGAAGTTGGTTTCCATGCCTGGTGCTACCTAGAGGATGATAATGATAAAATAAATGCCTTGGTTCCTGTTCCTGCATCTTTTCCATTAGTACCTTGAGGCACAACTTAAAATAGACGAGAGTCTGGCTTGTATATTTTAACTCTTCTTGCTACCCGATCTTTGTTACGCAATTTGAAAATCTTCTCCTTAATTTGCAATGGCTTGTGTACTTTCAAAGAGGAATTTGTACCTCATAGTCTGTGAATTGTATTATTGGTGGAATCGGATCAAAGAGCGGTTCGTCGATTGGGACACTACTCACTGGTTGAGAGGAGAAGTCAGCCAGATTCTAGAATTCAATGATTTTGATTTTGGGATGTGCATCTTCAAAAATCTATCCTGATAATTGCTTCTAAATCAATTAGGATGGAGTCTAGGTTATGAGAGAGGAATACAAATTCTTAAGTTTTAGCTTGTCTATTTGTCTAGGTAAGCTTCTTCTGCATCATCAGTTATTTAATTTAATAAAATATTTTTGCTTGTATCACTAAATCATTTACACCAGGGACTCCCTGACATTCTTTTTAAATAATTAATATATTTCCTAATTGGTCTTGTTCATCGTCTCCACTCCGTACTTATAGAAGATCAGCACACCTAATATCGTGATGACCGCGAAAAACAAGAAACAGTTTTACATCCCCAAATGTTTGCTTAATTAAATACACAAAAGTACATGGCAACTGGAAACACCAATAAGATGATTATCGAATAGCCCCAAAAAGTGTAGTAGCAATATGAAATCAATTGTTAAGGAACAAATTCAGGCATGTAAACAGGGACGATAGGGCCAGTCGAACTAAAATTGGCAAATACAAATACGAAGATGAACACAATTAGCAGGTCATCATTCTTTAAATAAGAAAATATGAAGATCCCAAAATTGGCTACGAACATTAATGAAAGTCCTGCCAATAGAGGTTTCCTCCTACCATAATACTTGAGAGTAATCGTCCCAGCAAAACTATACAATATCCATTTAAGTACTGAAATCAAGAAGGATAAAAACTAAGCAGTCTTCTAAGATTTTGAATCATTAAAAATTTATGTTGAATATTGTACTACTGCGTTGAATCCACAAAACTAGAATACGAACATTAAGAATAATCCAAATTGGAATTATTTCTTGTATTTTCTGATTGTCTCTCCCAATTCAACTTATTTATTCTATGTTTATGATTATTCCCGTATATTTTCTAATAATTCTTAATAGTTGGAACTTTGATATATCTTTTTCAATACTGCCAGTGCTTTATCATCCTAATTGTTCTGTATGTAAAAGATAGGAGTCTAGAAATTATATATGGTTTTCATCACAATGATCCTTATCAAACTTGGAATTCCACCAACGAAAAAGTACACTCTCCAAAAATATTGATTCAATTGATCAGGGGATGTAATATCGTCCGTTGTTGGAAACCATACCCCATAGAGCATAGTCAAAAAGTACCCAAATGAAAATACTGTTGATAATAAGCCACCCATCGATGAGTACATTGATGTCGGCGAAATTTGCCTAATAAACACAGGCTAACAAACTGCACACATCCCACAACCTATTCCCGCTATTATTCTTCCAATAAAAAATGTGTAGATATCTGAAAAAATCAATAATGAACTCCCCACAAACAAGCAGACGTCTGCCATCAGGATTCCTGTGTGATATTTCTTTATGAATGTGGTTAAGATTGCTCCAAAGAAGGCTCCAATATATGCAGAGCTAGTTAGAGCTCCCGCAAAAAAACTTTAATCATCCTTGCTTATTTCAAAAACTATATATAAAGTTTTTAGGGCATTGTTCATAGAATTTGAAACAAATGCATATGAAATAGACCCTATATTAAATGATATACATGCAATTACTACCCACGTTTTATTTATTTACATTATTCTAGTTATTATAAAATTATCAATTCAATAAATATGATAAAACCTAGAAGTAATTCATTAATATTATCATAATTCAAAATGGTGATGAATTTAAGTAATCACTTAAGAAGTTCATTATTTAGAAACTAATTCAATAAGTATAATATCAAAATTTATTTAATTTTTGATTGAAAATCTATATAAATTGAACAAAAATGCTCAATCAAATTAAATTGGTTTGCTGAGGTTTTGCAATTCCTCAAATAATGCCTTGATTTATTCCTAATCATCAACTTCTTATTTTGGCGATTCAAAGAGTGGTTAATTTAAGTTGGTTTCCAGAGTGTGTAGTTCGTTCTATAAGAATTTAGTAGTGAAATATTAGGAGATATCTTAGATTATTATAATTATGAGTTACTTTTGAATTTTTTGTGTTAAGACATTGCCCCTATAATGATGTCTATCCTCTCCAATTTGTGATTCACTTGATCGAACTGACTGTGCAATAACTAGGATATAATGAGTTTTAACCTTTTTGAGATTCCACATTTCTTCCAAAAGCACCCCACTCTTTTATTTCAATATTTGCATGTCCTCGTCTAACCTTGTATTTGTGTCTTTGATATCAGATGCGCACACTCTTAAGATGTTTTACTCCTCCTTCAGTTTAGCAGCTAAGTAAAGTAATATGATGTACATGGTTAATTAGGATTGACAGATTCTTAATTCCCATCATCATTGTTTCTTCTTTTTATAAATTACAACATCTGTCTATTGATAGGTAACTCAAATGTATTACTTAACTCCTTTTCTGAAGCATTTGTGTTTAAACTCTTGTCCGTCTTAGTGTTTACTCTTTTTAAAATTATACAAATTCAATTGTCTAGCAAATAACTCTTTAAGTGTACCTTAGAAAACTAGAGTAGTTTCTGTGTTTGAAATATTGTGGCAGAACCTATTATTATAATAACTTTTGGCTTTTCACTACAAAACTTAATCCTTCTTCAGTCCAAGAGACAATATGAGATATGGATTGATCCTAATTCTTTACAGGAGATTTACTTCTAGCATTTCGAATGTTTTCATAATAAAAGTTGGGACCAATGAACGAGTAGCCATCGTGTGAATAATATAATTTAATTATAATACACATTATATATTGATTTATTGTAAATAATAGCAATTTCGAGAGTCAAAGTCTTTTGATAATAATACTTTTGTTGTCTATAATATATCCAAAAATTAAAGTAGATCATATAAGAGGTTTTCTGCACATTGGACAGGTAATCTGATATTCTTGCCATTTACTCAAGCATTCCTTATGAAATATGTGTTGGCAATTTGTCTTAGCCCATTGCAAATATGAGTCTTGGGTTTATATGAAATCTGTGAGACAAATTGAACATTCATGAATGAGTTTCATATCATCTTCGGAGGGAGTCTGGTATGAGTAGGAAATTGAAGAATTCCGGTTTTTTCTCTTAAAACAATACCAATATATGAACATCAAAGCTACTATTAGAATGAGTATAATAGTAACAACTAATATGATTGTTGCCATCTCCTCAGCATCTTAGTGGTAATGTATCTAAAAGTCAATTGATAATTTGAAATTTATTTCTTCTTCGGATTGCAATTTGATGATCAATAGATTCTGAGGAGGTTGCTGGCCAAAAGTACTCTCCAATTGAGGTTCTTGTAATAGTCTTATGTCAACTCTTTTGGAATCCAAAAGTGTGTGATTATAGCTATTGTTGATATCGCAGGGTAGGTTATATCTTTATGAAACCAGCATTTGTATTTTGATTTTGGATTTAATAGTCTTTTCTGTTTCAAAAGCAAGGCTCAGACTATAATTAGAAGTGGCGTTGAAAGTTGTATAAATATATTATTAAGCTAATATCGAAATGTTCTAAATTGTAAATGGTAAAAACTGTTGAGCTGATTGAGAGCAGTCTTCATCTAAGAATCCTTAATTGCATCGGCATGTGCCATTCTTACGTTATAGTGATAAAACTTACTATGCATTCCCCATTTTGGGTACAATTATTGGGACATTGCATGATGTGTGATGCTGTAAAAACTAACTAATAATTCTAAGTTTTATTGGTTAATATTGTCAAATAGGATTCTGAGCCACTGTTCTAATCTAAGTTTAATTGTAAATAGTGATATTTTTTTGATTATTATTGTCTACTTAATATCTCATATGTATATACCCATTTATATCATAGTGATCGCAAAGTATTCTTTTTTTGGGTGATTCTAAATCATAGAAGGGAGCCTGTCCATAGGATTGTAATAACACCAAGTTCGGAGATGATCTGGAACGATGTTTGACAAATAGTTCAATTAGCAGGTATCTGGATGACTCTTCTTTTAATATTTTTAATTGGAAGGTTGAATTCACCCTTTTTTGGGTCAGATTGAATTTCGTCTGGCCTTGTCTGACATCGATTTCCAAAATTTGGAGAGTAAAAATAGATTAAAAGTGAAAAATTAGGATTAGAAATCTAATCATATTTAGCAAATATAAATTTCTTTGAATTTTTACACAATTAGTATAGAAATGCAATTAGGAATAGTCAGATTATGTCTATTTATATTCATTTTATTTTATATTTAAAAAAATGAGATCAATAAATAATTCCATTGATACTCCATCCATTAAAGTTAAATTCAACCATAATGAGAAGGTTGATGAAATGAGAACGACAAAAACCATGAAAAAAATGCACATTTAGGATGAAATATCGATAGTTTGGGAATATTATATGTATATGATCATGGCTATTTTGGTTGAAATTATAGTACTAATTTTTAACAACGAGACCAAAATTCTCAACATGATCAGAATCACAATCCTTATACTTATTTTCATAATCTCCCTTGTATACGCAAGAAAAATGCAGTAAAATTTATTATTGTGCTTGATTTGTTTGATTAAAATATTATAGACCTCCACCATCGGTCTAAACGACCAAATCTATTTGATTGTCATGATACCATTCGCATATGATTCGATAACATACAACAGCAAAGTTGCAATCAAATTAAAACTCTTTGAGCAAATTTTAATAAAGATCATAGGCGTAAGTTTAATTTGCATTTTTTATAAATTGCCATTAGCGATAACTATAAATTTGTGTTTGATGACTTTGGAGATCTATAGAAATCGAATCATCTTTATGAAGAAAGAAGGGACTAAATCGTTAATTAATTACAAAATCCCTATTGAATATGAATAAGTAGTGCAGAGTGCAAGAGGAGACAATACATAAAGAGAGGACATCTGGAAGAAACGATTCTACATAATACCATTATCGATCCTATTAATTTCCAAGGAGACTTTAAAAATTACCTATAAAAATCAGACCTTATTCAAATAGTTTTGTGATAGTTTTATCAACGAAGAGGAATTGGAAGATCTCATATTAAACAAATTGCACTTCTCATTGCTATCAGATCATTAGGAATTCGTATAGTTGTCATCTACAAATATCATTAAATTAAAATAAAAAAAATCTAATTCATACAATCTTTTCCCCCAGAAATCTTGCATGGCTCAATTGAATACGTATGATTTGATGCAAAAGAGAACTCTGATTGAGATTCTGACTTCAATCAAGAGCGAAATGTACAACATATAAAAAGACGTTATTGAATTATTTTGTCAGTAAACAGAATTGTCTGGAGCCAAATATTAACTGGAGGCTAAAATTATTTTGTCTGATAAGGATGATGAATTTTTTGTGACCATTAATGATACGACTAAACAAAACGAAATTCAGTAATTCATAGTCAAGGAAGAATTTAAAAGCAAAGTAAATTATATAAATATTCGAGATAATAGAATCATTTTCACATGAACTACGAACCCCATTAAATAGTGCCATCAACTTCTTGGAAGCTTCAATATCCGATAGCACCATAGATGATAAATTGAAACTTCAAACACTTGAACCAGCAGTCAATTCACTAAAACTGCAATCCTATTTGATCAACGATATCATAGATTATTAACATTACAATGCAAACCAATTGGAACTCTACGTAACTGAGTTCTCCTTACAAGATTTCCTCAGTGAACTGACATCTCTATTCAGTATATAATTTGATATGAAGAAGATTGCCTTCAATTTAGATTTGCAAAAGAACTCACTTCAATATTTGAGTACTGATCAAACAAGACTCACCTAAATCTTAGTTAACCTCCTGTAAAACTCACTCAAATACACTTCCAGCGGAGTAATTCAACTCAAATTTAGTAGTGTCTCCAATGATATACTGAAAATAGTGATTCAAGATTCAGGAGTGGGAATAGCTCCAAATGTTTTAGAGTAAGTTAGGATAACTCTGAAGTATGTTGAAGAAAGCAAAGATTTTCAAACCTTTAAAGCTTGGAAGGGATTTGGCTTATTAATCGTTGCTTTGTTACATTAAAGTCTGTGTCCTCCATCTTTAAAATCAATTCAGATCGAATCAACTGGATTCAATAAGGGAAACCAAGATTAAGTTCTATATTTTGAATTTCAATTACAGTTCCAAGCAGAATACAATCAAACAATCATTAAGTGCCAAAAATACACTTAGACAATCCTAAAGTGTTAAGAAATCATTTTAATCCAATTCCCTTAGTTAGATACTGCCTATGAATGGAACAATCTTTTTAGCCTAAGACATCGCCTAAGTGAATTAACATATGAAGAGGAGTGAGAAATATCTGAATTCTGGTTCAAACACTTTAGATGATTTTTCGGAATTGTCTAAGAGTCCTATAATTTAATTTTGCTCTCCTGATGCTAACATCTCCTAATTGGTCCAAATTCATCCAGTTTTAATTACAGACATCAAATCAAGTTAAAAGATTTCGATTAAGAATATTAACCCCTAATATTAATCCTAAAAATCTCAAAAATCACAAATGTTCAGTCTAAATTAATTTAGAAAGATGGAGACACAACACAGAGAAGACATCTTCAAAACTTTGGCGACCAAATTAAATAAATGCAATTGCAAAATCATATTGTCAGTGGATGATGAAATTTTTAATTAAAAATCAGTTGAAAGACTCCTATAATAAGTTGGATTTGATGTAAAATTGGCATTTAGTGGGGATGAAGCCATAAATCTAGTATTGAATCTGAAACCTTGTAGTTTAGCGTGTAATCTTCTAACCATTATATTAATGGATTATTTAATGCCACGAAAAGATGGCATAGCCACAACTAAGGAATTAAAGAAACTTATGTTGGATGGTCTCATCCCTGAGATTCCAATAATTGGTTTAACTGCCTTTACAGGTCAGTAGGATATTAAAAATTGCTTAATAGCAGGTATGAGTGATGTGCTATCAAAACCTTTAAAAATTTAAGAGTTAAAAGACGTCTTAGCATCTCTTTGATTAGAAATACTGTCTATATATATATATAATAAGAATAATCATAATATTGTTAGTAACTCACAGAAATCGTTGAGCTTTAAAGGTTTAAAAAGTACTTCTACCATCCCAGCATTTAGACAACTTTCGATGTCTAATTTACTAGTAAATGCAGTTAATCCTATAATATTGATTTTTGGGATGATATTCTCTTGCATCATTCTATTCAATTAAATAGTACATTCAATACCACCCATGACTGGCATTGAGTAATCCATCAAAATTAGATTCAAAAGTTCACACTCCTTCGAGCATTTTTGTAGTTGTTGTATTTTTGTAACTGCCTCTTGACCATTGTATGCCTTAAATAATGTATGCATAATTACAATGATCACTTCAAAGCCGAATCTCTCGATCAATAATTTGATTGAGTTTTAATTAAAAATTTCATCATCTACTGACATTATTCTTCTGCACTTACATTTCAGTTTCTTCTTAAATTTATTTAAGGCAGCATCGTGGTTTTACCTTTCCATCAATTTCAACTTTGTAAAACTCAATATTTTTGATCTAATTATTAATAATAAAGACTTACTTCATTGAGGATGATTTCATTGATTGTACATCAAAAGATATACTCTGCTTTTTGTTCTCTATGATATTAATGATGAAATTGTGTTGTTAATTCTTCAATTATATGTATTGATTCGATAGATTTAATTATTAATCCGGTGATTCCACAGATTCTTGATCGTATTCACAAGTTCCTTTAAGTAATTTATTTATTGAGCCCTTTTGCATGCCATTTATTCCTAAATTTTAGGATGCTAATAAATTTTCATTGACCAGGATAACTGTTCCAACAAGACTATTTTGATAATTGTCATTAGAAGCTCTTTTGTACCTAACAGATTTCTTTTTTACTAAATCATCAATGTTTTCACTTATTTCATCAATTAAAATTTATTTAATTTTAAATTTGAACTTAGTTCCTTTTTGTTATTTGGATTTTATTTAAAATGTTTCTGATAATTGTGGATTCAATTAATGCAATAAAATGCTTGAAATCAACAATCCAATTCCATCCCAAGATTTCAACTTTGAGAAATGTCTTAAATTATCCACTTAATTCACGTAGGTATTCAATTTCCTAGTAATATCTTATTTGATTCCTATTCCTGTATCAGAAACTGAAAATTGTATTGCACCATCCTCTAAATTTTTAATTTTTAGTATTGCGCCACCATGATATGTATATTTTAAGGAATTTTAAAGAACATTTACTAAGATTTACATTAGTCGATTGTAATCAGTTGACATCGAGGTTTGTGTGTTCTGAGTCAGATCTATCACAAAATTCAACCCTTTTTCTTGGAATTATAGATTAAAAATGCTTGTAATTTCATTAATAACATCTTTGATCTGAAATTCCCTTACACAAACATCTAAAGTATTATTGTAGAATTATGAAAAGTCTATGACATCGTTGATGATATACGACTATAATTATAAGGCAATTGATGCAGGTTCCAAACATTATTTCTTAATTTATAAGGGTAGTTATTCATTTGCTATGGCAGATTTAATGAAATTAATAGAACTATTTAAAGGAGTCTTAAGTTCATGTGAGAGTGATTCAATAACCTAAAATATATTTAATAGCTTACTTTTTTTTAAAACTCATCCTTTACAATGAACTATTGCAATTGCATTTATTTAGATATGTCTGACAAGATTATGGTTAATTCATCATCCTCATTACTCCAGAAGATAGTGCCGTTCATTTAGAACTGCTAAGAATCTAGCACTTGATGGCAATACAAATTGATAGAATTTGCGCAAGGTTTAATGAGATTGTAATGGACTCCTCCAATGGAATTGAGTAAAATCTGTGTGATTGATAATTTTTTTAAAGTCTCCATATCAAATAAGCTTGAACCTGATTAGTTGACAGGTCTATTAAAAAATTGTTTTCTTACAATATGGCTACTTGAATTTTTAAGCATTTCTAAACTGTCTTCTAAAATTGTGAACTCCAATTTATTCATTATCAAATCGTTAATTTGATTATCATCATAGCATAAAGTGTTGAAATGTTTCTTGGCAGTCTCATTTTTGAATTTAATTCCTAAGGATTTTTTATTGAGTATTATAATTGAGATTGGGATGGCATGCATTCTTTTGATCCAGAGATCTTCGTTTTTAATGAGGTTTTCATTGTCGCCATTGTGGCTGCTTAGGATATCAATTTAGATCTGATTTTCTACTAAATTTTTAGTATCAGTTATTATTTTATTAGTCTCAACAGATTTTTTATCTATTTTATTTCCTAATTTATATTTTGATCTTTGACTTTTCTGAACATATTAGGTTATTATTTGATAAATCTCGAGCACGATGGTGTTGCATATAATTATGATAAACACCCAGTTGTTCCAATAAACTGAGATAAATATTAAACCTAAAATCTTGAGTATTAGATAATTCAATAAATATTGGTAATTCTCGTCTCTTTACACACGAATTCCCTTATCAAATATTAATGACAGTATTGCTAGACTATTATATTCGTCACTCGTTATTAATTAAGTAATGGAAACTATGTCACAAACAAATTTAATAAGTCTTGCAATCATGGGATTAAGTTTTTTTTATGTTGCGATGATAATTATGGTTAGACTCGAAGTTAATATGAATTTGACGAGCATAAATACTGAGTAAGTATGATTATATAAATAATAAGCTAGATTACTGAATGAAAGTAGTAGCAAGTATAGTTCTATGTTATAATCATTTACACCGCAGAATCTCTCCAAATTGGCAAGGTTAACAATTTTCGGTGAACTCTCTATTTGTATTTTGTGATTACTCATATACTTGATTTCACCCTAATATTATCTTTTATATTTAATATTATTGAACAAAATTAATCAATATAACTCATCCTGATTTTAACATGTTGCAAAAATATCTCCATTATATGGGTTTCTTTTTGGTCAAAAAATTCCTCCTTCAGATTATTGTATTCTAGTATTTGATTGAATATCCTGACTATTATGCATTCAAATTTTATATTAGGAATATCTTAACTAACGAAGACTCAGCAAATCCTCAGCTTGTGTGAAAATCTGACTTAAACTTTATTAGGTTCCTCCTTTTTCTGATTTTCTCCGCCTTCACTCTTCATTCGTCTTTCCGTACTTACTTTCAATACTTATATCAAAATCGTTACTCCAATAACATGATTATTGGATTCAAAAATTTTATGATTTAATTAATTGAGAACTTAATTCTTAATTACTTGATTCTAATTATGTATTTATTAATTGAAATGAAATAACATTTTTTCACCATCCTGATTATACCTGAATTGAGTAACAAAACATAACTATTAATACCATCTAATGTATCAGAGAGAGATTGAGTCTTAAAAAACATCAAAAAAAATTTGGTGTTAGTTTTTCAAATTGTAGGATAGACAACATTTTACTTTTACTCAGACTTTAGAAGTTGCTTGATTATTATATATCATTTTTATATGAAATTTATAAGACTTTGTCATAAATTGATTCATAGGTGGGTTGAATTTATTAAATTAGAATTTAATGAATACATATTATTTATCAATATAAAATAGGAGTTTATAGATATAAATTATCAGCAACAAGAGGAATCCACTTTTTTTTCGTCTTAATGAATTGAAAGCACTTTATTAGCATTACCATTTTATTGATCTTGGTGATGATGGTTGATTAATTTGGCGACTTGCAAAAATACTTCATTGACATTGGTGCCGTCCTTAGCACTGGTTTCAAAATAAGGGATGCCATGCTTTTCAGCCAATGATTGCGCCTCCTCATTTGAAATGCATCTCTCCTTGATATCTGCCTTGTTTCCTATGATTCATATGGCGATAGCTACCTATTAGGACTTTAATGATGTTTTCACTAGCATGCTATTTGATTTAGTTCATCCACTTGTCAATGTCCCTCAGAGAATCCTTGTTGTTGAGTGCAAAAACCAATAGAATGCCCATGGCTCCTTTGTAGAAATTCTGAGTAAGGGTCTGATATTTCTCTTGTCCAGCAGTATCCCATATTTGCATCTTAACATTTTTTTCATCAACCTAGAGTTTCTTAATTTTGAAATCCACTCCTATTAAACAATAGTGGAGTTCGATTACCAATTGTACACATATATCCTGTTTTGAAGTTGTTATCGCAGTATCTGAGGAGAATCTAGGTTTTACCGACTCCAGAGTTGCCCAACAAGAGCACTTTCATTAATTATTCATAAGGGTCTTAGGCCTTTTTGACTAAGGATGACATAATCTCTATAAATATTAATTGTCAAAAAAACAATTGAAATATTATTAATAATTCTGATGAAAGACAATTTAAAAATAGTAAATAGAACAAATAGATATTATCAAATATTGAGTCGATGAAAAGTATCTCGAAGTTTCTCCTTTGAAATAGGTTTGGTTACAACACAATTAAAACCCTCTTGAATGCTTTTCTACTAATCTTGGATGCTACAGAAAGCAGTAACTGCAATGACAGGAATGGTTCTAGTTAATTTGATTTTATATTCCATTTATCTAATTCTTTGAACAGCTTCCCACCCACTCATAATGGGCATACTGATATCCATCAAAATACACTTGTATCCTATGCAAGTTGATGTGTTGCATCGATTAGCCAATTAGACTTCTATTTTCTCAATAGCCTACTAGCCATTGAATGCAAAATCACTATCGTAGCCCTACTTCTTCATGAGATGGGAGAGGATGTGAATGTTGAATTGCTCATCATCTACAATTAAGACCTTGTTGCAATTGCAAACATTTGTTTCCCCATTTCCAATCTATTCTCCCATCTAGGATTTGCTACATTTTTTGTAATTCAAAACTCGAACCTGCTGAGTGCTTTGCTGTTCTAAAAAGGGAATGGTATGAATAAATGAATTTTATAAATTGCTTTGCTCTTACTGCACTTACTCCTCATCATATGACAATACGAAATAAAATTGTGTGCCTTCACCCAAATCAGATTCAACTGACAGATAATTTTAATGGCTAGGTGCCAAATATTTTATGATTTACTTACAGACTGACAATCCCAAACTGATTCCAACTGATTATTTGGACACCTTCTCATCCTCATCAGAGATGTGCAACTAACTCTATATGATATACTAATACCTTCTTTCTTAGATTGCATAATTCATTCTCACTCATCCCTATCCCAGTATCACTTATGGAAACCTGTAACAAATTCGTATCTTGACAATTGTATGACTGTACATCATCTATTCCTTACATGGAATCTATATATTATTTTTTAGACACTCTTATTTTGATTTCACCCTTCAATGTAAATCGAATTGCATTCCCAATCAAATTCAACAACACCTAACACAACCTTTAACGATCACCGATAATTATATAAGAAACCTCTGGCAATTCCACTTTAATTTAGAGAAGCTTCCTTTCAATCTAATCCTTCAATAAATCTACGCATTCCCATATCACTGAGTTAATCTCAAACTTATCTGATTTCATGATGAGTTTCTCTTCCAAGATGTCTCTGTAATCAAAAATATCGTAAATCTTATACAACTGGAGTTTTGTGTAACACAGAGCCTGTTCTAATTGTTACGAACAACACTCCGAAGAAGATTGTTTGTCTTGACCTTGTTTGATGAAGCCAAAGATGGCGTTTAGATTAGTGAGCAATTCATGAGAAATTGATCTCAGTATATTCTTCTTGATGGATTCCAATTTCTTGAGTTTGGCTCTTAATAGAATTTGATTGATTTCATTGATGAAGTAGATTTGCAAGCCATCATCGTTGTCGAATATCCTGCAGTTCTCCAATACGTTGACAAGGAATTTCATCTTGTGATTGATGGTCGGTTTAGATTTTGGGGTAGGAGTGTTGTAATCTTGAGATTGCTTATGATTGGAACTGGGAAACTCTTTGCTTTCTTTGGACAACAGTTGATCTGCTGAGATTTTACGACTTGGTGTCATATACATAGAAGATTTGTTTAATCTGATATGATTTTGAGATTTTTTACGAGAACTCCTCTTGCCAGCTGAATGAATCATCATCTGAGGAGAGTGGTTGAATTCGATTTTCATCGTCACGTCCGATGTGAATTTCTTTTTGATTATACTTTCATCTTCTTGATTTTTGAACGATTAAAAAAACTTTTATTATTATTAATGATTTTTAGGGGGTTATTATTAAATTTCGACAGAAAATCGGTTTTAGGATAATAATTGAGTTTTCTCCTTACAATAAGTGACATTCTTTATCTTAAACTGATCTTCCATTTCAAGATCTTCATCATCAAAATCAAACAGAGTCTGATCATTATTCAATTCATCCAATTGCAGGTTCTACAAAAAGCTTAACTAATTTCTAGCCGAATGAATGGAAGACGTTTTTTCAGGGGATTGATCGGTCTCAGACTAATTTGTACTTTCCAACTTGTTAGCCAAATTGTCAAAGATCTTGTTTGAGTAAAGTAAGAAATTCTTATCCTTATGAACTATGCATATAGCTTAGGGAGTAGAATCGATTATCATAAATAAGGCTTGCAGATTTTGAAAATGTTGTAAATAAAGGAACTCCTTTCTCAAAATCTATAAGACTAGAAGGACTGTTGAAAGGAACAATCCTTCAAATGAGGGTAAGTCAGCAAGGAAGATGCTCTGGATTAAGAACAACGAAATTGTTAAAAATTTCATGCGCAAAGTAGAGTACATGCTCTAATAGATACTTGTGAAGGCAACATAGAGCATAAAATAATCCTTTTCATTGATGATGTAGCAAATCCAATACATACAGTATTGTTGAATGAGGGGCAATAATTAGATGTAGAGATGCGATTCTTCGGATATTGCTTTCGAAATGGATAAAAATAAGAGAATGTGGACACATATTTGGGTTGCCAAGGTAATTTAAATGTACAAGGTGTCTGCTATTATGGACAATCTTATGATTATGAAGATGAATTGGAGTATCAGAATCGGTCTGAAGGTAGTGTCAGCCCATTGAAAGTGATTGTGCCATCTCCATTGTTAGTATTGATCCCACCTCAAAGTTTTGAGATGCTTCAAAAAGGCCTTCTTGATGATTCCCCATTTGGGCATGATTATTTTATTAAATTAATATACATAAAGGAGAATCGTAATACATCATTGTAACATATAAGAAATAATGCTTATTCAATAATATCTTTAATTAATTTTATCTCTAACTTGCTTTTTAGAGTACTCAAACTTATATAAATAATGAAGGAAGAAGACAATGTTATCAAATAAGTAACCTAATTTATAAATTATAACCCCAGGAAGAAAACCCATTTTTTATCCCACAATATATCGTACCCATAAACTACACCCCGAATCACAACGAAATAGAGAATTATAAAATTGCGATTCATCATTTAACCGAGGAGAATCACTTTTTGAGAAAACAATTGCCACACAACCAAGTCTCAGACCTTCTCTCTTTGAATAAAGAACAACTCAAGGATGAGGTATTTCAAATGATTGACTTCCTGATGAAAAATCTCAATTACCTTCCAAAAGAATAAATCTTTGCCTACCGAAAAACAATTCGATAGTGCACACAGAGGAGTGCACTCAAAAGAATCTATTTCCTCATCTTTACCAGATACTTACAAGTAAAAATCCATATCTCAATGATAGGCTGAAAAAACGAAAGAAGAAATGATAAAATTCATTATTCGCAAAAGTGTGAAGTTTTAAAAGCCCACTAGCAACATATAGAAACAACAAATTAAGAAAATGAATACTGCATTCGTCTAGCAATTATTTCTATCACCTCAATATCAGTAACATTACTAAAACTTTTTAAGTAAGAATTTCATTCCCCACCTAATCTAGGCCAATACCTATAATTAGCACTTGATGAAAACAAACATAAAATTCAAAAATACGTGAATTTCATTGTGGAATCAATATAAAATGACCAAATTGATGTAATTTTCACTCATTTTCATTAGGATGTCCTAAATTATAAAAGATTTCCGTGGTTGAATGAGTGGATATAATAATCCGTTTAGATTGCTTAAGATCTGCAATTTACTAGCAATCCCCAAAACTTGGAGAACAAAAAAAAAATAAAATTCTGATTAAACACTTAATTGGAAGTAATTATGAAGAAAAATAAATAGTTTGTATTAGCTATTAATATTAAATTCAACAATTAATTAGTATATTCAAACAAATTGCACTATCTCATATTCATAATCGCTTAAGTGCAATCTATTTAAATTCAAAAGCTAATCTCTAATTGACATATTATGAAAATCACTTATTTTGATTACTGAGTTCTCCTATCCTCAAATCTTATTTATTATTAAACACAGGTTTTACAAAGTTCATAGGTTTATATTATTTTTTATCTGCAACTATGAGAACACACATAATCTCTTCTATTTGAATGCCAAGTACCTTATAAAATTATTCTATTGACAATTTAGAAGAATTAATATTGATCAATAGGGTATCAAATGAAAAATGCATTAAAAATAGATTATTAAATAATATTTATAATTAGTGATATTATTTTCAAACTATTAAATTATAATCATTTTCTTAGATCTGTCAAAGATTTCACTATATTTGCCAATCTGGCAATCTCTAGATCTTTTGCTTCTATCAAATTTTCATAAAAGGCACTTCCACCAGATTACCCTGACTTTTATCTCATTGATAAATCTAATTTGGTGTATTCACCTATCTAACTTTAATAGTTTCTAATTTCCTATTCATAATTCTATCTTTCTTAATTCAATAATTGTTCCATCTTTCTCACTTCCTATTTGAGATTATTTATTTCCTCTTTCATCTACTGATCTTAAATATTGTTTGTTTTCTATCTTTATGTGTTCTACTGTTGTTATCTATCCAACTCTTTCCTAAATTAGAAGTTTTCATTCTGCAACAATTATAATTATTTTGCATATTATTCTGAAGTCTCTAAATTCTAGTGTTTTAAAATACATGTACTTCTTATTTAAAGTCTTCAAAATATTCGATTTTCTATCTGAATTCACTTACTTACAGATTCAATTGTTTGCATATTTTTTATGCTTTACTAATTTTATAATTAAATTAATGTACTCCAAATCATTATTTTTATCTTGCAATTCCTATTCCAATTATCTTAATTGATTAATCTTTAATTCCAACTAGGCTTTCAGATTTCTTGCTTCTTCCTTCAGTATTTTATTTATCTCAGATTGCTTGCTCAACTTATCCTTAAACTCTTGTTCCATGGCTTCAGTTTACTTAGTGTATTACTTCTACAGGACACTCAAATCATTCAATAATCTAAATACTTAGAGTAATAGTTTACTTATCATTTTCATGTTTCGACTGATTGAATTGCTATTAAACCTATTGATGTTTAAGTTGCAACTGAGACAACATTTGATCGCTACCTTCATTATTATTTTCTAATTGTTTTTTAATTTGATGAGCCTCAGTTAACTTATCTTCGTAAGTTCTGATTACATCAATTTGTTTTCTCGAGAAATCCTCCAACTCACTCAAAGTCTTATGCAATTATTTAATTTCCGTCTCTCTTAATTGCAATTAACTTGATATATGTTATAATTCATCCTGTAATTCCTCTATTTAAGTTACAGCCTCTTCGTGTTATTTCTTGTTCTCTGTCTGTAATTACAATAATTATTTTTTCTTCTCATCCAATTACTTTCTCAAAGTCTACTTGTCTTATTCAGCCAATTAATCCTAAGTCTGACGTTAAGACTTTAGTTTCTAAAAGTCCTTTTCAATAACTTCCAATTATTATTTATATGTTTTATTCTCAAATTCCAATACTGAATTCTTATCATTTAATTTATCTATTACATCCTACTATTCCAATTATTTTGATTATTATAGATTTAAGCATTCTCGCTTTTTAGTTTCCAATTCTTTTTCCATTTACTCCATAGTCTATCTCTGCTTCTTTTCTTATTACTCAATTAATTTGATATTCTATTCCTACTAACTGATCGTCAATTCCAATTCCGATATTAAATTATCTTTCTCCCCTTTCTATTGCAACTATTCTTATTATGCTAATTTTAATTTACGTACCAATTACTCGTTATCATTATGTAATCCTTAAGTCAATTACTAAACCTTTAATAATTACTCATTAAGTTGTTCATTCTCTTAAATTAACCTTTCTGTCTATTCGGAATAGAACTTTTTTAATTGATCCAACTATTGCAACTAATTTTATCTCTATTGTTTAATTTCAATTGACACCTATTGCTCAATGTCAATTCCACTCAAATTTACATGTATAGAATCAATCTCATTTTTGCAAAATTTCAGCAGTTTTAATGCTTCCTTAGAATCAGCCATGTTCTAGAGTTCATTCAATATAATTTATAATCTATTCAAGCCTTCTTCCAATATAATCTTAATTTTAGTGCTCTATGATTGTATTTATTCGAATTGGGTGGATTTCTTTTTTAATTGGACTGCCAAATCATTCAATCTTTATTAAACTTTGGAATTGTGTCTTTCAATAGTCAATTATAACTCCGAATCCATCAAATCATCTGGAACTATAAACACTGGTACTTCAGAATTGAATGCTCTATCCAATTCTTTGACTCGAGTATCCTTGGCTTTCTTTACCATAGTTTACAATTATTATAACTAATACTGCAATTGTTTCGTGTCTGTTTACTTCAATTCACTCTATTGCTACTCTAATCTCAATTACTCCAGCTATATTTCCAGTCCTTTTATTAGGTTTTCAACGATCTCCTCTTTATGCTAGATGATTTGAGTGATATCCCTAACCAAGTTTGAGATGTTCAATGATAACATTTGTGCATCATCAGTCATCAATTGATCGTAATCGTATGTTGATTCCAATTGATTAACATATTGAGACAGAAAGGTCCTTGTTTATTAAGATAAGGCTTGAAGTGTATTAATCAATTGCTATTGGAAACGAGGTTGTTTACTCGAACTGGAATATTTAGTGGCACTCTAATATTTATGAGCACTGTTATATTATTGTTTCGTCGGAGACCTTAATTGGGATGGTTATTGCAACTGCGATTGATATTGATATTACTTAAGTTGTTCCTCTTTCACTTACAGTTCATCTAACAAGATTTACTTATCGTCTTTTGATTACTTCAATTCTTTTATCAGACGATCAGCCACTTCTTATAACTCTTGAGTTAGTTTCTATTCGTGCTGCAACATTTTTTAATAGACAACATCCTGTTGAGATTGCTTCAGATATTCGATTTTAGATTGCAATTGCTCATTAACTTTGCTTTGTTATTTGATTGTGTTCAAGATGGTTTGTTCGTTTGGTGTTACATTTAAGAGGGATGCCAAATTAATGAGCAGCTGATTTGAACCTTCCTGCTATTTCTTTTAGAGTATTGTATATTTATCAAAAAGAGAGACTAATTTTCTACCATAACATACACAAGAGTATTATAGTTGAGTAATGAGATCTTTGTCATTTTTATATTCTTTTATAACTGGGAGTGAGTCAAAAAGCTAGTTTGCATAAGTTTGGATTTTCAAAAAATCGTTGTCTAATTTCATTCGTTATTTTATTAAATAAACCAAATTGTATATTGGATACATTTATGATTTCGATAATTATTTGAAATCTGTCAATGAGATGGAGGGGGAACGAATTTTATCATTGAAATTTACATTAGATATAATGAAAATCATATTTCTAAATTATATATTTTCACTCTAATTTCTTAATAATGACTAGGGGTAATTTCATTCATTGGTTTGCCATCCAAGAATTATTAAGCATTATTACTTACAATCACTTAGTAATAATAGGTTAGGTAATCCAGTAACAAAATACCAGTTTCGTTTTGTTCGTTTATTCTAAGCTAATGGTTCAACTCTCTAATCACATCCTTTAGAGCAGATATGTCACCCAACAATGACATACCATAAAATTCTTTATATTTCAAATAGGCTTCTCTAAATGCATACTTATTTAGAATGGCTACCACAAATTAATGATTGAAATTGATCACTTTAATGTTGTTGACTCCTTTCTCATATGCTTCTTTTAGCTTGTAATAAACATTACACATACTTTATTCATTATGTCCATCACTTCCTTCCCAAAATATCCCATAATCTTCTCTCTCAACCTTGGAGATTGCAAATACTTGATATGATCAATCAATTGACAAGTCCGATAGATAAATTTGCATTGATTCAGGAAATTACAAATCACCTCTTCAGCTTGAGATTCTAAATTCAATATTAATTAAAATACTACCATAATGAAAGCTTTAGTATGTATGCTATACAACAGTTCCAATCTTCTCCTTAATTTGATTAGATTTTTAATGCTTATGCGAAGTAGAACCACTCCTTGTACATTGCTGGGTTTGATTAACTCTGACAACATTCATATTTGTGATTGATTTATTGAATGAATTACTCACCAATGCTCCTCTCATTTTATTGAGAGCAGTAGTGTTACGACGCAAGAACAGCGGATGCTAATCAATGTCAGCCAGAGACAACCGTTGATTTTCATCGACTTATAAGGCTCTCCTTAAGAAATCCTTGGACTCTTCAGATATGGGTACATTTCGGTTAAAATGCAATTGCGATACAGATTCTTGAAATTCGCTTTCATTGTTGATTACCCATGGACATTAACCATAAAGCATTTGATAATAGACAACTCCAATGCTCCAAATGTCAGTCTTCTCTGAATATTTATTCTCTAAATAACTTTCAGGACTCATGTAAATAGGAGTGCCCACTTTATAAAATACCTTCTCTTTGGGAGCCTTAATCATTTTAGAGAAACCATAATCAGCCAATTTGGGAACTGAATTCTTTATCAGGATATTGGTTGGTTTGATGTCCCTGTGAATGACACCCTTCCTTATTTACTCCTTAAATCCGTTGATAATATGTCTCAATATTTTAAAGGCCTCTACCTCAGGTATTATGCCCTGCTATTGGATGAGCTTGCCTAAATCCCCTTAATTGCAATATTCAGTAATTATGTAGGTATTGTTGTTGGTATGATAATAATCATGCAATTTGATAACATTGACTGACTATATTAACTTAAGTGCATTTATCTCTTAATTGATGAGCTATCTCTCGATTTCATTGCTGATGGCTTTCACATCAATCACTTTTACTGCCACAACTTCTCCTGTATTCTCATCCTTCCCCTTATACACCTTAGAACTGTATCCTCGCCCAATCTGCTCATGCATTAAATAAGTATAATGTTCAATCTTCTTCTTTGGAATAAGGTTTTATTATGCTTGGGGTAACATTTAGTAAATAAATAAAATCAATCATAATCAGGTTTTATTCTTTTAAGCAATTATCATAAAGATGATCCCCTCATCTACTCTTCATTCCGTTTTATCCAACTGAAATCAAATAGGATATCAAAACTGTTTGCTATTTTAAAGTATTTTAGAATCTTTAGATTGATAAGCTAAAATTCATTTATAAATTTACATTGACTTGAATTCTTTCATGAACTTCTCAAAGTCTTTTCGGATTGATTTTTATTATAGATTAACAAACCATCAATATTCTAATTGAACATAGAGAGTAGAGGCCATAACGCTTTCTTTGATGTATGATAATATATAATATATGAATGTTCTCTATTGTCGAATTACCAAACTCAGTTCCACTATGATATTCTAATCAGTATTTAACGATTGTCTACAGAAGATTGTTTAAGATCCCTTATTTCCTGAATCAATCTTAAAATTTTGAATTAAATTCCAAAGTGACAAGCTAGGTCGATTGATAAATTAATAGTTCTTCATATCCTTTACTCATTTTAGAGCGATGAAAATCATCAGTAATTCATACCTAGACTTCTGATCACAAGATGCTATTGTTCTTATCATGATATTTAGATTATTATTTCAACATATATAATACACTTGTGATGATTATTTGGGACTTTAACTTTAATTAGTTAAATTTACCTTCACATTTTTATGAGATTATAATTGTAAAATGCGGATTCAAATGTAAATCCTTACAGCTGTATATATCTGAAATTTATTTTAATCTGAGATAGGATGAAACTTAACAAAACAATGAATTAATCTGAATGCATTAATAAATAAAGACTCTCCAAAAAATATGGAAAAATGTGCATATAATTTCTAATTCTGATTTATCGTAAACTAAAATGCTTTTTCTATTATATATTTCAATAAAATGAATTTTAAATAAGATGCTTTTTAGGCTGTGGATTCTATCTTTACGAATGTTCAAAAAAGCTAAAACGACCGAATAATAGAAGCTTTGGTTGGTGTGAGAGAAAAAATAGAGGCTAACTTGGAAGAGCTAGATAAATAAGAGGAAGATTTAAAAGTTAAAGAGGTCTTCCTTCAAAAGATATAAAAGTTAATGTAATTTGCTGAAAAACCTGCTAACTTAAAAAAGGTTTGGCAATATTTCTCCTCAACTGTTTACAAATCATAAGATCAATTTATAGAACTCTTAAGAAACATTCCGAGTTTAATTCATTTTCACTTATAATAAAAAGTATTGACAATAAGTATGTTTATAAAACAAAGTTGTGCTGAATTGTTCTCACACTCACTTATCACATTTTAAATGGAATTACAACATGATGAGCCAATATAAAAGGAGAACATCGAGAAGGAAGATTATGTTGGATGCATAACTTATGTATCACCAGAAGTCTAAAATGAAAGACTCTATAAAATAGTGATGAAATTACAAGGCTTTATTAATAAAATTAAAAAACTAGATGAATTGATCAATAACAGCAACTTGGATTCCGATATCTTAAAATTCAGTATCTAGAATAACGAGAATAAAGAGAGGAAAATTACATTATGGAGCTTGGATGACTAAGTAAGCTATCAAGTCACAACAAAGTATTTTATTTAATTATTCTTAGATCAACCCTAGAAGAATAACCCATTTTTGAGTAAAGAATTTACTTACAAACTGGTATGGTAATTTAATTGAAATAAAATTTCAATCTGATCGTCAGAGATTGTGGAAATAGTGGCAATATAGAGAAAAAAGTAGTTAATGAACATTTAACTCCTTATTTAGTCGGAGGATAGTAAGTTTAGATTAAACCTATCCTTGTAAATGACAACTAAAGATGGATCTGTATCAACAATGGCTTTGAAGATGTGATTTATTATCCAGCTGATATTCCAATTAAATTATCCAAAATTTAAACACTTCCAAGGGGAATTGAAGTGTTATTATAAAATGATGGAGTTGGCAATTACATAACTGTTGTTGGAGACTGTTAGAGATTTGCTCCAAGAATCAAATCCAAGAGGAGTGAGGGTTAACTCTTATAATTTATTACTTTCCAATAAAATTTCAATTTAGGAATCATTTACTAAGAGAATATAAAATTAGCCTTGTATTCTGATTTAACTTCGTTTTGGAACGGCAAAGAAATATTTGATTTTTGAAGTTAAAAGAATAGTTAATTTTAATATCAATTATTGTTTAATAATAAATAGATCAAATTAATAGGGTCTAGTATTTTAGACTTAAATATACCAAATAAGTCTTTTATCTAATTATCTTCTACATATTGTGATAATTGTATATTTTTTAAAATATATTTTACCAACTAATCCATATTTTCAGAATTTTACAAAATCACAATTAAAATTGATCTAAAATCTTGCATTGTTATTGCAGGTTGATTTTGAGGATTAAAGAACTTAAATACTCAAATATTATACTTTAATAAAAAAGTTAATTAAGGTTTGCTCTTTGAAATGCTAACTTATAACAATCTATTTGAATAATCTAAATTGACTATAGTACACCTTTTCTTGCTCATTATGAGGATTGATGTCAAAGGCCAACAAAATTCGATCCTGAACCACTCCTGATAACTCAGTGAAACTTAAATAGGATTCTCTTAATATAAATTAGTATATGAAAGGATCTGTGAAATTAAACTATATTTTTACTTTTTCCTGTTTCTTTAATATCGTAAATATCAATGTATTATTGAGTATTCTTAACTAGAACCTTGAATTCTTTGATAGTGTTCATCTCTTTATATATTTCTTTCTTTGCTTATCTGATCACTCTTGGATTGATAGTCAATTATTTTTGATGTTCAATAATATTGCTTATCATACTATTATTCATAGTTATTTCATCGCATAATTGACTCTCGTCAGCTCTCCTAGTGTTTTATGAATCCTGTTCGTACGACTTCAATGTTTTCTTATACATGGCTTGAATATTCATAGCCCCCTGAGTAACTGTAGCTTGTTTCATTACATCTAAATCCCCCTCTGTAAATATATTATCCAATTTGCTGAAATGAAGCAATTCTTATTTAGTAGAATCATTTAGTTCATACCTCTTTCTAGGTGTTTTCGTCAAATTTTGAAGATGAAAGGGTAGCAATTTCTATAACTTCTTATCAGATTTCATCAAATCCATCATATAACTCTTGTACTTATAATTTTTATAGCCCTTAACCTCAAGATATTTTGGTGCAGTGGTTAATTTCTATATCTTAGGAAGACTAAAATGTGAGGATGAAGTATTTCGAGATATTTTACTTTGAGACTCGTTCATAACTTTTTATTAATTCGAATCTAATTAAAATAAATAATATTCAGAGATTGCATAGATGGCATAATAAATTGTATACGTGAAAACAAATATTTTTTCAATTTTCCATTTAATTACAACTTTATCATTTTATTGGAAAATTGAACTTTCCTTTTTATTATAGAAATAATCTTAATTAAATTACATTTATAAACAATCATACGATTGAAAGTAAAAAGCTAGGCTGTGCTAGTAATTTTGTATGAGATGTTATGCTTTGATGATGAAGACTATTTAATAGATTTTCTATTAGTTAGTACTTAAATCTCAGTATTAATTATAAAATGTAGTAAATACAATCAAGTTTTTTTCACAGATTTGTATATATATAATTTATTTTTTGATCCCTATAAATGCTTGATATTTCCTCAATGATTTGGTCTATTTTTTGTTCCTTTTGTAACTTTGTACTAATAGATAGTAAAATAAATATTTAATGTGGTTTAAGTCTCATTAAAATTAAGTTTTAAGTCGGATGGGTAGATTAAGTGAAAATTTTTACAAAAAATCTTAATAATGGTGGGAAACTTGAAGTTTCGATAAAAGAATACTGAATATAAATACTAATTAAATAGTGATATAGATTATTTATTAATTATTCTTATTTCTTCAATAGATGGTACATTCACAAGATAATTTCTAAGATCGAGCCTTTTTTTTCTCAATAGGATCTCTTTCACTATTTTCTGAAAATAGTATTTCCTCTTATTTCAAAATTTTCATAAGATTCACTATCTTTTCCTTTTCTTCATTTATGGTTTGAGGTTCAGTTTTGAGGCTAATGAAATGCTATATATTATTACGATTGGAAATAAAATTGAGATTTTATGAGTGTTTTATATTTATGATTTAGAGAAGGATTTCGATGATAGTTCATCCTAATTTCTATATATTATTTATTTCAATGATTTAAGCAACCAATTTAATAAATATATTTATATACATCACTCTGTTGGGATATTGAATGATATAAATTGAGATTTCTTGGCTTTTTTATTTTTTTAAGTTTGCTACTGTTCATAGCATTGTTTAATTTAAGAATCTTATCCAAATGTATTTTCCTAAACTTGGATTTAATTATATTTTGGCGTCGAAGATTACAAGACATCAGCATCACCAAACAGTTATTTGATGGTTTATTCGTTTGTCAGTCCTTTCATAAGTAACTAAGATGACATGTGTATATACTTGATTAATCAGAATTTGTAAGGTGGTTTCAGACTACGACATCTATTTAGATTAGAGTAAGATATTCATGATTTCCCTTGGATTAGTGGTGTACCCAATATTCTTCAGTAGCATGTAGGTTGAATCAAAAAGGTTCTATTGATTGGAGTCCTCCAATGTAATTTCAGTCATCAACATATATTGATCTTGGGTTTGGACAGCAGCAATTTCCCCAAAATAAATAAAATAATAATATAACTCCCCATCTATTTAGATTCTTTGTATCTCAAAGATCAAATGATCTTAGTTCTTCTCCTTCAACTTTTGACAAAACACCTCACAAAAGATTTGGAGATCCAATTAGATGGGTAACACGAGTACTAAATTTTTGCTCCACTCCAAGAAGTAATCCAAAATGTCTGAAATCGAAGGGAATATATTGTTCATCGATAGGTTATCATCTATAATCTAATAGTCTGGTTAGATGAAAAAAACATCATTTTAAATGATAGGCAATTTAGGTAAACTGGCTTAAATAAAATCACACCTTATATTTAAATTACATTTCGTCATATTATGTTTAGCATTCTTTATTTATTACATAGAAAAGTTATTCCCCAAAACAAAAGTATTTGTTTCCGAAGAGAACTAAATTGCACTTATACCACTTCTAGACAGACCATCTACAATAAACGAGGGTTTGACTTCCCTCATTCTTCTGCCTATATATTGCAATACTTTCTCTGGTATCAAATAACTTGACTCATCTTGTTCATACATTATGTCATTATCAATATACGATATGAACACCGTCAATGGATTCTTTTCTACTAATTTCGATTTTCTCATGGAAAAATCAACGAAAAAATTCTTTTAGGTCATTCTAACAAGCATGTAATTTAATGTCTCAAAATTACCAAAAAGTTCTAAGGAAGTCTTTTCATCTTTTTTTATTGTTATCTACTTCTCCTCAAAGAATTCTTCTTCATCCTAATCCAATGAGCAACATATGAAATTCCAAAATTTTTTCATATATAAATTATGTCATAGTTCAATAAATTTCAATTAGTGGAATTCAATTTGATTATGTAATAAACAATTATTGAAAAAATTGGAATAAGAAATTTAGAGATTTCTAAAGAATATTTTATTTCCAGTCTTAAAACATATTATATGAATATTTAATTTGATTAAAAAAAGAACAATAGAGATGGTGTTGATGTTGATATGTTAGCAATATACAAGATAAAAAATAAAAATAAATTAATCAAAAATATAGGAATTCTTCATCAACAAATGAAGCTCTCTTTAATTGAATCCAATTTTAGTTTATCTATTTTAAGATTTATAATGAAAAATAATTATTCCATCTTATTATTATGATTATATAATTAGGAAATTAGAAAAATTGAATCAACTTTAAGACCTTTTGATATATTATGTAAATAGGAAATAATACTAAACAGAAGGGATTTTTGAATATAAAACCAAAAGAAATAAAAATGAAATTAATGAAGATTGAAAAATATGAATATTTGATTATCAATTTTTAACTTTCCATTTTTATCTATCAAGTGGGCAATAGTCTTATTCTTCAGTCCATCTAACTATACAGTGTAAATGAAAATGATGATTGCATGCTCCTGTCACAGGAGGACATTCATCTCCTGGCAATTTACATCTAGGACAAGGTTGTTCAAATGCTAATTAACATATTGTGCATCTATCTGTATCTAAACTCCATATCCATGAAGCAACAGCATTCCATTCTTTTATCTTGACTTTCATAATTTGAATTTCGTATAATAATTAAATTGTTTAATTAATCTCTTTAAAATATTGAATAAACAAAATATATATAAGAGCAATACAATTTTTGTAGTTATATAATACTTATTATGTTTAAGTGTGAATAATTAATTTGTATTATTTCATACATCAATGACTAAGAATAATATTTTTAATCAGTTCTTCAGTTATTTTTTGTCCAATAATCAGAATTTTACTAATCGATTGTTGATTTGATATTGGTAAATTAGTTGGGGTTATTTCAAAGATATCTTCAACTCCCTGTAATGAATACATAACTTATTCATCTTTACAGAATAACAATCCTTTAATTCTCATGATTTTCAAGTCTTCTTCCCACAACATCTACCCAATTTTAATATTCCACTCTTATTGAGTAATATTTGGAGTATCTATATTTAAGAATATTTTGGCTATGTTTCCAACCTCCTCAAAATGAATATGCTCCTAATCGAATATTTTATTGTCTGCTTTTTCTGCCTCAAAAATACTTTGAATATCAATTTGTGCTCTCACAGATTTCAGCAATTTGCCATTAGGGTTGATTATTTTTAATTGCTTCTCTATTAAGATTATATCGTCCTCTTAACATAAGTCCTTGGAATAATAGGGAGATTTACTTAAAAATTTAACAACAATAAATCGGCATGAATTATTTATTTTCTAAAAATTTCTAATTCATAAAGTGTCTTAAATTTGTGTGATGGAATCAAACCTACTATGGTTGCTAATTCTGCTGGTAAGTTCAATCCTTAATCAGCCCATAGCTCTTTAATTAAACTTGATGGATCAGCTAAACCATTTGATTCAATGATTATGAATTGGATATTTGGTTTCTTCTCAATAAAATATTGAATGGCTGTCATCATTTATCCTCTTTTTATGACTTTTTATCTTACTTTGCAGAACAACATATGCAACCATTGGGCAATTCGAAAAATGAATCAAATATATCGCCATTATTATCTACCATCAAAGGTGCTTCAATTCCCATTTCATCAGAAAATTCATTCTAAATTACAGCCACCTGATAAAGATTCTACACCTTTAGGATATATTGTAGTAGTGTAGTTTTGCCAGAGCCTAAATAACCTGTAAGTAAGATAATTTTGCATTTATTTGTATTGTTCATATAATTTATTTGAGGAAAATAATTAATGATAAAAAGCTTTGGTACTTTGGTAAAGTGCAGGAAGCATTTAAATGAAATTAGAATAATGATTTATTTTAATTATGAATTCTTAATCTTCAAGATTCTGTTATTTATTCTGAATCGTATGTAAAATAATCGTAATTGTCATATTGATCCTTTTTATTTACTGGACTATCTATGGCAGGTTCATCTAAAAACATCTTTCGTATTATAATGTGATTACTTTATTAAAATATCTTAAATCTAATTCATCACTTAATTCTGGAATAATTGGAGGTATCAATTATCGATTTGAGGCTTGATTCCAATCTATGTCTGAAAAGAATGGATGTTTTTTAATTTATTATATATTTATTCTTTATTTAGGCTATTAATATGGAATATATTTACATTATTATTTAATAATCCGGTAAGCAAGCTTGAACAAGCTTCAGAAAACCAAGGTTTCATTTCTATTTGTTTTTCAGTTCTATTTCTGAACATCATCGTACGATCCTGACTATAAAAGGGAGCCGCTCCTGTTAACATTTCATACAATAAGGCTCCTAAACTCCACCAATCGCAGGATTCGTCATGACCTAGTTTATCATCCGAGTATATTTCAGGGGCAAGATATTCTGGAGTTCCTACAATCGAAAAAGACGGCTTATCTCGATTGCTTATAATTTTAGATAATCCAAAATCAATTAATTTGATATGGCCATCGGAACAAAGCAGGATGTTTTCTGGTTTTAGATCTCTATACAAGATCTTAGAATCGTGCAGATATTCTAAGGCAATAATAATTTCGACAGCATAAAATTAAACTTAATTCTCTTTAAATTTATACGCTCTTCTCAAATGGAAAAACAATTCTCCACCTGCACAGTAATCAATAACATAATAAAGCTTTTATTGAGTTTAAAATGCATAATGGAGTTTACTTATAAATGGATGATTGATCTTCTCTAATATGATCCTTTCTGTTCTTGCATATTCAACTTATTTCTTAACCTATAAATCTTATTTGTTCACAATTTTCATCGCATAAATCTTCCCAGAGTTACGTTTACGAACCAACAACACTTTTCCAAAATTTCCCCTGCCTATTGTCTTTAACAGCTTAAAGTTAGTCACATTGATTTTCTGAGAATCATTCGTTATAACTATACTTTGCTTATTAAAAGTAATAGTTTCTGTTTAATATTCATTAAGTGGCTTGGAATTAGTGTTTGCTTATTAAGATACAACATCTTATTAGCATTCCTCATTCTTTTTAAAACAATTAAGACATTATCCCATATATATTATATAAAATACTTTTAATATGAACGAATTCAAATCTCTAAAGCAAATGGATCTTATTGGATAGAAAAAACACCTGAATATCTAGAACCATAATCTCACTATTCTTCTTTGCAATTATTAAAAACAATAAGATTGTTGAAACAATAAGAATGAGTCTACTTAGACTATATTTTTTGGATTACAAAGTATTTTGTTATAAAATTTGTGATGGAATATTTAATCCATTTCGACATTTGAATTACCATCAGTACCAAACCTTCTAATCTAAATTTAAGCACAAGAAATAAATCTTAAATCCTATTCAAGCCTTTCATTATTTTATCAAATAATCTATCTTCGATCAGAGGCTTTAGACAATTTATTTAGGACTTATAAAGATACTAATGTATTTTCTCTCTATAAATTTTATAAATTTGAAATTTAAAGATGTCAAAATTATCTTTAATCGAAAATACTCTATAGGATATTTTATAGTTAATCAGCAATAATTGTTGAATACTCCTTAGGTATATCTTTAAAATTTAAATAAAAGATTTTCCAAAATAGATCACCTTAAGAAATTTTAAATAAATTTCGAATAGCTTTGATTCTTAATATTAATCGAAATGCTTGTGATCATTTTATATTGACTTGTAAATATTATAGAATAAAACAAATTCTAAATGAGAAATATTTTTAAATTTAGAATCAATCTAAAAATGCTCAATGATTAGAAAGGATGCCTAAAATGCAAAATAGAATTAGAGTTAATTGATTGAATTTTGTAAAATAATTTTTTCATTTTATAATTTTCTATTTTTTTCATAAACTGATTACAATTTGACACTTAATTAATATCAAATTAAATCTAAGCAAAAGATCTCAAATTAGAAAGTCTTGAAGGTCATCTTTATCTAAATGTTAGATATAGTTATTTAAATAATTTCAACAATTTTAATTAAATTAAAGTGTTGATCGGATATAACTAATTATTGTTTTGGTACCCAATGATTAGGTTTATTTATATGTTATCTTAATAAGATTATTGAATTTTAGGTTTATATGATTCATTTACTATCTTAATTGGATAATGAATAATTTCATCTGATCGATTAGTATCATGTCATTTCTGAAATTAAGGAATTAAAGATCTTTATTAGAATAAATTTAGTCATAATAAACTGAAATTGCCTGAATAATTGAATGTGAAAAATAATAAAAATTATAAATTATTTTTTCTCAATTCTAAGTGAATTTGAGAATGAAATTCAAATTAAAAATTCTACTTAATCTTAGAAATATGTGTAAATTACGAATATGAAATAAATAAACTAAAATAAATGGAAGTTTTCATAAGTAGACAGTCAGAATTATCATAATATTTATTAAATATAAATATATAAATTTATAAAAACCCGAAATTTATTTTTATTAAGATTTTTAGTCTATTATACATGTTATTTAACTCAAATTGTGAAATCAATAATTTTTATATGCGAGTAATCTGGAGGAAATAAAAAGAGTTCATTTTTTAAGTATTAAAAACTAAAACTTGTTTGTTAAAAATAGTTAACATTTTAGCAGTTTGGCAGAAGGATTTCATTTTAATATTACAAAGTAACTGATCATTTTGGGATTTTAAATACCAGAAATAAATTAGTGAACTTCACAAATTGGGTGATTAAAAAGAGGAAGGCAAATAGTTTAGAAATAATGATTATGTAATAGATTAGTAATAATAATAAATTTCTCTTTGGAAAAGGGAATTTAAGAAAACTGGTTAGAAACATTGATGCATTGAATCGTTTGCATATTTTTTCTTGCAATCCTAAAGTTTTAAAGAACTCTTGGTTGCTTAGAGAATAACAAAAATTAAGTAAAATGCGAACTTCAATTATTTTCATCAAATAATTAAAGAATAATAATATTTATTATGGAATTTTAAATATGGGGTGAGATTTGTAACTAAATTATTGATTTATGATTTTTTATAATTAGGAATTAAGAATAATTGATTAATTAATAGTATCTTAATTTCCTAAGTTAAATATTAGAAGTTTAGGATTGTTTAAATCAATATCTAATTACTAATAAATATAATGTAAATATTTATTAGTTATTATTTTTTATAAATGCAAAGCTCAAACTTATATTTTGTATATAATTCTGGATCTGAATAATTTTGGAAGAGAAAAGATTATTAATTAATTAATGAACTCATGCAGGGATTACTCCAAGATTCAAGAGAGATGATAACATTGTATAAAACTTAAAAAATATTGAAAAAGTTTATTGCTCGACGGTATAAAACCTTTTAACAACATCTGTTTTATTTCAGAGAGGTACAAATTGAATAGTTATTAGAAAGAATGGTGAATTGGGGGGATTTGTTGTATTAAAGAATGTATATTTTAAAATAACCAAAAAATATGCTACCCAAAGTATTCCTTATGACAGTTGCCTTACATTAATTAGGGATCGCAGTAGAATTGATCTTTATTTTAATCTTTCCCCTGAGATTGATATATTTTTAAGAGAACTATAGAGATTCTGTATTATTGATGGGTTTGATTAGCAATATTAATTGCTTCAAAATATAGGTACTGGTTCTACAGCTTAAGTACAATTTTGTAAATAAATTAGGTCTTTTTGGCTGAAAATATTCAAGATCACTAGTAATACGCAGTAAAGCAGATTGAAAAGGAACAAGCTACTGGAAGGCATAGAGTGTTGAGATCTAAAACATTATTAGAAGAAATTTTTATGATGAGAAGCTTGGATCATCCTAACATTATGAAATTGCATCAAGTGTATGAATCAGAAAGTACTATTTCTATTTATCAATAGAGCACATTTAATTAGTTATTAGCTTATTTGAAGGTGGATAGTTGATGGATAAAATCAAAAATTTTAATTTCCTAATCAAAAGAGAGTTGGCGAAAGTCTTAATTGAAACTGTCCATTATATGCATACCAAAGTACGTTAAATGTAAATTAGGGAATTATGCATCGAGATCTAAAGCCATTCAACATACTCTACAAAAATAAAGATCCTTAGGATTGGCATTTTGGAATTGGGGATTTTGGATTCTCCACTTCAATTAAATAACAATAGCATATTCTATATAAATGTGGTACTCCTGGTTATGTAGCACCTGAAATCATAGAATATCGAGAAAAGTCTAAAATGTATGGATAGTCATGTGATGTGTTTAGTATTGGTGTAATTATATATGAAATGTAAGAGTAGAAATTAAAATAGCTTTTTTAATACTCATCCATTCAAAAGCAAGACTAAAGATGACACTTTGAGATAAAATGTTAATGCTTAAATAAATTTTGATGATCGCGTTTGCATTCCCTAATCTCTAAAATCATTGATAATTTCTATGGTCAGAAAAAATCCACGTCATAGATTCACTTTACAGTAATGTTTGGAACATGATTTTTTCAAAGAGAGCTTATACAGATTCAATGAACTATCATAAGAAATTTAGGAGTATATTAAAAATATATTACAATTCTAGGCATGAACCAAAAACTATGGAGATCAGAAACATTAGATGCCAAACACTATAGTTGTTAAAAACTCAAAATAATAGAAGAAGATAATCTTTACCTCAAGATTCCTCTGTAACTTAAGAACCATAGATTTAATAAAGTAATGCTATTTTTAGTATCAAAGGAAAAAGCATAGTAATAAAACACAGATAATCGGTTTCATCCACTCACGAGTCTAAAATGAAGTTAGAATCTCAATAGTAATTTTATATATCCTAATAAAATTAAATACTAATGCCATCCTAAGTAAAATTACCCTAAATAGAAAAAATTAACGAGATTTTCTTAAATGATTTACATCAAATACCAAAGGAATTCGGAAATACATATTTAATTAAAAAGTAATGAAGATTATGATTATATATATATAATCTATTTTGATAATATTGTTACCAACAAATAATGCACAATTAATAACTTCAAATGAAAATTTGAGTTAGATTGAATATTATACTACTGAAAGATTATACAGAATTAAATTTAATTATAACATTAAATTCATAGGTAAACTAAGTGTTTTTAAAATGACATTGCCTAAAAATCAAATTAATTTATAAAAGATGGAATAAATAGTCCACTATTTGGGGTTATCTAAAGTAGGTGTACAAAATTAATTAGATTTTAATAATATAATATGTATTATTTATTAAATTATGTAATCGCTCAATTTAAATAATGATATAAGTTACTAGAGTTAACAATATATAATACCAATCTCTTTCGTCCCTTTTGATATACTCTCTATCAATAAGATTTTCAATTCTTTTTTTTACGAACTTAATATCTGGCTTGAATATTGTAATCATTTGTGCACATTGAGCTATTAAATCAGAATGTGTAACAGATTTTTTGCTTTTCATAGTTCTAACAAGCTAAGAATCAACAACTAATTCTCTCTATTTAATCAGTTATTCTTCATATTCTCTTTCCTCCTGAGTTAATTCTCCTACTTTTCTCTAAAAAAATCAAATTCTAAATTACTACCTGGCGTTTAGGTTGCATTTTAGGATTTGGTAATACTCTTAATTTTTTTTATTTATTATTATAGTTAAGATTCAATTTAATGACTTCATTTTTATCTGAAAATTCATCCAGATCTTCTTTTTGTCTTGATAGAACTTTTAAACAAATGAAGGGGATAAGGGAGTTTTCCAAATCAATCTGACTTATATATTATTTATACAATTTTTATTTATGTTCTTTCTTAGATTTGTTGAATTGTTAATTCATTCTCTTTATTGAATAGGAAAAATGTAATCATTTAGAAGGTTGTCGCAGTAATATAATATTTATCATTCTATATTTTATAATTTAATTCCCCCTATCCTAAGTTGTAGGTCCATAATAAAATTCTTCCGTTATTTTTTATTAAGTAAATCTGTTCGTAGAGACTGAATGAATATAAATTAATTTCTACTTTAAAGAACTTAGCATCTCTTAAGGAGCAATAATTTATTCTTAGATATTATTAATCGGCCAACAGCCTTAAGATAAGAGATATACTGTCAAATCAAATTTTTGATTTTTATGGATCATCTAATCAGTAGCGAATCTATAGGATTATTAAATATCATTCACCATCTTCTATAATTAAGATCTAAAATCAAAAATTATAATAGTTACAGAACATTTGTTTAGGTTTCTCCCTTGAACTTTTATAATAAATTTTTTTCTAAATTTATATTCTGTGTCTATTGATTTAACAATCTGCTTGATAATAACCTTTGATGTTGTTAAAAAAATTTATCTCTTGAATAAAGCAGTTAAAATAGAGAAAAGATCTTATTCAATTTCTTATCAGTCTCAATTTCATTCACCCCTTTTTCGCTTCTTATCGATACATCAGCATAAATTGCTAGATATTAGTGTGAATCCTGAATTTCATTAAATGCTGTTGTGAATGCAGTTTCATAGGCTGAAATAAGCTTAACATCATTTTGCATATAATTTTTTATCATTTATAATGTCTATTCCATAAGTTCCAATATTTAATTGCAATATTACTCTGCTAGGGCTGAATTTTTCAATTTAGATAAATACCTTATTTGTTTAATACTTATTGTTTTGACATATCATAAATGCTTGAATTCACTTAACGAACAATAACTAAATAGTAAATTTTGAATTCTTAAGCAAAAAATTATACACACTCACTCTACCTAGATATTAGACTGTATAATTCTCCCAGTTAAACAATTCTCCCAACTTATAATAAATATTATACTCCTCCAGCTGAGAGTCTTTCTGCTTACTCTTTTACAAACAGCTAATTAAATAATTATTTTATTTGATCAAAACTTTTGGAATAACTTTCCAAACACATCTACTCCTCTAATGAAATAACTCTATCTGCCCATCTAACAAATTCAATGACTCCTAAATTTTACCTCTCAGAAATTTAATATTTATAGAATTTCTGAGTCTAAACAACATCTAAATAATTTTACCTCTTCTAAAAACCTTTTTTCAAAGTTTTCTTTATAAAATTTCTCTGTTTCTAAAAAATTTTAGCAAATGTAATCGTACATTCCTTATTCTTTTTCATATTTCAATTTTACTGTGTTCGCACCCATTACAACAAATAACTCACAAAGTGATTTAATTTTTTTATCCAACAAAAGTTGTTTCTACCTTGATTCCAATAAAACATCCAAAATAGTTCGAAATAACTTTTCCTGGGCTTCTTTAAAATACACAGTTTTCAATGTTTCAAGAGAGAGGCTATGCAAATCAGCTCCTAAAGTTGATAAAGTGTTTGTATCTAGATGATAAAAAATCTTATAAAGCCAATATGAAAATGCCTTGTAATCATGGTAGTGCTTGGCCACCAATTAGAGGGTCTAAATTTCAGAAGTTTATCAATACAGTCTCTTTTTGATTTTAAGTTTTTTTTAATTCCTCATACATTTCTGCCACAAACTCATTTATACATAGTTTGTACAAATTTATCATTTTGAATTCTATTCCCAGATTGCTTTCTTCCTTAGATTGCTTTTTGGCAGTTCTTGGAAAATGTATGCTCCATTCACTTGATAAATCTAAAATTTCCCTTAAAAAATCACAAATATTTACCTGTTCAAATACATTATTTCATCTTTTGGCAATTGAAATTATGCTCCTGAAAAAAGACTATTTTTTAATAATCTTGCATTTTTTAAACACTTCTCCTCTAATATATCAAATCTATTTTGAAAGTCTTTTAACATTTATGATAATAGAAATATTATAATACTAATATTGCTTATTCCATTTTAAAAAGCAGATTTAATACTATTATTGGTATATCATCAGAATTTATACTCCAACCAAACAAACAACAAAAAATAAGAGTTGCTTGAATAAACCGCAGAAATCTCATTTATAATAAAAGAAATAATTCTAAGAAACTAAGGCTTGCTATTATTTATTTAATGGCTTTTCAAATAGATTAAATGATTATATTATATTCCTTTATTTGTTTCATTTATATTTGAGCCATAGATATTGCCTTTGAAAATTGCATATTCTTAGCTTAATAAAGGACAATAAAATATTAATTACAATTTAGGTTAAGTTATATATGTTTTTTAATCAACTAAATAAAACAATTCAAATTTGCTAGAACTATTAATTTAATTTTCTATTTCGACCCATAATGTAATTTGAAGAAAGGAGATTTCATATTATTTAACTTTACACAATATGTCAATTAAAAAGACAAGTTATTTATCCTGTTTGAGAAGAATAGATAAAAAATTATACATTTCCTAAAATAACTGAGTATGATCTATGTAACTCATTTGACACTTATAACCTCTAAAAAAATTTAGTTGTAATTCAAAGTATTAGCAAACTTGTATTAATATTGTGTATTTTCTGCCTATGTTTTTAAATTTTAAATCTAAAAATTCTGTAATCCTGCCTCACAGCATTTACTCTAAATCTATTCTTAGTAATCAATCTCATCAAAAAATGGCTGTCCTTAATGATGTTCGCAATTGGATATTCTTACAATATGAATGATCAATTCTAATGGGTTATTTTCATTTTCAACCAAATATATGATATTGGAAATGTTACTATCAGTAACTTGCCTTTATTTCTACTGATATAATTGAAATTTGAGATGTATTTTGATATAAATTAAAACCTATTTGTAATAGTTATTTTTGATTTTTCAGTTGAATAAAAAAGTAATTTTAATAGTGTTTTAATTCCTTATTTGAAAACAGAGTGTTAAAATCCTTTTATCAATTAACATATCTAATCAAACTATCACAATATTGATTTTGATTGGTATCCATATTAAAAAATTTGTAGAATACCTTATAATTTTTATCAAAGGTTAATAGCCTTTTTTAGCTATTTCTAAGAAAGATTTTGAATGTTACTTCTCTATGCTTGATTTTATTTATATAAAAATATCCCAAATAAGCAAATAAATGGTATAATTTTGAAATGAATTTTATTCTCAATAAATGATAATAATGTGAGTATGAATTTATAAATATAAAAACAAAAAATTTCTTATTCAGTTTATCTCGATATTCTGACAATTTACCTTATTTTTCTAGTTATTAAATAAATTTCAAATAATTTTTGCATCCCTTATTAATTAAATTAAGAAGACTAATAATAGCTAATTGAATATTTACCCACATAACTTAATTAATAGCTGCAATGTATAGAATGTGAGAATAAATATTGCATGAAATGTATCCCAGGATGGAATTTGTTTAATTTTAAATGTGTTCAATGTCATGTTGTTGACAATTGTTTGTTTGATTAAGATCATGATTCCACTTAGAATGAGGTGATTTGTGGAGATGGTATAACATAAGATCTAGAAGAATGTGATGATGGAAATTCAATTCCGTTTGATGGGTGCTTTGAATGTTTATACCAATTTGAATACAATTTTGTTGAATGTAGAGATGGAGTATGTATATTATTATCAGAATTGAAAGAGTCAATGATATTTAATTGTGATTTTGGATTTCATTTGATTGATCAAAATTGTTAATCTATTTGTGGATGATAATTATAATTAACTTTTTGATGGTCTTGCTCGCTTCATTGTTAGAATTGTTTCGAAGGGTAGTGTTTAAATTTGATAATGGATATTTATTATAAAATAAAAGATGTTCTGAAAAATTTATGGAGATGGGATTAAGTTGTATAATGAAGAGTGTGATGATGTAAACATATTGATGAATTTTCAGAAAAACGGAAAATTGAGAATTTATGGAAATGTAACACATAAGAGTAAGATTTGACAATCCAATTTCCAATTATAATATATCAATATGACCTTTAGTATGTAATTTATTTTAATGTCCTTTCTCAATTTGTGAGAAATGATTGTAATGTATTTTTCTTATTGATTAAGATCAAATAATTTTATTACATCATCATTCTCAATACTAACAATCATTATTGCAAGTAGTGATGAAATCATCGGGAATGAGATGGCAAAATTAAGGGGCAAATTTTGAACCTCCATAAGAATGAGGAATATACTGAAAAGCGGATATAAAAATAATGACACTCCAAAAGCTTATGACTTTAAATTTAATATTTATATAAATAACCATTTTGACTCAATGAAAATACTAGTGTTACTATCTATATTATAGCAAGTATTGCCTACAAGAGATGCATATTTTGAAACAGGTAATAAAATCCTGTTTTTGGGTATCACTGATCATATATTGCATTTGGAATCATACCTTCCTAGATATATTGAGTTTTAATTCAACTTCTAGAAGACATTTGAAATAGCACCATAGGTTTTTGTATCATAAAATCATTTGGATTGGGAAAATTAATTGCCAAATGGATTTAGAGAGAGAATTAGTTTTGTAACAATCAAAGGTAAATTTATTATGCAAATAAAGGATTCAGAGTGCAAGTAAATGCTGTAGCAACAACTAAGCTTTTTGGAATAGGAATTTATTGGTTTGCATTTGATGATACAAGGTTGAAAGTTATTACTTTTGAATCAACTGACCTTTAAGATCTAAAAATTGGCTCAGGGGAAAGGAAAATATTTTTCACCATTGATCATAATCTTCAAGACGCATCAGAGGGTTTTATCTCCTTATTAGGTATCAGATATATATAATTTAACCATATTTTGGAATTAAAGGTAATAATTATCAACAGCAATTTTAGGTGGAAGAAATAAATCCAAAAAAGTCGTTATCTCTGTTAGATGCTATCTGCAATCATAAATAGACTATATAAAGTTCAATATTCTTTTGGGTGCTGATTAATCATTATGGACATCACCTTCTTTAGCTTATATTGTTGATCCTAATTCAAATCACCCATTTGTAATTAGGCCAGGCAATGTGGCTGAAGTAACTGAATATATAGAATTCCCATAAGAATAGTTTAACGGTCTAACTATTCCAATTATTTCACTTATAACAATAAGAGGATATAATTGTGATAAACAATATAACCAGAGATTATATACTATAGTAGAATTACAAAGTCCTTATATTAAAGCAACTTTGGCAAAATGTATACTTATATAATACAATAAGGGTGGGATACATTAACTACTGAATTTTACTATTAGGTTGCCATTTATAATCCTAATTATATAATTAAAGATTAAAATTGTGCAGAGCTTTTCTCTGAATGTAACTATAGGGGCGATTCTCTGATTATTTGTGGAATTGTATCAGATATTTCGAGTTATGGATGGTCTCAACCAATTAAATCGATATCTGTTCCAACTGGTAAAACTTTAAGTCTTTTTCAATTGAGTAATTTTCAAGGTACAAAAAGTTCATTCAATTAAAATTAACAATGTATATCATCAATTAACAAATTATCTTCAAAACTCCAACCCTTCATATCATTTATAAAAATCCTTTTTCTAAACACAGACATGAATAATAGTTGCTTGACTGTTATCTTTTATAGCTAATGCAATTATTAAGGAACTGCATTTACAGTAAAACAAGGGTACCATTTATAATCCACAAATCAGATCCCTTTTGAATTTAAGTCAATCATACTATGTCCAAATATCATTGTTAAATTTAGAGATCCTAAATATGATGGAGGAGGAATAAATGAGTTTTCTTTTTCTTAATCATGCTTTGACAATTATTAGGTAAATCGTAATTCCTTATTAGTTCCCAAAATATCGATAACCAAGTTGAAGTTATTTAATTTATCTATTAATTTTACAAATTATATAATGCTTCTTAAAATATTAAGAATCCTATTTCTCATTTTGCAGAATTTCTTTAAAAATCTTTATAAGTTTAGGTATATGCTATTTTATTATTCAAAATTAATTTCTCTAATGATTGAGAGATGTAATAAACTGACAATAGATTTCACTTTATTTTGCTTCTAATCCATATATATTTTGAAAAATTTAAATATAGCTTATAAACCCATAAGGCCAACAAAAAATAAATGTATTAACACTTCACTTTAAAGGAAAATTTGGGTTAATCTATAAAAAAATCAATTCTGAGAAAATACTAAAGTTACAGTTGTTTATTTTTATAGGCAATTTCACATATTCTAAAATGCATTAAATTTTCTTTAGTTTAAGACTTTTGCATAAGCAAAATGTTTTTAACAATTATATATAAGAAAAGAATGAAGTTATGAACATCTGAATAAACAATACTAAAAAGAAAAAATTTTTGAATTTCTAATTGTGAGTTTTGTATATTTTGCTTTAACTAATATCATCTTATCTCTATTTCCTTTTTATATGAGTAAATAGTTTGCCGTTTTCTATCTGAAGTTTTTTTTAAAAAGCAAATTAATTGCAAAACTTTATCGTGAATCCCTAAATTTTGGTTAATTCATCTTCTGTTAATTGCATCATCATCATCCATTCAATTGTTCTTTTTTATCCAATATTATCGTTTTATATACTTTAAATTTTTTCTCCTATTATTGGAATTATTAAATATTTTCCTTATTTCTCCTTGAATTAAGTTTATGTTATTCAGTTAATGCTGCTGGTATAACCTTGAATTTTTGGCCAGGCTTAATTTCCAATTTTTCTTTATCGTATGTAACTATAAATCTTTGTGGAGATTTTCTTTGTAGATAAATTCTTCTAAATGATTCTCATCTATGCTTCCATAAATTGAATAGCCATGAGTAAATTTCAACTAAATTTTTCCAATATACGAAATGATTAAAAGAGAATTACTTTTTAAGCCTAATCAAAGATAATATTATTGTGATTAAATAAAGCATTGTTTTAATTCAATATGAATTTAAAAGATAATAGCTTATTCTTTTTATAATTAATCGATAATTATATATATCTTTCTATTTAAAAATATTTCCATCATATCCTTTTATTATATCTATATTTTCTATATAATGATTAACTGATATTTATGCTGTTGATGTAGCAATTATTTCATCTATTTAATCTGCTCTAATAAGAGTCATACTTATTGACAAATGAAACTGAATTAATTTGATATCATTCTAGCCTTTATTAAATATCCCTTTTCATTTCTGGATTTTCAAGTCTGGCTATAACTGTGTCCCTTTACGACTCCAGTAATTAGGCTGGGGCTGTTAGAAGTAATAAAAATTTGGCAATTCCCTATAGGGATAGGCTATGAAATTGGCGATAAAATATAAGTGATAAAATAGACGATAAAATATAGGTGAGAAAATAGGCGAAGAATTATAATTTATAAAATAAAGGTGATAAAATAGGTGGTGAAATATAAGTGATAATTGGTGAAAAAATAGGAAAAGATATAGGTGAACAATTTTGTCCTTAGTTGATACTAAAAAATCAATTATCTTAATATTTTAAAAATTTGTATGATAAAATCAAAATTTTAAATAGGATGATGTATTATTAATCAAAATATTCCTGAATTTTGATTAGATTTGTTTGATGGAGAAAGATTAGGATGTTTAGAATTTTAATAGAAATTTTTAACAATAATTTTGGAAAAAACATAATTACATAATTTATGGAAGAAATTAATCTTAGGATATTTTAATTAATCAAATTACAATTTAAGAATTAGCATTTTTAATCAAAGATTTATAAATATTGGTGCAAAATTTAGCACAATTAAATGTAATTTACTCAAATAAAATACTAAATTTTGGGTTCTGTTGTAAATTCAATAGAATACTTAGTAACACATCATTTCAAAGTTATTAAGAATGTTTTAAACATGCACCAAGGACTCTTGTAATAAAGCCTACCTGTTTATTACTTTAAAGCAACAACTACAATGATTTTGATAAACTTTGTAATTTTTCATTTCAGTAACTAAGTGAGCTGATTGTGATAGTTTTTTTATTCTATCAGTGCGTTTAAGTATGATCAACTTGATATTTTATTAAGTATCTTGGATAAGCATGTAATACTTGTTAAACTTACTGAAAATTCATTTTCTCATTATAAATCATCCTCTTCTTTTTATCGATCAGCTTAGACGAAAAATAAATTCAACCTAGTCTACTAATGCTTGTGTTGACAGTTCTGATAATTATACCCATGTCTTATCAGCATTCTTGGATGCCCTGTTCGAACTAATTTTTCATAATGTGATGCACTTTGGGCAGCGTAGATGCTATAATTAATGAAGAAAATGCGGATTCTACTTATGTTTAATTTCTTATGATCACAGGCATTTAACTGCTTAGATGGCTACCTAAAACAATAAAACAACAGAGAGTTTATGAAATTACTCTCCTATGAAAATTTAAATTCTCCATCAATCTACTGTAAATACGGCCTTATTATTCCTTAGCTTATTCTAACTCTACTTATTTCTCCTCTACTCATCCTATAAACCATCTCATCCATGCAATTGGTTTTAATTTAGCCATTATTCACTTGATATGTTATTAAAAATGCGGCGCGTCCTTGTCTACATTTGGAATTAGATATTTTAGGCAAACTGATAAGTGTGCTACAATAATCTCTTTTACTTTACTTGTAGCGTTAAGTGAGAACAAGAATAACATTTGTGTGATTTCTTATCTGCACTTAGAATGTACGAACAGCTTCAAAGGATGCTCATTAATTGTTGCTTTTATGCGAGATAATACATAACAATCCTTTAATAAAAGTTTGATATTTAATATAGTTACAACTATATTTCCATGTATTAATGTGAGTTATATTTAATAGTAATATTTATACATATACACAATCAATTAAAGGGAACTTAATGCAACATTATAATGTGCATTTAATGTATTGTTCATGATTCGAAACAAAAATAAGAATAATAATTAGCAAGCATGATTAAAACACGCGTGGCTTAACATTGAGCTCGGTCAACACAAAAAAATTGTATTTATTGTACTGCGTTCATCTTTAGATACAAATTGCATTATTGATACTCTTTTTCTAGTTAGTGTTAGGGCTGTGTAATTTCTTAGTAATAATAGTAATACCTATATTAATGAATTTATTATATTATTAATTTACAGGGAGATATAGCCTAAGCACCAGTTTATGTAATGCAGCACCATATATAGGCAGAGCACATGTAACATATATGGTTAAAACAGACTTATTTGTGAGTCAAGTTGCATATTTTATTATGGCCTTAATCAAGGAGTACATATAGCAACAACCTAAGGTTGCTTTGAACATTTAGTATCTGGATGGCTGTGCAAATATGAAAGAAGAGCAACCAGCTCAATACTTTTGCCTTGAATATTTATAAATAACTATTAAGAAGGCAAGTCCAATGTAGAAGAGAAGCCATCGAGACAGAAATAGTAATATTATTAAAAGCTACAATAGAATTTCTAATCACTCATTGAGTCATCAAAAAATTGGGAGGATTTGCATTTACTTAGGAATTATCAAAATATATCGAGGGTGCAACCGCAAAATATTCTAACCCTTTGATGTTGAAATAATAAATTAAGAGGCAATATTTGCACGTTAAAGTAGCTTGAATGAATCCCAAGCCTATATAATTTGACTTGAAGTTACTTAAATTTCCAAATTGATTTGAGCTAAATAGCGACTAACTTGATATCTAATAATGTCATGGAATTGTAAGCACAATTAACATTTCCTTTCAGGTCAATTTGGACCTTAATATTATTCTGCAGTCCTTCAATTTACATATGTTCACAGATACATATCAGGTTATGAATGGAGTAGGTTCATTAAAAGATACAAATATTTTATTATCAACAAGGTATTAACTCCATTTATTTACCTGATAGTATATTTTATGAAATCATGCTTTTCGTATCTTTTGAAAACATTATTGGTATCTGCATCACATCCTTTTCGTAGTTATGCTTAAAGAGGTGATAAATAGAAGCATGAATAAGATTCAGGAAAATTGAAGTTAATGTATCGATCAAGGATCGACTACAGTACTGATAGGATAAATTGCAAAGATATGAAAAATATCATGATATCATCTACCAAAGTGTTAGTTTTGAACTACCTCCATTTGCTGATAATCCTATAATGTCAACTATATCGAGCCACATAATTGAAACTTAGTGACACAATTAAAACTATGGACGGAATATTAAATCGTTGATGAAATAAGGAATATTTGATGCATTAAGTCAAAATTCAGAATATCAATCTAGCAATTTAGCCAACTATAATGTAATAATTTATATCAATTAGATTCACTATACTTAGGTGGTTGGCGATAAAAACATGTGACAGGATGGTTGAAGGCAACACAGTTAGAAGCCGCCAAAAAAGGTATCCTTATATGCTGTACAAAGTATCGAATGCATCATAAGGATAACAGCTTATAGTTCCAGAACAGTTAATTTGGTGCAACTATTATATCAGATGGTTAAATTAGTTCAATTTTTGAAATTGCCAGATAAATTGTTGGACGAGTGTGTTTAACAAATACACCATTACTAAATCAGGTGAAACATAAAGTACAAAAAATGAGAAAAACTGTAACAAGGTTTATGTGATGTTATAAAAAAAAGTACAAAACTGTAAAGCGTTGAATGAATTTAAACTACTACAATACTTCTAGATGAACTTGATACACTACAGGCAGCCATAAAGAGATATAAATGAGATATAAACATCTATATAACAAGGCATTGAAATTTGAGTAGTAGAGCTTTTATTATAGGTACTTAAAATCAAGTAGCTATTAAGATATTTTATACTTTTAGTTGGATGAAGGGTATTCGGATCAGCTTATTTAGTGAATATAAGAGGCTATTAGTAGAAGAATTGTTTATAAGACCACATTTAATTAGATGTGAAGAAAAATCATAGGATTTTAAGAGCATTATAAAAAAGGTCAAGAAATAATTAGAAACTTTTGCTTAATTAAAACTTACAAATATCATAAAATAATGCATAAAAAAAAGGGTTGTATCAAAACAGAAATGCAAAAGCCACAAACATCAGTAATGTAACTTTAGGAATGCTATGATCCCTGTTGAATTCATCAACCAATCCTTAATTGCTAGCTCTAATCCAAAAAAACAGTATTGTCAAAGAAGTATCGTTAAATGGAATATTTAGAACCAGAATCAGAATAAAATGAATTAAGAATATCAATTACTTGCTGATATTGGAGTTATCACAATTTTAGGTTATATAAAAACTTATCTGTCACCGTTAAAATGGTTCAGCTATTTAAACAAATCCTAAGAGTTATTATTAAAGAAATATCCTCTTTGATAAGCTCAATAGTAGTTTGTACTTTTTATTGAGCAAGTAACGCGGCGTGATTAAGAGAAAAACAAAATAATAATAATGTTTGATGATGAATATGTGTCATTGTGAATGGCCTCTTGAGAAGTCGAGAAGTTTACACTCGAGGCGCAGGAGTGTTTAAAAATATTTTCTGTGATCGAAAATTCTGGCATATAATGGGCAAAACATGAATTAGTTCACGGCTATCCTTTCGACTTCAATCTCAAAGAACACTATTCTCCATAATTCAAGGATTTTCTTAATCTGGATCTGGGGCTCAGTCAGTATTTTAATAAAATGCTTCCACGACCCTTCATCTGTTACAGTTCTCACCACTATTAATCTAGTCTAAAGATTCTTGACGAAATAAAAATCAGTATCCGATGTATCAAATATAAGTTCCTCGCATTTCTATAGTGCTGTCGAGACTCTACTTAATTCCGAAATGCCACCATTGAATCAACTTTTCCATTTCCAGCTCCCTAACTATCTCAAGTAGCCTTTGAACGTCCGCCCTGGATCGTTGCAATTGCTTAGATACTCGTTAGTCCATCTAAAGATTCTTTTGTTACCTTAATAATTCTTGTCTAAATCCGACAACATTCTCTCCTCAATTATTCACTATTTTTGTTCATTTGTTGTTATTTATTTTAATCTAGTTTCTAAAATATTCTTCTTATTTATGAGCTTTCTATTGAGTTCTCTCGGCTGCTCTTTTTAATATGTGGGTTGATAATTTTCTTCCTTCCTACTGCTAGACAGATGTATTAAGACCAGTCTTATGTTAGTAGTTATATCGAACTCTGACTATGTCCTTATAGAATGCCTCAAGATATTCCATCTAATTCCTTCATAGTAAGCCGTGGCAATATATTCCCAAGTCATCCTTCATCAAGTGGGTGTGTCTTCTTGCCCTCTATTGCCCCACATATTGCATGGTGTCTATCAGGGAATTGGTTCCATCCATGTAATATAAGTCTAGCCTGAATAATTTTAGGTATGACTGTTAATCCAAGTTTTAGGTGTGATACTCAAGGCGGCTCCCATTATAGCGTACTTGGAATATTTTCCATTTACTTCTGTGTTAATACCTATTTCCTTCATTCTTTGTTTCAGAAGTTTGTTTGCTCCATATGGCCTATCCCTGCATACCTTAAGCCATCTAAACTTCAAATTCTGGATCTGTCTCCCCTTCTTTAGGTCTGGATCCCGATGAATAACATTCTTAGAATCGGGTCCTCCATATTCGCTTTTTCCATAAACGACCTAATAAGACATAAAACTGTTAAAAAGTCTAAATAGGTGGCTTATTAGGGTGATGTTGAATGCTACCAATAGGGGCTGCTCCTCTTAGAACCTGAATTGTATCTTTTTCTTGACATTCTGAATTTTCTAAAAATATTAAGGGTTGATACTTGGTAAACATTTTTAACAGTAGTTGGATATAAAATGCAATCTTAATATACAATAAGCACATTTAAATAGTAACCAAAAGTAGTGTGAGTTAGACATTTATAAGGCGCTAGTATTGCATAAAATAAATATAGTCAATCCATAAGTCAAATTTGTGTCCGTCGGTGTGGCATGTATATCAAAGGAGCACAAAATGTTATACATTTTAGGGTTTTTATAATGCTAGCAGACTCAAATTAGGCAATATCTAAATTTGGCCATTAACAGTCTAAGCAAACATTATTATGAAGGATACATGTAGAAACTTGTGATTTCCGTGCTGTATTACTAGAGTCAGTGTGGTAGTTAGTTCATCACTATAAACGCAGGATAAATAAATTGTATCATGCATGTTTTATCCTTACGGATTCATTTTGTTAATTTCAACTGACCTAAATAAATTCTAGGAATAACTTTATAAGTACGAAAACTCTTTATTATAACGAATCTAACTGAGGTTGGTTATTGAAGAAAGGTAAGACAGAAACTTATGTATTAACAGTTTTGCAGATTCTTATTCCCGATTAATTTTGATGGCTACCTAAGATAAAAATCAAGCATGAATATCACCAGCCACTATTTCTTGAATTATTTTAGCCTATTAATTTATCTAATAAATTTGAAGTATAACTTGTTATACAAATAATTTCTAAATCTAACGCTTATTTCTGCAGTTCTTAGAATACTTATCTTTCATCCTAAGTAAAGCTTAAATTATGCTATAATAATATGGAAGATCTAGGTTCAATTTTTCTTTAATTATAAATATAAAATTGGATCAATGAGTGCTGATATTTGTAGATTTCGAAATGTGTATAGGTATTTAAAACTCACAATAATTATCTTAGATATATTAAAAAATTCAAAAGAGTTAAGGAGAAGGTCGTTTGCTGGAAATATCTTTACAATTTTTATTCCTTAGCCGTATAATCTATTAGTTTTTCATGCTAGATTTTGGTCTATAAAACTGTTTGAAAATTTAGATATGCATCAAACATCATCTACATTGAAGTCACTCTAAAGATATTTCAATCCACTTATTCATACTATTGAAAAGCCAAGAATCCTAATATTTGCTGGCGAAAATCAAATTCAACCACAATTACTGATTCCTAATGAGAAAGATCCCGTACTTCATAAACCAATTAAGCATGTTTTTGTAAAAAATTAGAAGAAATGAAAGTAGGGGAGCAAAAAGTTCTTTGGTTGCTCATAAAAGGCATGAATTATATCAAAATTAAAAGCGTAGATTTGGTTAAGATTGATTACTAGAGGCCGCTTTACCGAATCAATAATCAAAAAAAAGATAATAAACAATCTTAAAATTTCAAATAAAGAAGACAGAGATTTGGATTAAAACTTAAGACAATTCTGATTAAAATCAAAATGAAGATGATGAATAAGCTTTAAAAAGATATTATTAGGTCATTATGTCGGAGAATATGTGGAATTAAGATGATATTATCTATCATATGCAGGAACTTAATCTTCAAATGCTAGGAGATAACTAAAGATTGGGAAAAGGAAGCCTATTTATTACGATCACATTTAAAGATGTAGATAAGTGAAAGAATTGAATTGGGTTATAGAAATAACCAGAAAACAACCTCTAATTTAAGTATTTGAGTTTGTTGAACTATGACTACTGTTGATAATCTAAGTTTATTATATTTTCAATGATACGAAGTTCGACAGAAAATAAATAAGTGTATGGAAAAAGGTTTATCGATGACAGGATGGAGGATCAAATATTAAAAGGCTAGCTATTTTAATACTATTGAGATTAAATTAAAGTCAAGACACTTTGTTTTTACCTCTGAATCTTAGCAAAAAATAGGATGCATGTGATAGGCAGGTTTGGAGCAATTAATTTTGCAATTAAAAAATTGCAATTAAATTTGTTCCTAGTTTACAGCCTTTTTATTAGTTAAATTGCCAACTTGCTTATTACCTTGAATGTTAGTTCATTTATGCTTTGTAAAAAAATTGCCAGCCTTTGGATTTTTCATCAATGATATACATCCAAGTAAATCTAATTCATAGAATTTGTCAAACCTTTTTTAGTTGAAGACTCATTCCTGTCTAATTCTTGACTAATTTCTTTAACTAAATCTCAAGTCAAACCGCTATGTTTATTATTGGCTATTTACATCATTATACGGTAGGGTTTTATACAAATTTTGAGGTAAAAGTTGCAATTAAGTCATACTCCACAGTGGGCGTAATTCCACATTTAACTTACTTTTCAATGTCACCAGATTAATATCTCGTATTATTATCTTATGCCATTCTGAACAGGGTTTCAATTTCAGCTTGGCAGCTAAAAAATACTTAAGGGTAACAAGTTTTTTCAATATATGATTAGATGTTTAGTTTTTCTAACTATTTCTTATGGTAAAGGGTAGTTAAAAAAATTTTCATTCTAGTTTTTATAACATCTAAATAGTCCTCCAACTTTTTTCTTTGGGATTAAGAATTGTGATAGATTAAATCTAATTAGAGACTCTGTTTCTTCTTTCTGCAATTGCTTCAGTTTAGTTTCTAAATTTTAATTCTCTTCCAGTTGTTTGGGTGAGGTAATTTTGATTTTTTAAACTATCTTAGCTGACTTTAATTGTGTTTTGCTTTATATTGTATTTTGAGCTTTAATTATGGCGTTAACAGATAGATCATAATAGTGAATTACAGCCTCATAATTTAGGTAGTGTGAAAATGTTTGAATGAACCTCAAAGATATTTTTGAATCCTGGAATTTAAAAAACAACATTGAAATATCCACATATTATATTTTTTCAAACATTCTTAATTTTGCCTAATAAGTCAATGAGTCAAAGTCTTATATTATTGAAATAGTTTTTTAGGTTATGCAAACAGATTCACAATTATTAACAGGTTTTTGGCTTTTATTCTAGATTGCCACTATAGCAATTACTCTATCCTGCATTAAGCTAAGTGCATCCTAACATTAATCACCACAGTATTGCTTATTTATAGAGAAGATTGTAAGCTGTATTTTAGTTAGTTTGGCTATATGGGAAATAGATTCTATTCTTTGGATTTCCTTTTGTCTCTTTTTTCTGAAAAATATTAGTCTTCAACTTGCCTTTTAATAATAAATGAGTCAAATGTCTAGTTGTTAATATTTTATTAAAACAAATGTTTTCGATATTTTAAGTTTATCTTTAATAATTGTACTGAAATTAGGGAGTTTAATGTGATTTGAATCTAGTTATTAAATTTCTACAACATTTTTGGTTTGTGACCTATAATCTCAGTTTAGACTAACTTTAAAACTACTCCATTAATTAAAAGTAAATATAATTAAAATTGTTTTAAAGGTTCATTAGTGAATAATAAAGTAATTTATTCTAATAAATCTTTTCCATTTTGTGTATCAAAGTTTACTCCAATGCTTTTGTTAAGCTACTTGAAATATAATAAACTTTTACTTCCTTCCAGCCTTAATAATTCAACCTTCAAATAAATCTATTTTATCTTCAAATATATCTAGATTATTATTGATATTATGTGATTATTTTAGTTTATCATAGTTGGTTAAATAAATAAATCCCTCCTTTATGCCAAAAATTTTAAATTAATCACATTATTTATAAGTAATTTATTTCGTACTCATCAACAAATGGTTTTTACGAATAATTTGATTTGCCTACTATTTTAATATAATAAAACTAAATATTTTGAAAGGTAGGTATACTATTGTAATAAGTTGAGATATAAGATCATATTTAAAGTGCTTACAACTCTCCACTTTAAAGTAAGTAATTCTAATTTGCTATTAAAATTTAGAGGGATTATCATAACGTCGAATCAATCTCTAAAATCACACTTTTTGTGTTATTTCCATAGTTCATACATTTTATGTTATATGATATTTTTGTAATGCTTCGTTTTGTTGATTAGCCTAGTCATTTCAATTTGCTTAAATAAAAAAATTTATTTGAATCATATATCTTATTTATTTCTATATGATGATTTTTTAATTAAAAAGAAAACCTGTTTTAATTGATACTCAAAAACCAATTTTTAAATTCTTTACATTAATTTCTCTTTACCTTCTATCATTAAGTAATTGGATTTAACCTCATATTAAGATTAAATCTTATTTAATAGCTTCAAATTCTCTAAACTAGAGCAATAATAATTTATTAGTTAACAAATTTGGCCAAACTCAGAAAAAATCTATGAGTTTTGCACCGATAAAATATAACAGGGTTTAGGATTATAAAAGATTAATCCAATCAAAAGGATTCTTGTAGCAGTGCCTCTTAAATATTTACTTTATAAATTTCTATTAAATCTTTCAATAAGCATTAAGGTAGTATTAATTTGAGACTTGTTTTGTAATCTTATCCTTTCATATAATTTGTTCGCTGTTTTTTAGGAAGATGTGTGTGATTACTATCATAAAATTCAATGATAATAAGGAAGTAACGTATAAACTGTGTTTCTAACCCACGGGGGAGTTGGATATAGTGTAATTTTTAATTAAAGAAGAGTTTGTCAAAAATAAAAATATTAGAATTAAGTATCAGCCTATAGCTGGACTTGATTTATTATTAAATTAAATAAATTTAAAATTTGTTTTAATTTGAGTAATTTAAAGTTGCTAAATTTATTTCCCAAATTTATCAAAAACTAAGCCTTCTTCTTACGTTTCCCCTTATCAAATGATAATTATTCAAATAACAATGAGAATGAATAGTATTTTATATATTTTTAAGACGTTTTTAATTATTAATGATGAATTGAACACCGCCATATTAAAATGAACAATACTATCTAAATTGCAGCAGATGGTTAAATCCAATCCATTTCTGAGACTAGCCAACAATGCAATCAAATCCTTAAATTAAAAATGTTAGACAAAGTTTTGCAATATACATAAACACTCTTCCATATGTGGAACTTTAAACAATACAAATAGCACTAAATTAATATATATGAACTTGAGATTGGAAGCAGAGTTACTATGATTTGATAACAAGCAGGTACAAACCATGAATGGTATATCATAAAATCGGAATTAGAGTAAATCGCTATACATTTCATTTGCTGCCTGAATTAACAGAATTAGTTATTTAACTCATGGAACAAGTTATGGACACAATTATTGCAGATTAAATGCAATTTAGAAAGTACAACTACTTTGATTAAGAAAGTTATAACCTCAGATGAGCATTTAAATCGTTTTAAACAGCAAGAGCTTTGTAGCTATAAACCAAAGAAGCACATTGTTCTACGACCAATGCAATATCGGTAAGCAAAAATTATAAATATGTAAGACACACATATTTTCAGAAAATTTCAGACTCTACTATCTTAAAATGTATCATAGCAAGAAGTTATAATAGTAATAAAACAAAAATTAGCATTCGGTAGAAGAGCAAGGATCATCAACTATATATGGTATTCAAGATATGCCCTTGAATATTGGAAGATTCAAGAAGTCTACAAGTGAGAAGAAGAAGTGGCAGTATAATATTATCATTTTCAGAAATGATTCAGAATGAATTCAGGATGAATACATACATTAAAAAATTAGTTGAATTATGATCAGAACTTTTTTATCAAAAGTGCTAGAAAAGTAACCGTAGATAATTGATCATGAGAATAAAAAAATCAATCTATCCTAAAAAAGATCAAGCGATCTACAGAACAATCAAAATAAGGAAGAGTGAAAATGCTTAAAATAAATACATGTCATTAATAAATTAGTCACTGTAATTATCGATGAGCTCAACTGCTAATTTAAAAAGATTTATGTCTGGTTGTCATATGTTAGGAAAATATTAGCAATACAATCTTCTAATTAAGAACCTATACATTTCTTAAAACAATTTACATCATGACAATTGGCATTAAATGTAACAAGCGAGATCTATGCATGTTTTTGTATAATAGAATTAAATAACAAGTTTTAGGAAAAAGTTAAGTTTTTATTTGCTCATGATGAAGACGATTAAAATAGAATTAAGAATTACCTCTTTAATTGTAGAAGATATCTTAAAGGTTGTGGAAGCAATAAAATATCAAGTGCATCTTAAATAAAAATCTAATACCTCGATTAAACACAGGCTACATATTTTGATGTACATTGAGGCATATTTTCAACTCAAGAAACAGGCATCACATAATGCCCAGAACTGCAAAATTCAGTTGCTGTTGCAGCTGCAGTAGAATCTCAACAATCTAAGCAATATACGGAGTTGATGATCGAAAGTTGTAGAAAGTGTGAGAGTTAAAAAAATACAATGCGTGAGTCAATATTTATCTCTATCTTTATGATATGTAGAGGAGCTCACACTTAGGATTGATGAAATACTAATAAATCAATTTCATTAGTCACTAAAAATTCAAGGTCTTGACAATTTGCAAAATGGTCAAACAGGAACAATAATGCAATTAAAAAAGGTTTCTGTTTATTCACAAATATTTTCAGAATTTCCAGAAACAGCACACAAGTATAGGATAAATATTTTGTAAACAGAACCTTAATAATCATAATAGTAAAAAAATATTTTATGATTCAAAAATTTTTCTACATTCATTGTGGTTAGTGTTTAGTGTGTTTACACTGTTGAGCTAATTTCTCTGCTCATATAATTGCTCATTGTAAGTAAAGGGACATTTTAGTAGAAGCAAATAAGTTAGCCCGATTATTACATAGGAATTGGTTCAATTTTCTAATTTGCATCACAGCATTTGTATGCAATAGAGATACTTGGCTTGCTCAGATTAAATATTTTGGTATAAATTAAATCATATCGCAGAACTACTATTAAATATAACACCAAACTCTCTACCATGAAGCTGATTTTACTAATTGTTTTTAATGTTAGCAATTACTTTAGTGTTTTTTTTTACTCTTTTTTGTATCGGCTTTCCAACTTTTCTGGAGAGATATTTGTTTGGTTTTATTGATTACATATAGTATTTGATCTCACTATCAACCACCTATATCGTACAGCTTAAAAATATGTTAATAGTACAAAATGTACTGCTGAAACTTTTAATCAAATATAAACCTTGCTTTGCATCTTCGTTAAGAAACTAGTAGTAATCCGCAGCTGGTTCTCATCTTCTAGTGTCAGTTTAAGAAGTGAACTCTGCCAGACTGACACAGAGTAAATTCAAAAACAGCATAAAGAGTTTTTAACCATGAGCTGATTTATTTCGAAGACTGCAATACTGACTCAACAGCAATGTCAGCTTTCGGCGTTAGCTTAAAATATTAAATTCTTGTACAAAAAGTATATAAAAATGCTGACACATCTGCTTATGAGCTCTTGACTATGATGATGAGGCTGACTGATTATCAATTTCTGATCTATTCTGCTTATCTCTACAACAACACCTTCAGACTAATGTATTTTTTCGTTAGGTTTGTCTAATGTAAATGCAAAGTTTGTATTATTTCTAAACTATACTAAAAGTAGTGAGTTTTATGATTTTTTCCATGTGTTATTAAGCTTGCTGTTTATGTACATACATAAAGCAGCTATTATGGTTGTAATTGTACATCACCTGGGATCAAGCCACTTTTAATGAGTATTCTTTTAAACCTATGCTACGTAAAGACCTATAATAACAAATAAGATAAGAAATTAATGAACTATATTTGAATTGCCTATTATTGGATTCATGCGCATAAGTTTTAGGTGTCTTCATCCTTTATCGTTACAAATCTTACGGTGACTAGCCATATAGCAATTTTGCAAATGCTATTACCATCTATAAGTTAACTGTCATTACATAACACATTCAGTAATAAAATGATGGAAAATTAGTTGTTGTTAATCCATTCCTACTTGTATAGTATGATCCAATACAATATATGTAGGCAATTCTAATGTGAATGTGAAGTATCAATGAATTATATATGACTCCTGATCAAAATAAAGGTTTCTTTAAAGGAAACTAAAAAACGACCGTATGTATCAATTTATTCTCCCTTAGCAAATCTCTTTCATTCTAATAATACTTGTTGTTCTCTCTTAAATACACAAAATTTTATTAAGTTACTTAAAAGGGAGAGTTAACATTTGTTTAACTTAAATACGAATTTTTGTAGTTGTCGCAGTATGAATTGGATAAAGGCCAATAACAGTCATGCCTGAATTTAATTATGAAAAGTTAGGTTATCTTGTTGAAATTCACAATAAAAAGATAAATTTTTCAGCTCCAAATTATCTGTCTGTTGATGGATGTAAATGCAATTCAAATATTATAGTTCTCTTGTAAATGATACCATAAAAATAAATGTCCAACCTCTTTATATGGGAAACCCTCCTTTTTCAAATGATAAACTTGGGCTACAAAATGTTTGAATTCTAGCAATGCTTTAACTATTTCAAAATACTACATTCGAACTTGCATCTATTTATAACAGCAAGTAGGTGATCTAAAGTTTAATACATTGGAGGTTCCTTCACCGAATATTCTTAAAATTGTTGATATATGTATGATTGAGCATGAAAACCTCCTGAAGATTAGTAGGGAAATGTTCTTTCAATAGGGTTAAGTCATAAAGTTCTTATAGTAGATTGCAAGTCTACTACAAATAATATATTATTCAAGTTTGCTCCCATCTTCAATTAAAGGTAGTTGTGAACCTTCCAGGTAAGCAATCTGTAGGTCATAACCCAACTATCGTTAAGCACCCTTTTTTTTTGTTATCTAAATTGAGCATAGTGATTATCATCTCAGGCATTAATGATTATAGATTATCTCCTCCATACTTCCTCATATTCCTTAACTAGTCTATCCTTTTATTCTTCATATGTAGTTTCCATAAGAAATATTCAAATTAAAATTGTTCCCAAAATCAACATTGAATTTTAAGTTTACTTCCTATCTAATATTTCTTTCTCACATCTTCTGGATATTATTATTATTAATCATCTAGTATCCTAGTTTGAATTAGATTCATATTATTGGAAGTAGGAATAAAAGGTAGAGATTTAATCGAATTTCCTAACAATGTTATTGGATGATTAATTGATTAGTGTGTCATGTTTATATTGTTATTCTTTTCCTTTTGCAATTTAATTTTAAACTTTACTCTCCTCTTGTATCGCTTCTTATTATTCCTCTTATTAGCAACAGCCTGAGGTCCTTATTTCATATGCTGAAATCCGTAATTTCAAGTCATCCTCATCACTCCATTTTACTCTAGTCCTTTCCTTTGGCCTCACAATTAGGAATATTTCTATCTTCAAAAACAAATTTGAAGCATTCATATCCCATTGATAATCATTATGGGTCTTATCATTATCTTTTCAATACTTTTTACATCTAAGTCCTTAAAATATGACTGGGTTTTTCCATCAGTTGGGTTTGAAGTCTAACTTAATCTAGAGACCCAAAAAAAACAAAATATTTTAAGTAAAGGATAACAAATTGTATATATTCTAAGAAAGAGTGCATAAATATTGAAACGTTTCTTATTGTGTTGATTCATTTAATTCTATATTTTTGAATATTAGAAGAACATCCTTTTAATTTGAAAATATATAAAAATATATTTTAGAAATATGTGATTTTTTAATAATTACTGAAAACTATAGGTTTGAACTCTCTAAAGTGTTAGTACAACAATATTTGCTATGTTATTTCATTTTCAAATTTAATTTCTAGAATCAAAAAATTTAAAACTTTCCAATTAAGTAAGATCAAAATTTAGCAAAAACCAATTTTATATGTAATCATTATGATTTAAGCTTTCTAATAAATATCATTTCAATAAATTTGCATCAATCTCCTTATTAACCATTTTATGTGAATATCATCCAGCACATCAAACATAGATTATTTTTTAGAAATAAATATTTAGGATTAAACTACATTTTGAATTTGACTTTTACGTATTTCGTGCATATTTGTTTAAAGTGTTGATGAGCACTCTTGTCATTAATGTACCTTCATATGTGTGCATCTTCAACTTATCTGAAACTTTGAAACCTCAAGCCACCTGAAATACTGATATTCTTCTTGCAAAGAGTTATAATTAGAGTTTAAGCCAAGTACTGAAACTAGATCCCATAAATGTCTTTATTCTTCACTTGAATAGGCATGCTTCATCCGCTTCTTGTTTTAGAAAATTTCAGTACTTTAAATTTGTAATTTGAAACATTTCCTATATGTCTCATCAGCTATTGCAAAAGATGCCTAGTCTGTGTACATCTTAAACATGCTCAAAAATATACTTAATGTTGTTCTTATTAAAGATCTTGATTTATTTAATAAATACTACTAACACCACCATCTCCTTAAAGTTAAACTGCCTACAGTGTTCATGTATCTTGTTCTATCAACCTAATTCTTGTTGGAATTTATCAGCATCATAGTTCCGAGCCATTAAAGCATGAAGTAATTTGTGTTCTTCATTGTATTGGGTTTGAGGTTATACCTTTCTCTCTTGTGATATTAGTCATAATTCAATATTTAAGCCATAGTTGATCTCCTTGGGTGAAAATAATGGAAACTCAGTTTAGTGGTGTTGTTTCTACCTATTATGAAGATAATATGTAAAGTAAAATGCATGCAAATACAATTTAGAGAAAAAAAACTCTGACACTTAGGTAAAACTATTGAGGATTTTTTATTACCTCTCTCCAGTCTCCCCTAACTGAATACCCAACCTTTTATGCTCAAGGTATAACTGAAGCCAGTTACTGAACTTATCCATCCTGTGATGCATTACAGGGACTGGACATAAATGTTATAATTTTTATATCATATCCTATAAGCATGATTTGTATCTATTGTATTTCAAAGTTCGCTATAATTTGTTTGAAGAATACTTATCAAGTCTTTATAGAAACAAACAACCATAAAACTCAATATCTGATTGTCTGTAATGTTGTTGTGATGCTTTTTTATTTCTGAGTCTGAGTTAGCTCACACATCTTCACCTCATTAATTATTCTTGTTAATGTAATTTACCTTTTGCTGCTTTCAATTCATCCATGCCAATTAGATGTTGTGCATTTCGTTTTATAACTAAATAAATGCACAAACGAACTGCTGCCAATATATTTGCGAGATACATACAAATATTCATTCTTAATGAATGCATATAGGATTTCTGCATTCGTACATGCTTGATATAAATTGCCATTAAGTTTGAATATCGATGATAGCTATTTGATGGACTCGGTATGTATCTGCAAAAGCCTGATGTGAAAATTTGAATGCTTAAACTATGATGGTTCTTGCAAGAGTACCTCCAAAATAGAAATAGCACAATCTAGAACATTGAGAAAGAAGTGGTGAATCGACAGAACATTGAAAGACATTTTTCATTACTGACCTAAACTTCGAAATGAGAGTTTTATGATATCAATTTCTTCGATCTAGTATGATGCATGCCCACTTGTTTGTATAAATATTCGTTCTCATATTCTTTTTTGAGTGCTACGAAACTTTTCTCAATTCTGTTAGTGATATCAGGGAAGGTATTAACAAATAATAAAATAAGCACCTCGATCTCAAATAATATTCTGTGTGATCCTTTTAATAATAACCACCTTAGCTGAATGTTGCCTCTTTTGATTTTTATTGATGGAATTAGTTATATTTCAATACATTCTCGACTGATTGCAAACCAAATTAATCAAGAAGGAGAGTTACACTACTGAATCATAACAATCAGCATACAATTGCCTATGGGTAATGATCCAACATTTCTCATACTAAAAACGACACTCAAAACTATCACTTCTGTCTTTAAGCATTGTGTTCATTTGGAGATTGCTATGATACCAACAATTTTTAAAAGATATTAGCAACAGTTCCACAGAATGTATTAATTGTTGTGATAATACTTTATTTAGGGTCAGAATTATAAGCAAGCGATTTATTATTGAAGTTTTTATCGCTTTTTGATGCACAATAAGCTGAGTAACTTAAATTTTTTGATATATTGAATGCTGACCACTTATGAAAACAAGAAAATCTAATTATCACTTAATTTAACAATGTTTGAATATTTTTCATCCATCTGCAAAGACAAGGAGATGATTCAGCTGCTAACAAATTCATTTATTAATTATAAAGAACATGATGTTCAGGTTTAGATTAAGTAGCAAAGGAAATAAAAAGTGCAGTCTAAATTTTGAGCATATATTTTCGAATAGAAAGTCCAAAATTGAGCTTGATGTGGTAGACGTTGGTTTACCTGCTTTGTGTTTGCTCCAAAACAATAATCGAGATAAATGAGTAGCCAGATGAATTGAATACATCATGAAAATTATGCTAATACAACCAAAGATTTGTTCTTGGAAACGCTCTATTTTGTGATGATGAAGAAATGCTATATCAACTCGTATCCGGTAAGCTATGTATTGATATAATTATAGGTAATTTTTTAAAGGATCATTAAGATCTTCTTAAAGGATGTTTGAAGCATTTTCATATTCTGAGAAAGCTAAAAATTTCTATTAATTTTAGGCTCCTATTTATAATCGACTTCATGCTCATGCGTCCTTTGTTTCAAAAAATGGATATTTCTTCATATGATTAATATTACATTGCGTTGGTTGGAAATGCCATCTTCTTTGATGCATGTTGTCTGTTACCCATGTTTAATTTAACGCTATAGTATTTGATAAATTCAGCTATACATGCGTAACTTATGAAAGTTTGGCTGGTGCAGGTTTTGTTTGTGAATTTTTATTTAGAAACCTCCTAAATTCGGATAGTTTTAGCATGTGCTTCCTAATTAACGCGTATAAGTTATTGATAGTGTGTTAAACATGTAATAATACTTTCTCCATTATCTAAAAGATGTGCTCCATAAACCTTGCTAAATATTGCAATCATTTCTGGATTCAGATAGTGAATGTTAACGACTTTTGACTATAATAAACCTTTTAGTGTTAGTAAAACTATTGTTACATCGACAAAAAATTGAGATTCTTATGTGCTGGATACATAAGCACAATATAAATGTTTAATTTTGATCTTGATCGTTGGGACATAAACTCCACAAGTTGAAATGGTTTTAATTTCCATTCTAAAACTTTATCTAGACATAAGATGGAGAGTTGAAGATTTCTAAATGAAAATAATGTTTTAATGATAATTTCAATAAATTAACTAATTTCGTATTAATATTTATTAGTATGTTATTAATAATATATAAACGTGGGGTATCCAAATAAGTTTGAGTTTGGTTGATAAATGCCTTACAGGGAGGAAAAGGAGCAATAAATTTAAATATACTGAAGTAGAGACGATAGAACTTGAGGGGCTCTAATATTAATTAAAAGAGTTGTGGTCAAGAAAAAATTGTTATGAATAAAGAAAACGCACATAATTGTAATACAATATTCAAACGTACAACTGGGTATTATAATTTTATCATTAGGTTAAGCATATTTGGGGAACAATAAAGAATTTTAGTTAGGTTAATGAAATAATTTCATTAATCAATATGTCGATTAATGTAGCCTATCATAGATTCTATAGATCCAACAAATTTGTTAGCTTCTTAAAATGAAATTGCCTAATATAATAGTAAATAACTATTAGAGTTCACAATTCAAAATAACAACATAAAACCAATAAATATCCGATGTCAGGGTATTATCTGGATTGGAGTTTCTTTTTACTATCTTAACGTGACCCTTTATATAACGATAGTATTATGGTTAGGGTCTTTAGAAAAAATGCAAAAAAGAAGATTGGAGTTTGATAGGCATTGGCATTGGCGTTGGCGCCCGCGAATTTACATAGGAAGTACTAATTTGAAAAAAAAAATATAAAGTAAAATCATTATATAGAGGGTTACGTTAAGATAGTAAAATCCAAACCCTTTTGACATAGAATTGGTGCCACACCCAAACATACTATATTTGATTGAGATGGAAGATAAATTCTATGTGAATTTCATATAAAACAAAGTGAATCCAACAGAATTGTCAAATACTGATTTAGAATAATTAGTCTCAATTATTAGAAAAAATTAGATGATAAGAATGTTTAGAGAATAAGGTTTTGAGAATATTAGGATGAGAGATATTTCCTTAATTGGCAGAAATTTAGTAAGTTGCATTTTAAATGAATCAAATTTGATAATGTTGATAAAAGTGGAATGTACTTGCTTAATTGTTAAATTGTAAATAGAAGGATAAGATACATGAGTTAAATAAATTAGATGGTCATTCAAGTGAAGTTACTTCAGTCAATTTCTGTCATTAGCATCTCGTAGTTAAGACTATTCTATCCAATAATGGGATGTTGAAACAAGGTGTGTGAATTTAACAATAAATTTTACTTTTATCTATCATGAATTGAAAAAAAAATAGTAATGAGAAATGTACGAAGTAGTGGAGGAATAATAGGAAGAGGGAGGAGGAGAAAATTATTCGAAATACTGATAATTTAAGTGGTACAAAATTTGTTTTATGTTTGGATTATAACATTAAATAAAATACTTAATTACACATACATTTAGTTCATCGATACGATAGAGAGAACAAAATTAATTTTAAGTTGAACTAGTTTGATGATATCATTTAAAATAATACATTAATGCTTAAAATGGTGAGTCACTCTAAATTATAATTGATAAGCATTTTTAACACATCTCAATAAATATACCCTACACACTACACTGAAATGTAATTTAATAATATTAAAATAATATGGCGTGATCATTAGCTTGAAATAGAATACTTTTGAAAAACATGTAATTATCTATCTTAAGAAATGAAGATCAAAACATATTATCAAAAAAACATAAGAAATTGATTAAAATTATAATTGTAATGTTCTTAATGAATATTTTAATTTCACTTTTGCTTTAAGTATTCTAAATAGCAACTTCCTTTGGATTTTAATAAAGGTTTTAAATCAATCCCTTAATGATTTATTAATTGTCCTTATAAGATAAGTGTTCCTGATTCTTCTAATTAAGGATTATAACATATTCTTAATATAGTACGATCAAGATTAACTAAATATTAATGAATAAATACCATTAACAAGGTAAGCAGATCTTTATAGCCACTATTTGGAGTATTTCCTTTGATGTTTTTATATCCCAAAACTTGAGAAAAATATTCTCTCACCCTTTAATATCAAAATTCTAAAAATGCAGGTCGAGAAACATATCCCGATTCTAATTTAATGATAAAAGTTTTTCGCGATTATTAGACTGTTATTAATGGCATTTTACTTATTTGAGGAAATTTGTTTTACTAAGAATATCAAATTAATGATGTAAATATAGCGATTCTATTATTATAACTTGTGTGAAATTATTTCAAATATATAATATTAAATATGTAAATGTAGCAATTCTAAAGCTAAAGCTTTGCGTATGAAATTAACTCTCTTAATAATCGTTTTAAATATTCATACTCAATCTATAATTCAATGGTGTTTATTAGAAATTTATGAAAAGCCTTAACAATAATCAAATCTGCAATACTAATTAGAAAGTGATGGTTTTTACAAATTACAAGCTTATTTATCATGCATGTTGTCTTCAATTTATAATTAGATAAAATTAACGTCTATTTCAATTTTCAACCTAATTGAAAAAATACTAGCCAACAAAATTAAAATTCGATGATTGAATTCTTCTTAATAGATTTGATAATGCTTAATTAATCCAGTTACCACCATTATAGATCTGAAATGCATTTTTGATGGTTACCTAAGTTTTCAAGAAAAATACTGAGGAACTTTAAACTTCAACTTAATGGGTTAAACTACTCAAATCTATTTTATTTGAATTAAAATCACTGATTAATGTTATTTTTTGCTCTTTATCTACCCCTAATTAATTTTCAACTCTATTAAACATTATATTATACTTCAGATTAAAAGTTGAATGAAATCTTTGTATTTGAATCCACACTGCTGCTGAAGTAATTTAGCTAAATGTTTCTAAATTTAATGCAAAATTTTATGCTTTTATAAATGCCATTTAATTGGCATTCTTACTCATCTATTGAAATTTGAATGCTTAATTAATTCATATATTCAATGTTAACTTACTCTATATACCTTTTAAGTTCTATGATGGGAAATGCCTCAAAGTAATATGTATGTATTTATTTTTTATAACAATAACAAATAAAATTCAACTAAAACAAGTGCTAAGTGGATTATTATTCAAATGTTGATCAAGTATTATAAATTTGGCTTACATAACAGCTACAACTATTAATGGGTTTGGGTTTGGGTTTGGGTTTGGGTTTGGGTTTGGGGTTGGGGTTGGGTTTGGGGTTGGGGTTGGGGTTGGGGTTGGGGTTGGGTGAAA